AATAATGCATTTAACAAAAATGACTCTCGTTTTGATCGGTGTTTTCCTTTGTACGCTATATTAAATTAATCAAGATGGCCGCTAATTCATACAATACAGACTAATTATTATTATTTCTAAGCTTTGTAAGTTTGTACAGATGCCATAAACGTAACATGTTATGCAAATTTAGTATTTATTCTCTAAAAAAAGTATCCTATGGGACGTAATCACTAGGTATGCCTGGCGTCCTTTTTAGATTGCAATTTTTCGTTATTTGAAGCCCTACTCTGGCATTCCAGGGGCCGCAATATAGCCTGGCCATAATAAATATGGCCTAATGTCTAAACGCGGTTTCTGGGACCTCTTCACTAGTGATCCTTATCCACATGGTAGCAAATTGTGTCATCTGGTGTTTATCGCTTGTGTGATGTCCTAGTGGGGTAAAAGTTACTTACTTACTTACGTAATCACATACGTACGCATGAGAATAGAAACATATCACACGCATTTTTCTCCCCTTTCGAAGTTTTTGAATCACTTGTTTTAAACACTTGCACGCGTGAACATTCGATGATACAAGCGCGACCTAGACTGACCCCGCCTTATAACGGTACCATGTGAATTCATGGGAAGTAAAGGCGGTCGGTGTGATGTTGACCACATCACCCACCGAGTGCCGATCGGTCTATGAAACATAGGACTTGCCCTATATGCCCAATACGCCTGAAGGTATGGAGAAGGAGTTTTAACTTTACTTTTATTGTAATACTGTTAAACTGGGTTTCTATGATTTGCTCCTCTTGTTGGATACTCACCCAAAAGCCGCTGGGTGAGCTGATAAGAATACAGGCTCTCATGCAGGAGACCAGAGTTCGATTCCTGGGTAATTGGAGGACTTTTTTTCTTTCAGGTACCCAAAAAAAAAAAAAATCCTTACCTGCACAGTCCGTGGCATGAGGCCTTAAACCTCAGGCTTATGGACCCCCCCCCCCCCACCCACCGCCGCCCCTTTCCGCCTTTTTTTCCGCCTACACCGCAAAAGTTGTAATTACAGGTAGCAATAACAGTTTCAGTGGCATATTCTCATACTAATAGCATCTTTTTGAGTCACTAGGTGTTAATCTTTCAAACTGCAATCATAGAGAAAAAAAAAAGGGGGGGGGGGATAAAACGTCCATCACTCACTTATAGTTGACCTGTCTCTGTAGGCTCCAGCAAGTTTCAATACGAGGTCGGCAAAGTCTACAAGTATCAGTACGAGGCGACAACACTGACCAGCCTGAATGGGGTCACGGAGAATGCTGCAAGAATCGAAGTTAAGGCGACAGCCAGTATCTCAGTGCTGTCCAAGTGTGAGATGTCGCTGTCAGTACGTATGCCCATTCAACATTGTTTTAAAAGTCTGATTCATGTTACTGTACATATTTAATTGCAGTAGTCGTTCTCTGACAACACTTGTTTCTCTTCCAGCTTACTCTCCAACTGAGACTGCTGTTATTTAATCTCTGGATGTTATTATCCCACTTGTAACCTTTACTACCTCTTGCCCTCTCGTCTTCAAATATCTCTAGAATATGTTTGTAAGACATTTAATAGGCATCAGTAAAATCAGTGTAACATTATAGCCATTTATAACTCTTTCAAAACCGAGGACTGTTAAATTGGTTATAAATCAGCCCATAATGCATTATTTGGTACCTAAAGAGTTAAAGAAGATGAACTTTGTGTTCTATCATAGTCTGTGTGCACTGATTGTTGTATATCTCAGTAATGCAGACAGAGTAAGCAAATACTGACATGTAAGATAACCCACTTTCTTACCTTAAGTAAATAACTCTGTCTGTACCTTTTTCGTACAATAGTATCTGCATGTAGTGATAAGACATTTTTCTCTGTGAAATCATTAATGATAAGAAAAAACTTTGATCAGATCTCTCTTGGTGACATCCAACTCCAAGATGTGAAGTCATATGATTATATAGGCAGTAAGGTAGATCAAGATAGGGGAACTGAAAGAGACAAACATACAAATGCAAGAAGAATATTCATAGCACTTGACAATCTGTAAATTAATCAACAAATAAACAATATATTGATCAGCACTCATAGAAAGAAGTAGAAAGAATAGAAGGACACACTCGACAACATAAAAATCAAAAACTGTAGTTACCGTGCCAGCAATCAAACCTGTCACCTCCAGATGGCGTGAGCACCTCGCTATAGAAACAAGTGCACTAAGAACATGGCCAACCAGGCACCACCAAAAAAAAGGTGTCTTCATTGGCCATGTCTATCGTTTAGCTTGAAATCCACAACTATGGAACATGGACAGAATTCATATCAAACTATTAAAATGGCACCATAGGTTACATAAATTTATATTAAGGAAGCATAGGTCGAATAACAAACACAGCAAAAATTTACAAACCAAGTTGACAATCTGTAGAAGCTAGAGGAAAGAAAAACTACTAAGAAATTTAAAATATTTAGCTTGAACCAGTACAACCATGCCCAGCTGAGACATGGAGAACAACTAAAACAGTTACTGGTAAACTACAAACATTCCTTAATACCCATGCAAAATAGATGGAATCAAATTGTATGATAGAATCACTAATCAGTGGCTTTGGGAGGTAACTAAACAAATTCTGTCGAACCAAGAGGTGAAGAAAAAAATGCAGTTCTTGGATAAGGATGATTTTTTAAGAATACCCAAGGGATCATGACCCATCTTTTAAATAGTGTTATCAGAATGAAACGGTTTCAAAGATGATTCCCAGCTGGAAAATTTTTAAAAAAATGGTAATGCTGAAAAACAAGAAAAGGGTATGAAAAAGCCATGGCCAACACTCGTAACCCCTAGTATTTCATGATGGCAATAGTTCATGTCCAGGACCATTGATCAGTCTACAGTACTGGAGTCAATACCACTTGCCATGGTGGGGCTCTCTTCCCTATTTAAGTCTTGAAAGGGGGAATATTATTATTATTAATTCCTTCTTTTGAGGACCGGCTTTTATCTTCCGGAAATGAAAGATTTAACTACAATATTTTTATACCTTTTTTCAAACATTTATTCAGGAACCATCACAATGAATGTTAGTTCTCATCACTTCCCGTCCTTTTTAGGATGCAATTTTTCGTTATTTGAAGCCCTGCTCTGACTCTTGCCAGGGGCCGCATTATAGCCCGGCCATAAATATGGCCTAATGGCTAAATGCGGTTTCTGGGATCTCTCCACGGTGATCCTCATCCACATGGTGGCACATTGAGTCATCAGGTGTTTATCGCTGTGTATCCTAAGGACATTGTCAGAAAGAGCTATTGAAGTAAAGACTGATTTGTACTTATGCTTCATAGACTATACAAAAGCATTTGACTGTGTGAAGCATGAAGAAGTAATCAAACTGTTAGAAAAATTAAACATTGATGGGAAAGATCTACGAATAATAAAGAATATGTATTGACAGCAAACAGCAGCTATAAGGATTAACAACTGTTTAGGTACATTTCAAAGCATAAAGAGGGGTGTAGGACAAGGATGTGTACTGTCACCTGATTTGTTTTCAATATATAGTGAATATATAATGAGATCTTTAATTGGTATGCCTGGAATTGTGGTTGGTGGGCACAATATAAACAATTTACGTTATGCTGATGACACAGTCTTAATAGCAACAAGTCAGAAAGAACTTCAGGAAATGATAGACATTATGGTGTAGAAAGTGGAAGAATGGGCCTCAGTTTGAATAATGGGACGACAGAAGTAATGGTGGTATCAAAGAAACGAATTATTCCTAAGTGTGTAATAAAAGTTTATGGTGTTATTTTAGGATAAGTACAGAAATGTAAGTATCTGGGCACATGGATAACATCAGATGGAAGATGCATAACTTAGAAAAGAAACAGAATAGGACAAGCAAAAACTGCATTTTATAAAATGAAAAAAATCTTGTGCAATATATCCTTGTCATTGAGAGTTAGAAAAAGAATTCTTGCTTGCTACATACATCCAGTTTTACCATATGGCTGTGAATCCTGGACAATCGGTAGGCAGGCCAAACCTTTTCTAGAGGCCTCAGAGATGTGGTTTTACAGAAGAATGCCTAGAATACCTTGGACAGCCAAAAAGAGCAACCAAGAGGTTTTGAAAGAAGCGGGAGCCCGAAGACAACTTTTCACAGACATTAGAAGGAGACAGTCATCATTTTTCGGCCATGTTATGAGAAGAGGGAAAAAAGAATATGTTGTGACCACTGGAAAGATCTGTGGAAGGAGGGATAGAGGAAGACAACGAGAGAAGATGCTTGACAGTCTTGTTGCATGGCATGGAGGTGTGTCGGCACACGAACTGATACATGCTGCAGGAGATCGCAGATTATGGAGAGGCATGATTACCCGTGCCAGTCAGCAAAGCACCTGAAGATGATGATGATGTCTTGGTGGGGTAGAAAGTCAGTCAGTCATGAATGTTAGTTGCAATGGATTTCCAACATGTTTGCCTCCCTTGTTGGTTGTACACTCTCTCGTACTGCTGTTTATCTATCTCTTGATGTTTCCTCTCTCTTATATCAATGTCTACTTCATCTTCAGTTTTTCACTTCAGCATTTTTGTTTTTTTTAATTAAACAGTTTTATGTCATTTAATGAGGGCGAAATATTTCAATTTTTATATTTTTTTTTCTTTCAGAAAGTCTCTTTTCATCCCCAGTTTTTCAAAACCTCTGTATAATCGTCCCTTATTCTTGCACAAATAGCTGATCACTAGTGCATTGGTTTTATTTTAAGATCTTGAATATTTTGTTTTCTAGCTCTCAGACATCATCATCACAGGCTCTGAACCAGAGGGCAATGGCATGCCAACAATTGATGATGGGAAGTTCAAATCAGCCTTGGAGAGTAATGTTTTACGATTCTCATTCCAAGATGGTCGAGTTGAAGATCTCTGTCCTTCAGCCAAAGAAGAAACATTGGCCCTTAACTTCAAACGGGGTGTTCTGTCAGCTTTCCAGAACAGCATGAACCAGCTGGAGAGAGATGAAAGTCTGAAAGAGGTCAATTCAATGTTCACTATATTATTTAAAGTTATTTGCATTTAGATAACTTAAAATAACATAACCCGTGACCAATTAGGGTCGTGGAGGTGTATTCGTGGAAGCACTAGCACATAAAATCCGTCATCTTTCTCTGTCTTTCACTTGAAGAATAAGTGTATGATAACTTAGTCCTGTCCATTTCTTGATGTTGTCATTCCAGGTTCCTCTTGTCCCCCCCCCCCCCCTCACCCCCACCCCCTTCCCAATGTTCCTCAAAGAAAGTCTTTAAAATCGAATTGTGTCTCACCATGTGACCAAACCAAGCTAGTTTGTGACATTTCACTACTGCCAAGAGAGGCTCCTGATATCCTGCAAATTTGTATATTTTGTCTCTTGCATTTGAGTGTTGTTGAAACTAAGGTGTCCCGTAAGTCTCCATACATAGGAAGAATAAACATATCCCCAATACCATTGCAAGCATAACTCCAGCTGTGTTTATTTGCATTTTTTTTAGGAGTGGAGGACAAGCATCCATCAAAATGTGTTTTCAAAACATTGTAGTCATGTAGACCAGTGTTTGCCAAACCTTTCTTAGTCGCCGCGCCTTTTTTCAATTAAAATGTTTCCACGGTACCCTAACCTAAGTTAAAGTATGACTATTCCTAAGTAAGAGATAAAAAAAAATTTATAAAACTCATGTATCTTCGAACATTTTGTGGCGCTCCTGTAAAGAGGTTGTGGCTCCCCGGGGCACAGCGATGCACAGTCTGGGAATCACTGATGTAGAGCATATTATATGAGGAATAGTAAAAAATTATCTACACTTTTCATTCTACAATTTATTTACAGGAAGCTAAGGTTTGACTATGCACATCCTTTTTCTGTGTAATCTCCCTCCTTATCAATGCACTTTGCCCAAGCTTATGTATTCCCTCCATTTAAAAGGTGTTTCATAGGTTGTGAAGCCAATAAACATAATATTCATCATCCCCTTGTTGGATGCAATTTTGCATTATTTGAAATCTCACCCTGGCTCTTGCCAAGCCAAGCAATATAGTTAGTTAGTTAGTCTTTCCTCTTGTGTCGAGTGCAGCACATAGGGCAGAGGTCATGACTCTCCATGCATGGTGGTTCGTTGCAATCTGTTGTAGGTCTTGGATGTTTGAGTGGCCCATGAGCAAGCCTTCCCTGATGATAGTTCTACGTAGGGTTTCCCTTGGTCTTCCATGAGATCTTTTCCCCTGTGGTGTCCAAATGAGGGCTTGGTAAGGAAGTCTTGATTTAACCATTCTAAGGGCGTGGCCGACATAGTTCCAGCGGCGTTTTCATATAAAATTAGACACATACTCTTGCCTGGATTCTTGCCTTATTTGTGTATTGGTTCGGAAATCTGACCATTTGAAATTTAGTAAGGCATTTATTTTCAAAACTGTCTTATTTTGTGTCTAGAGTTTTCGTTGATTTCCAGCTCTCGCATCCATAGGTTAGTACTGGAATCACACAAGAATTGAAGATCTTGAGTTTTGTGTGTTTGCTAAGTGTCTTTGATTTCGAGATATTGGACAGTTTATTGAAGGCACTAGATGCCAGTGCTATTCTAAATGGTATTTCTGGTGCGGTATCTCCTGTAGATGACATTTTGCTCCCTAGATAAGTGAAACCGTTGACTTTTTCAAGGCTGTTGTTGTTCAGCGTGGTATCAACTGAACTGTTGGTAAGGTCTATAATTTTTGTTTTTGTGGTGTTAATTTGGAGTCCAATTTGATCTGAGAAATTCTGGAGTTGATTTTTTTCTTGGGCGTCTGTAACAGATTAGAACGAATCATCATGCAGTTAGAGCCAGAAATCTGATTCTACAACAATTGGTGGTTTGCAATGACAGCTTGTCGGACCGTCGATCAACCGATATGCGCCGAGCTAGAGAGAAACAAAATAGCAGGGCCATAAATATGGCCTAATGGCTAAACACAGTTTCCAGGACCTCTTTATGGGTGATCCTCATCCACATGGTGGCATTTTGCGTCATCCTGTGTTTATCGCTGGTGTGATGTTCTAGTGGGGTAAACGTACTACTACTACGTAAAGCCACTTCTGCAAGACATTGTGCTAATCCTGCTTCCTCTACATACATAACACTTGTTTGACCACTTTTTAAATTCTTGATCCACAAAAAGACAGTTTTTCATGGTCATGCACTTCTCCCATATTGTGGTGATAGTCTGTGATCAATTTCCAAACAGAGGAATTGTGTTACTGCTCGTTGTTCCTCTTTGGTGCAAACTTCTAATGAAGCGGCCATGATCTTTCTACAACAGAAGAAAGAAAAATGGCAGAATTAGGAAAAAACTTTCATAGCTTTCCCACAACAGTATAACAATGAAATAAGCGTGGACAGAAGTTAGTCTAGACAATGTTAGAAGGTTTATGTTAAAAGTATAGAAACTTTTTGACTTCCCCTCGTATTTAGAAAAATGTGGATTTCATTAACAAGATAAATGTTTATTTTCTATGTATGGAATCTTGGGGGACACTCTGTATTATAAAGACTTTTATCCATGTCATTCTTCATATTATCTTTCTTTGATTCTTTTATTTTAAACCAGTTTTTGGATATGAATTTGCATATGGTTTATTGTTTGCTTCAAGATCTCTGCAAACTGTATTTACCTCATGTAATATTCATGTGGCTTAGGCATTGCGAACACACTTTGTAATGCCAGGGTACCAGGTTCGATCCCAGCTGCCGACGGTTTGTCTTGCACGGGTTTTGACAGTGGTACCGAGAGCTGACTGTTCAATGAGTAGTGGCAAACTACTCAACATAAAATTTTCCTAGAAAAACCACAACAGCCAAAAAATGGGGTTGGTTCTGCAACATCCTGTAAAGGATATGCAACTTACTAATATTCATCTGAGGTGTTATTTCACTAAGTCTTCTGAAGGAGTGCATCCATTTGAAAACCCTGCGGGAGGCAGAAGTGCTGAACCACATGTGTTGGCACACGGGGACCTTGGCTCGTTCTGGTCAATATCTGCCTACGCCTCTCTGCAGTCATCTTAGGAACAGGTCACAATGGCCAATGTAGATAGGATCAAAATTTTCCTTCAAAGGCAGAGTGCATCTGCCTAAGAGGAAACCAACAGTCTGCACATAAATAAACCAAATCTGTAAAATAAATGTACATGCAACACTCAGTTTCTGGAACAAGGCCAAATGACTTTCTGTTAGAGTTTACAGCTGGTGAACATGAAGTAGAAAACCATGTCATCAATTTCTGTCTTATTAGCCTTCACCTGCTGTAGACTCCAGTGGAGAATTCTGGTTCTCTGTCCATTTCTAGGCTTCAGTCTTATTCCAGAACTTGTTTGCATACTTTTAGGTTCTTGTTCATCAGACTTGGGTGTGTGTGACCATTCTCTTTGCACTCACTACATCATCATCGAGTGTCTTGCCAACTTACATGTGAGGTCATGCTTCTCTACATTTATAAATGCCAACAGCATATATTAATTAGTTTGTGTGTTCACACCTCTCCCTACCCTGACAAAGGGTTGTAAAGAATCTTATTACTGTTTCAATTAATCTTCCTAGTTGTCACATGATGTTTGCTATTCTTTTCTCATAAAATAGTTTTAAAAAATGACAGCCACTTTCTGATGTTTTTGATAAGTTGTATACATGTTTCAACCTCTTTCACAATATTTGGATTATTTATTTTGACTGTCCAAGGAATTTTAATTATTCTTTTGTCATACAATGTGAGTATGATTTCTTTCTTATTTGCTGTTTGCACAAGGATCATTTTCTTGTCATTCTCTCTGCCTATGGTTTTCAAATGAAAAGGCGAAAGTCCTCATTGAAAGCTGTGATGTGATGCATGTGCTTGACGGATATTAGTTTTGTTTCTATCAGAATGCCTCCTGGCCAGATGTGAGATCTCTCTAGAGAGCATGCTTGTAGCACGTGTTCTGGATTCAGGAATGCCTATCCACATGGGCATAGTTCTGAGTCCTGGGTCATTGAATTTCCTGCACAGATAGCTGAAGATGAAAGCAAATTTGAAAACAAAAAAAGTACATTGGGGGGGGGGGGGGGGGGGGGGGGGGGGGGGGGGGGGGGGGGGGGGGGGGGGGGGGGGGGGATCCAGAAACCATGAGTACTTTGGATATTGCAACCCTTTGGCCTTGATTCATGATAGATACTGTAAATCTGGGAAATATGTGGTGTTTTTGTCTACCCAAGAGCATGAACTTGGACCACTAGAAGTTTGTCACACAGTTGCCATGCAGCTGATTTAATCAACTTAGCTAGCACGCTGGGCAAAATAAAAAAAAATCTAACAGTTTTAAATGAGTGTGTGTGTGTGTGTGTGTTTGTATATATATATATATATATACATATATATTTAACTGGTCTCTGATTCCTTGTAGGTGGATGTAGTGGGAGTATGTCCCACTGAATACAGGGTAACACAGAAAGGTTGGAAATCATCACAGTTCACAAAGAGCAAGGATCTTCTGGGATGTTCTGATCGCCATGACTACAGAATATCTCTTCAGTCGACACCATTCCGCTTGCCTGATGTAAGTTAATTATACTTGAGTAAGTAAAAGTAGTGCTGAGTGGTCTCGAGGCATGGAATCCAACTTGAGTGCTGGATGACCCAGGTTCAGGTCCCGGTTAAGGCTGGGAATTTTTTAACTTGGACCTCTAGTAATTTCCCCTGGTCTCTGGGTAATAAGATTGGATGCTGGTGTGTATTGTTGCGCACGTTTAAAAAAATCCATTGGCAAAGAGAAATCGAAAAGAGTAGCCTAACGGTGCTGCCCGGGCAAAATTTGGAGTTGAAAATCTACCCAAAGTATTTTAGGATGCTCGCCAGTGCTGCAGCGTTCGGGCACTGCGCTGAGATTCTTCGGACTTAGAAGTAGAACGGAGCACTTATGCGTTACTAACCGTGTGCCATTTTGTTGATGCAGCAGCAGCAGAAGAAGAAGAAGAAGAAGATGAAAAAGAAGGAGGAGGAGGGAAGGGGAAGGAAGGAGGAAGAAGAAGAAGGAAGAGGAAGAATAAACCCATAAATAATTATCGTGTAAGTAAGTCATGATGGGCTAACAGTAAGACAGACAGGCGTCATGCAAAATGGCAAGAATCACTTCAGAGTTTGTGGGTAGTTAGTGCCTTTTAGAAGTTTTCTCCAGATTATTTCGATGTGTTGGTAAATAAACAAGCAGACAGATTTGCTGTGTTTGCCTCACAGATGAACTGATGCAGGCCAAGGTAGATGTGGCCAAGGCTGTTTGAGGAAAAGTTAACAGTGTGGAAATGCGAAGATATCACGGTAAGGAGAGAATGGTGCAACAGGGGGTGCCATTGGATCTGGTCGACACCCAAAGGAAATGCCAGACAAATAATCAAACTGCTGCTAGTACCATTGCAGCAGGAACTCTTTGGCTGCTGAAAAAGAGGAAGAGAAAGAACTTATGGGAATGTTCTAAGTGATGTGATATCAGCTCTTGGCTCAACTTGACTTATTCTAATTGTTAAGTTTTTAGGTGCAATTTTTTTAAAACTAAGATCAATGGGGCAGGGTCTAGCTGTTCTGCAGAGAGAGACTGAGCCATATGGGATTAAAAACCTAGTGCAGCAAAACTGTTCCTCTTGACTTTTATCTTTCAACTCATTTTAGTTCTCTGATAGTTTATTTTATTAAAATTAGTGGGTGCATTGTATGTAATATTTCATAAAATCTGGAGCTCTAGAGTAAAATAAATCTCTTAGTATAAATACCCAGGCAGTGTTTTCACAGAGGACAAGAGATTTGACAGAGAGATAGGAACAAGAATAGTTTTAGTGCATTGGATATCCAGCAAATAGACTGAGATTCAATCCTTTGAAGTGGTCAGATCCTGTCTTATAATAAATTGTTGGTACCTTTTCATATGATTTTGTTATACTGTACAATATAAATATGGGCTTTTGAGCTGTATTGCTGTGGAAAGATTCTCAGAATATCGTGGGGGGAAAAAAGAGGAGAAATACTGACATCTTGAAAGATCTGAACATTAAGGAAGATAAGATAATAAACAGCATCCTGTCTCAGAAGCTGAAATATTTTGGTCACATCAAGCACAGCAATGAATTGGAAAGAATCATAACAGAAGATATGGTACCAGAAAGGAGGCGCAGGGGCCGACCGACATAAAGATGGGCACAGGATATAAGTGACCCTTTGAGTATGAAAGTACATGAGGCAGGAGAGCTGGCGAGAGACTTGAGTTTCTTTCAGGCAGACTGTGATGAGAGCGACGTTCTGCAAAGGACCTGCTAGATGATGATGAGAATGTATTGTATAAAGGCATGGGAATCACGGCCCATGACAATGGCTCAACCAGTTGATGCCAGGGATGAAGTTCCTCCTCTCTTTAGCACACACAAAGCTTGGACAGGACTGTAGATAACATGCACTGCCCTTGCAGCATGATCTCTCCTTCTCTCTCTCTCTCTTGGCCTGTCTTGAAACAAAACATCTAGTCACATCATTTCATTGTATCTTAAACTAGTGCAATATATATCCGTCACATTCTGAACGCCTGATCAGTCTGAAAGATGAGGTCAACAAGCAGACAGTGGCTTTCAAGTTAATTGCGAAGGAAGCTAAGACAGCGAAATGGAACGAATTCTGCAAGAGCGTTTGCTCCGAGGGATCTCTTGTGACATTCTGGCGCCTTCAACGGAGCATGCACGGTGCCGCACGACCAAGGGATATCCCTGATTTTCAGGGTACAGACCTGATATGGCAGAGAACTGATGCTGATAAAGGAAAAACCCTTCTGGCGCGCTACTTGGAGCAAACTGACCAAAAAGATGAAGCTACAAGAATAGGGGTTAAGATGAAACTGTCGATGCTGTGCGAGAACACTGTGCTAGGCACTGATCTCACAATCACTGCAGATACCTTAAGAACTTGCCTCAAGAAATCGCGCAGCACTGCTCCAGGCCCTGATGGCATCCGATACAACGACATGCTGATGATGTCGAATGCTGATTTGAAAAGCGTGGCAAAGGAATTCAATATCAGCATCCAGAGTGGCCAGATACAAGAGGAATGGCTCCATAGTTATTTGTTCCCACTACCAAAGCCTAATAAAGACCACTCAAAGATCTGCGGCTACAGAATCATCTCGATGCAGAATACTGTTGGCAAACTTTTGGAAAAAATTGTCGCACAAAGATTGATCACCTACTTGGAACTACATGATAAGTTCCCACCAACACTTGGAGGGTACAGGTTAAATAAAGAGACATGGTTCAATGCTGCAGTTTTCGCCTACGATGTGTACGAGGGATTTCAGATTAAAGAAGAGACATGTGCGGCAGTGTTGGACTTAGAAGATGCCTACAATAAAGTACCATATGATTATTTAATGCAATTACTGCTTAAACTAGAAGTTAATCCTATTCTGATCCGCTGGATTGCTGCGGTCCTGTTCCAGAGAAAGATTGTACTAAGATGTGGTAGCTGGTCCTCAGAACCGCAAATGATATGTCCAGGCTTGCCACAGGGATCACCGCTATCACCAGTCTTATTCAACATTTATACGGTGATGATCACTGAGCAGCAGTTGAATGGAAAGGGAAGGACTTTGTCATTTGCTGATGACATTTTGATTTATCGACGAGGGCGTGATAGACAGTAGATCGCCAGCACTATGCATAAAGAACTCGATCGAATTGCCGCCTGGTGTGATGGTTCCAATGCCTATGTCAATCCTTCGAAGGCATCAGTGTCATGGTTCTCTTTGAACAATCACATTGTCAAGTCGGACTTACCAGAAGTGAAAATGCGTGATAATGTATTGATCAGAACCAACGTTATGACGTTTCTCGGTTTGAGGTTCGATTGCAGCTTGTCATTCAGGGAACACTTTGACCATGTGATAACAAAAGCACGCAAAGGTCTATCTGCAATGAGGATTATGGCTGCTTCCAATATTGAGCAAAGACTACTAATACTTCTATTCTACGGTCTGGTCCTTTCCCCCATTGAATACGCTCTGGCCATCCTCACTGTCAGTGCTACCCAGATTGAACGACTCGAAAAGGTGCAAAATGAAGCCATGCGCATTATTTTGGGATGTACAAGAGACACATCCTGTGGAGCAATGAGGTATCTACTTGACTTTCCAACAATGAACCAAAGGATCAGGATGTGGAGGGCTCAGGCATATCTCAAAATATGTGCTGATAAGAAACACCCACTGCATCAAGCGCTTTTTAGTGAAAAGGGCGACAGACTGAAGAGGGGTAAATCGTGGCTAGGTCGGGCAGAAGATGTTATTAGGCAAATATGCAGCCTAACCGACATCATACCTGGTGCAGAATGGATACCTGTGCCTCAGGCGTTTATTTGTACATTTTCCTGTATTGTCACACTCAACAGGCGATGTAAAGAAGAGAATCCTGTTGCTGTTAATGCAGAGGTCAACGCTCTCATCGGTGAAAATTCAGACGAAGCAGATGCAATAGTCTATACAGACGGATCCGTTATATGCCAAAGAAGAAGCGCACGGGCATTTACAGCATGCTCAGCGGGCAGAACAGTCAAAGAAGCCAACGGCGCCTTCTCCATGACAACCAGCAGCATGACGATGGAGGTGATGGCAGTGACGCAAGCGTTTGCCTGGCTTGAAACACAAAAATACACCCGTGTATGTAAACACAGTGATTCAATGAGTATGATCCGGAGGGTTCAGGCAGGTTCAGTGTGAAGACAATGGCTTGAATCATTACAGAAGTCCACAGTGCGTGGAGTCACCTTTATTTTTGTTCCGGGATACGCAGGCGTCGATGGAAATGAAAGAGCTGACAGGTTGGCTGGATCCGCTATCACTACCGACGGTTAACCTATGGATCATGCTGATATTATCAATGCCCTCAGAGAAATGGGAAGGATAGAGGACTTTGGTGGCAGTGAATCCACATCACTCGCCAGAATGGCAGACTTGGGAATTAAGATCGGCACAGCGAAAAACGAGACGCACACCAGACACGCCAGAAGACTTGTTAATCAACATAGAACTGGTACTATTAGCCATCGGACGTTGGGGTTCATACTGAGGGGAGGATCTGAGCACCTATGGACATGTCCGGAGTGCAATGAGGATAACCCAACTAACTAACTAACTAACTAGTGCAGGGACCATGTTAGTGAAGTCAATGGGAGACTCACTTTCAAATCCAGCTGCGACTTGCTGCAGCCCAACGTCAGTGTTTGAAACCACGCGGTTCCCGGGGTTCACCCAGCCTCTAGGAAATGGGTACCAGAGTTGACACACTGGGGTAAATGGAGGAATGTCACTGTAGCTACAGAGTTGCGTGCGGACGGCGACACAGGTGGACAGTTTCTTATCAGCTGTCCATACTGGTGGCAGAGCAATTATGGTTTATAACCGTGTGCAGTGATGCTGGTTCACATCTCCCGACTTTACATTTTTTACCTTCACTAGTACATGTGAAAATCTTTTGCTCAACACCCTTACATAATTATTTGCTTCAGGTTTATCTTCTTAGAGGCTCTGTGGCTTAGAGGTTAGTGCGTGCGCTAAACAATTTCATAATCCCTAAATAAAATTTTGAATTTTAGCTAAAAACATTGCTGCATAGTTTTTGGAGCGGCGTCCGTGGCTAAGGCGTTGCGAGTCCGACTCTGCGATCGAAACCCACTGCAGGCTGCGCGGATTTTTATCGTGGTATGGGACGTCGCAGGTCGACCCAGCCTAAAATGGGTACCAGGATGGGCTGTCCTGGGAAAGTACAGACAGCCGGCGTAATGCTGACCACATCACCCACAGAGTGCTGATGGTCTGTAAAAATATGGGACGCTCTGCCCATATGCCCGATGCGCCGAAAGGCGTGAAAAGGGATCTTTACTTTACTTTACTTTTTATAGTTTTTGGACAGTAGTGTGGGAGTCGGACTATGCCACATAATATTCCAAAATGACTGCAGTGAGTGAACTATAGCCAACCTTTATGTGGAGATAGTATTTTGTTTATGGTTATCTGTATGATCTTTTTTCAAAATAATTGAGATCGTTAGGGACATTATTGTTATATTTCATGATTTTCATTTCTAACGCAATATTCATAATACACAAACAGGCAATTCAATCCCTGCCCTTGCTAAAGGGAAGCCACAAGTGCACCCAGATTGTAGACAGAGAAGGTTTTGTTCAGTCCTCAACGTGTACAGAGTCACTTGTATTCAGGCCATTCTCCAAACATGAGGCAGGTGCCAGAACAGAGATCAACCAAAAGTTGACATATACCACAACATCAGCTGCCTCAGTGAGATTAAACGGTAATTTGATATTCAGTGCACATTTTATATCAACTTTTTTAAAAAATAAATAGTAAAATTGACTGATCTAATGTGGTTAAAGTGTTGGATATATATACCAGTGGATATGATGATGACTTTTTAAACCCCTTGGCTCATATTGCTATTTACTATGTGAAATGTGTCTCTTGTTGTGTCTCTATAAGGCAAAAGTTTAGGTTATTTTGGAGAGATTTTTTGTTTGTTTTTTGTTTAAAGATAAAGCTTAGCTGACTGCTTAATGCTCTATGCGCTCCACAGTGCATTGCTGGTACTCACTGTCAGGCTCATTAAATGACGTTTTGATTTCCTCTGCACAATAAGCTGAGTAGTAAGACTGATAGGAAACTAGTTCAGAAGTAATGTCAATGGTTCATAGAAAGCATTTTGCATGACAAGTCTTATATATGGAAGTGAAACAACAGTTAAGATATAAGTTCTTGATCTATCATGTCCATTCTGCATAAACCGGCATTAGTGGCTTAGGCGTTGCGAGTCAGACCCGTAATTCCAACATTCCCTGATCAAAACCCACTGCTGGCTGCATGGATTTTTATCATAGTATGGGGTGTTGCAGGTCCACCTAGCCTAAAATGGATACCAGAATGTATGTCCTTGGGAAGTAAAGATGGCCGGCGTAATGCTGACCATATTACCTACCTAGTGTTGATTGGTCTGAAAAAATATGGGTGCTTTTCCCATATGCCCGGTGTGCCTAAAAGCGTGAAGAGGGATCTTTACTTTTTTACTTTGTTATTTTCCATGACAATGAGTAAATAATTCAACAATAAACTAATTTCCACTGAGATGAATTTTTTTTTTAACTGGCATCTTGGGGACATAAAAACTACAGTGGTTGGGAAATATATAGAGAGTGGCAGAAAACAGAGAGAAACAAACTGCATACACAAAATAGTTGAACTCGACTAAATCCAGACGCAGACAAAGATAGTGGAGAGATAATATACAGGCAGACATACAAACTCTTAAAATCACCAGTTGGAGAGAGAGAAAAGCAGTCGCAGAAATAAGTGGACATAGTGATATCTGCAGCAATGAACCTCAAGGGCTCAGAATGCTGGAGAAGAAGAAGGCTGGAAATCTCATTGACACCCAATAAAACAATGAGTATAAAAGGTTAACACAGTGATTTATCATATGTCACTTTGACTCAGATATCCTAAATTTATGATGGAGGTGAAGCTATGGATTATTACATTAATGCCCACTTTATTTATAATCATTGTGAAACTTTATTGTTTCTTTGTGGATTCTGAAGGCTTATTTTGGGAAGTAGAGAAAACAGACCTAACACCCATTAACAAGCTTGTCTTAAAAGTTGACTTATTATGGATTTGACAGCCAAGCACAGAGCATCACATAATATGGCATTATTTATTGTCCCTTGTTTAGTCCCTGTTGGTCATTATATCTTTTATAAAATTGCACAAATGAGTCTAGGGTCTGCCTATGTTTATTTAGAGTATTACTGAGTTAACCCATCTACTGCTTTCTTTGTCACTGTTTTGCTTTACAACTATATATTTTTTGGGCTTGTCTGTTATCATCATTTCACATAAATAGATGAATTTTCTGCTTCTTCTTTAATGGTGACCCTTAAAAGGATGGTTATGTTATCATAATCAACATCTGTGCACATTGAGCATTCCCATGCATGCTCAGTCCTCCATTGTAGCAGCCACTCCAAAGTACCTCTGTCAATTGTTCCCATGAGAAGTTGGCTATAGTATATCCTCCCTTTACCTCAAAGACAGCATAGATGTGTTTCACCAAGCTTAACTATAGTATATCCTCCCTTTACCTCAAAGACAGCATAGATGTGTTTCACCAAGCTTAACTCCTTGGTCACACAATCATGTTAGTGTCAGAGATTCAACATTATCCCCCCCAACCTAGTCAGTACAATATTTAAGTGGAGGTGACATATGATGAGTCACTGTGATAAACTTTGGACATTTTTTGTATAGATACTATCAATCAGTCATATCTCCTGACCTCTGTAAAACTGTGAAAAGATTCTTTACTTTTATAACTTGTTTTACAGAGGTGTTCAGTTGTATGTTGTAGTGATTTGATCATTTTCAACATTTTTCCATAAGCATGTTGATTTTGATATAGTCTATTTAACATATTGTTTGAAATATTTTAATATGATTTTACGATTGTTACAAAAATTTTAATATGTTTTTGCAGTAGTTCTTCATTTTCAAATACAGATTTTGTGTGTGCAAAAAGTAGCTTATGCTTGTGAGAGCTTTCTTTGCATATTGAGTTTCTTTAATGTTTTAAACTCAGTTCATATGTACATTGAAAAATAGAAATGAGAGGTAGCCACACTGGTGTCCCGAATCAGCCATTAAAGCCGCTGTTTTTCTTAGCACTGTTTAATATTGCTGGTGGCATTGTGTATAATGTAAAAAAGAGAGTGAAATGAAAAATGTATTTTCTTTCACAGACCCTGTGACAAGCAAGACAACACTTCTGTTTGAGCACAAGCAGGCACTAGTCAGCAGTGACCAAACTCTGTGGTCTGCTAGGCAAAAACTGACAGAACTTTGTCGCATCACAGTTCAGGACATTCTGCCTGAAGTTCCTGGTCTCTTCGCTGACTTGGTAAAATAACAAATATTTCTTAAATAATATTAAATGTATGTTTGTCTAGATGCACAAGCATACATAAACATAACAGTTTAAACATTTTTGAAATGAAATAATGTATACAGACTAATATAAATGTGCTCGCTGGTAAGGAAATATGATTACACATATATACAGATTAATCATTTTGCCCTGAGACATCAATAATTTGGTTTCACCATCTGTTACAAATCCCCATGAGGCTGGTACATTCACTTTTTTGCACTGGCTAGTCTCTGACAAGCCTACTGATCTGCTTTGTTATTATTGTTTGCACTTGCCCAATATTTAGAAGGGTCAAATATGTTTTTATTTTACTAAAGATAGCATGAGGGTTGGGGGGGGGGGGGAGGGGGGGGGGGGGTAATGGCACTGTATGGTTTATTGTAACAAATTGTGTTATTTTAGTTATTATGATGTCCTATATGGCATAAAACCTTCAATGGTTGCTGACTGACAGCACTCATGGTCTCATAGTGTGAAACTGTGTAAAATATTTTAGGGCCAAGGAGTGTAACTTGTAAATTTTTCGTTCCATTTGTAGTTATCGATTACTCCCCTTCATATAACAAAATGTAAATAATATTTTAAAAATTGACACATTCTGACCTGCATTAAGTTGTTTGGGAAAAAAAAAAGAAAAAAAAAAACTTTTGTGTGGAAAAAAAAGGGTGGGTAAGAATTCCTAGGTTCTGGATCTTGTTTCTCAAGGGCGTCTGAGGTAAGAGGGTTAAAAACTAAGCTTATTAACTATTATTGTTGTTACAGAACAGTGACGAACTTAAGCTAAAGAACTAGTGAGATTTTTAGGTGATGTTAACCACTATTTTATTTATATACAGGTTTATCTTATGAGAGGCCTAGAAAGCAAACAGCTGTTGGATCTAGCAGACAGAGTGCAAAGAGGAAATATATGTGAAGACAATAAGAGGAAAGCTCAGTGAGTCACTATTTTTGTTATTTACAGTCATTTTGTGTATTTTTCTGAAATCTACACAAGTAAATATTGCTTTCATCATCTTCTTAGCAATCGCCAGCTGTAAACTGATAGAATATTCTGGTTGTTCATTCACTTCTGGACTTTGATCTTGTTCTAATATTTGCGTTTTTGTGTGTACATCCATTTTACATTCTCCAACCCCCACCCCCCAGCCCCCCAATTAGGGCCCCAGATCCCACATAGGGAAATATTCTTTTCTATTTGGTTATGTTGAGATTTTGATCATCATCATCATCGAGTGCCTTGCCGACTGGCTTGGGCAATCATGCCTTTCCCCAATCTGTGATCCCCAGCTGCGTGTATCAGTTCGTGTGTTGACACCTCTCCATGCCATGACTGGATATGATTGACCCGGTCACTGAAGTCAGCTCATGGGTATTGATTTTTAAAATCACTTTTTAAGGTTTTCATTTGAAGCTCCTTTTTCATATTAGTAATACTTGTTGATTGCCAATAAAAGATTGCATCAGACAAATAATAAGTATATGTTTTTTATGCTGTCTTTCTAGAAAGTTCTTCCAGGATGCTCTGCCCATGGTAGGAACATCCGACTCAATTGAGGTGATGACTAGCATGCTGTTATCACAGGAGATAACTGGCACACAAGCAGACGTATGGATTACTTCCCTTCATTTTGTTCAGAATCCAAAAGAGACTATGCTGCCCCATCTTAAGGTAGTAACCAAGCTGTAGACTGTATTAAAGACAGATTTGAGAAAGCAGCAGTTTATTTTAATGATAGCAGGGCACTCCTTGCATTGGCAACCCTGAGGGATGCAATCTATTGTTTGTTTATGGTCACAAAGAAACGTTCTGTAATATTTAATATTGCTTTACATTAGGGTTTGGGTTTGAGCCCTAACTCTAAATCTAACACTAATTGCAAACATTATTAAATATGGAAGAGTATTATTACTGTACTAAAAGCAAGGCCTAAGGGGGGCTATTTTATTTGAGGAAAGGGGGAGATAATAATGTGAGGGATAATATAAAAAATCTACTCATTAAACCTGTCTCAACTCTAAACCTACAAGAGCTCCAATAAAGATTCTCGTGGTGAGTGGAAGCTGAAACCCATACCAAAGCTGCTTTAGTAACAAAGAAAACAAGAAAAAAAGCACACTAACTATAAGTTCTTTTCTGAATTAAAACAACTGGAACTATAATCATCACACTGAACATCTGTTTATTTTCCTGAACACAAAACTAAATGCTTTACATATAGCAATATATTAACAGTTAAAATGTGCTAAGCACTCCAGCTAAACAAGATGAGTCAACTCCCAGCAACCTACAAATACAACTCTACGAGTGAGGGTACGCATTGAAATCTAGGTCTAACACATCTGACTACTGAAGGAAATTTAGATCTAACACCGAGATTAACTATTGAATGTACCACTGTGAAGAAACCACTAAGAAATTATATCTTTCTCCAATCAGTCCTTCGAACCCATGTCGTATTAAAAGCCATTAGAAAATTAACAGAAAATTAGTCTTTCCTATGTCTGGCCTCACAACCCAACTAGCCAATAGCAGACAGGGCACACATCACAAAGCAAATTGCCAAGAATTCAGAGCACGCAGAGAGAACAGCCCAAAAGAGATACATTTTCTGCTTCCCTTGCCTTTTATAGTCACTGTCACCTATTTCTGTACTTGCCAGTTTTATTCGCAAGTGCAGTCAAATCAAAATTATAAACAGCCGTGGCCACCCAGCTACATTATTAGGTGAACTTACACAAACAATGGATTAAGTCCCCTAGGGTCACAACTTACATAAATAATAACATACAGTAGATTGCATTCCCTAGGATCTTTGCTGCAATGTGTGCCTGATAGCAGATTTATTAGACATGTCATTCAATAAATAACTATAAAAAAAAAACAAAAAAACTAAAGAGTTTAAACTTAATAAGGAAAGATGAATTCAGGCAATTGCTATTTCCCAGTAATGACCATATGAGTTTGGTAAACATCAAATGAGTGATAATATTCTCATCATGTCATGAGAAGAAGAAAACTGGAATATCTTATGACTACTGGTAACATTTGTGGAAAGATGAATGAAAGATTCTTGGCAGCCTTTTGTCATGGTATGTAGGGGGTGTCAACACATGAACAGATATGTGTTGCTGGAGATCGCAGGTTGTGGAGAGACATGATCGCTCACGCTATGATGATGACCATGATGAGTTAGGATTAATTAGTTAATTAGTTTTGTGAGTGGAGTAGCTTAGAGATTATGGCATCTGCCTTTGGTTCGTGCAAACCTGGTCCATTTTACAGACTGGAACTTGAAATTTTTTTCAAAATAATAAAATTATATCGTATATACCTCACTTATCTTAGGGGTCATGTATTGCACTGGGATTTTGATATACACATTGTAAGAACTAAGAACAGTGGTAGGCACAGTACAGATAAATGATTTCATAGAACATCATAGAATCAAATGGGTTAGTCACCTGGTCAGAATGGATTCAAATCAGCCATCAGTGGTCTACATGTAAAGTGGCCTACCACAAAAGAGGTGGGTGGAGGGGCACTACAGAAATGCAATATAACATTATCACAAGCTAGACAACTAGCAAAAGACAGGTAACTACACCTAACTCCTCTCTGCAACACTTTACGGCATTAGCAGTAGGATGAAAGAAGGAGGAGAAGTGATCCTTGCTGGTGTTACAGTTTGTATATTATGGTGAGATTAATTTTAAAAAAAAGCTATCTTCAATAAATACTTTTTTTTTTAATCATCGATTTTAGAGAGCTTAATGGTCAATAATAGTTCTTTTATACATATAAATATTTTGACATTGTCAGAATCTGCTGCTGTCAGAAGCTCATCGAATGTCATCACTGCTGCCAATAACAACACTTGTGAACAAGTTTTGCCGAAGCCAGTCAAGATGTTCTTCACTACCTGAAGTTCAGAACATTGTCGATATCTTGAATGATATTTTAGGAAGCAACTGTCAGTCAGTGGAGCAAGATCTGGTAACTTTTTTCTTTTCCGTTTATCTTTTTCTTCTTCTTTGCATTTACCAGCTCTAAACTCTGGTGGAAAGCTCTGGTTGTTCATCCACTTCTGGACTGCAGCCCTGCTGCAGAACCTGAGTGTTGCATGTGCATCCATTTTACAGACCTGACTCATTTATATGCAGACTGCTGGTTCCTTGCCTCTCAGGCAGATGCGCTCTGACTTTGAAGAAAGCTCCAAATTAGTTGACTCTTTCAACATGCTTTTGGGTAGGCAGTGGGTCTATTCTTGTTTTTCCTTTCATAGGGCCCTGAAACCCACACAGGGATTTTTCCATTTATGAATTACTTTGTTCTGCCTGTAAAATGAACATGTTGACTTTGCAATTTCCTTTCTATGAAATGTTAAAATTCTTTTGTTACTTATTTCATTTAAAAGTTACTCAGTAAAATAATAAGTTATTGTAGTTTACACAGTATTTCTTTTGCAAATCAACATAAATATATCTGTATATATATATACACATATATCATGGGCCATACCAGGTGGTGTAGGCACAGATCTTGGTCCTTGATATTTTGGATCAATTCCACTGAGGAGATTCCTCCCTGACATCACTTCAGGCCGTCAAGCATCATTTCTCTTGGTCTGCCTCGACATCTTCTACCGTTGATTTTTCCATTCATCACAACATTCTTCAGTACTTCTTTTCTCATCATGTGATTGAAAAACACTGATTGCTTCTTTCTTACAGCTGTATATAGTTCTCTAATTCTAAAGTATAGAGTTGATTAGTTGTGTTTAAAGACATTCACCATTAGTTCACATCAGCTGGTCAGGGTCAGTGCTGCTGAACTGTTCTGTTTGTGTGTGTGTGTCTGTGTGTGTGCACATGTGCATGTGTGTACAGGTATGCGCACACATTCATGTATGCCTCTATGTATGTATGTGCATACATGCATGCATGTGTGTATGAGAGAGAGAGAGAGAGAGAGAGAGAGAGAGAGAGAGAGAGAGAGAGAGAGAGAGAGAGAGAGAGAGAGAGAGAGAGAGAGAGAGAGAGAGAGAGAGAGAGAGAGAGAGAGAGAGATGGACAATTTTATGTGATAGTGTCTCAGGTTGCTTCTATCTAGCTTCAGCATCTGATCTGTGGGGCCATTGTGCCATATCTTCATAAGTGAGGACCGTCAGATGAGCAGAATCAGCAATCTGCAGTAGTAGGGATTATATGGAATTATATAATCAACTCCAGTACGAAGATTGTGCAAGTAATTAGTTTTGCTTTGCCACCAGATGGCTGCTTATTCACTGGTTGGTGCTAATTACTCATGAGCAGTACTGATAAGCCAGCATACCGCGATCGAAACCCACTGCAGGCTGCGTGGATTTTTGTCATGGTATGGGATGTCGCAGGTCGACCCAGCCTAAAATGGGTACCAGGATGGGCTGTCCTGGGAAAGTAAAGACAGCCGGCGTAATGCTGACCACATTACCCACAGAGTGCTGATGGTCTGTAAAAATATGGGACGCTCTGCCCATATGCCCGATGCGCCGAAAAGGCGTGAAAAGGGAATTTTACTTTTTTTTACTTTACTTAGTACTGATAAGAGACCTCCATCTTAATTGACTATGCTACTGGACTGCATCTACTTGCTAGTGTGTAGTAACCAGCAAAACTAAATCATGTACCCCACCACAAGCAGTCTAGTTTGGACAACAGAAAATTATTGAATTTTCAGTAACTTTAAATGGCTGCTCACTGTTTGGTCATGTAGTCTGGAATGGACATATTCATCACCATCATATTTTATGCCATGCTATATAAAAGCTAGTTATATTTACTTTACAGAAGGTTGCAGAACCAGTCCCACCATTTTTTTTGGCCTTTGTGATTTTTTTTTTTCTAGGCAAATTTTGCGTTCAGAAGTTTGCTATTGCTGACTGAAATGTCAGCTCTTGAGACCACTGTCGAAATCAACATAAGACAAACGTCCACTGCTGGGATCGAACCCAGGACCCAGGCATGGCCTGTAGTAAATCCAAAATGACATTTTTGTCATCATGGGAGCTCCTCTGTGTAAGCAGCATGAGTCACACACCCTGGATACTTGGTGGGATGCATTGTCTGTTGATAGAATCCACCAATAGTACAAATCAATTGGGAATAATTATAGACAAAAATTGACAATGTTTTATAATTTTTCATCTATAGCTTTTAATGACCCTTAGAGCTGTAGGAAACTTGGGGTTTTCGGATTCCCTGGCATCAACACTTGAGAAATGTGTGAAAAACACTGATGCTGCAGTAAATACCAGAGTTACAGCTGTTCAAGCTTACAGGGGACTATCTTGTGGTGTTGACGTAAGTTGTCTGTTTCTATTAAAATTATGTTCCTCTTATCATTTTTGATAACTGATTTTTCATCATCGTCACTGTATTCATTATTATCTTCCATGTTTTCCTGATAAGAAACTAGATTAGCATAAAATATTACTCAGGATGAAATACAAAATAGGAAGTATAGCAAATGTAAGAATAAAAGGTAGGAAGTGTGTATGAATAGGGAGACAAATTGATAGACACGATACTTTTAAAGTGTTTTTTTTTAAGCACTTAAATACAATTTATATGTTCTTATACTTTAGGGCTATTCAGTTAAGTTTACTCAGGAGTCTTCTTCTTCTTCTTCTTCTTCTCTTCCACCTTGTACCTCATCGAAGTGTCGGGGGGAGATGTAATGTTCGTTGATGAGCTCTGTCAAGAGCACTATTAAGACTGATGTTCATTTCTGTAAGGCTGTTCTTAATGCCATCACTCCATCTTTTCCGAGGTCTTCCACTCGCCTTATACCCGTTGTAACATTTTAGTGTGGCTCGCTGTGGCAGATAGTACCATGGCATTCTTGTTAGGTGTCCAAACCATTTCATTTGTTGTTCTTTGATGACCTGTAAGACTGGCTTTATTCCTAGCATTTGTCTGATTTCATGATTTTGTATTCTGTCTTTCCTTGAAACTCCTGCAGCTCTTCTAAGGCATTTCATCTCTGTTGTCACAATTTTACGTTCATTGGAGGATGTAAGTGTCCACGTTTGGCACTGATAGCATAGTATTGGCCAAAAAATAGTTTTGATAAGATTCACTTTAGTACTCTGAGGTATCTGCTTGTGTGTCAACAGGGGAGATAGTTGACCCATTACTTGATTAGCTTTGGCACATCTGGAGCTAATTTCTCTGTCCAGTTTTCCGTCTGAAGTAAAAATTGCTCCCAAATACTTAAATTCCTCTGTTTGTCTCAGGGTGTTGTTTTTTAATTTAATTTCTAAATTGTCTTTATGTCTTCCTATCATCAACTCAGGAGTCAAAATATTAAAAATAGGGATCATCTTGAGCCAGATGATTTAGCTCCAGCCTAGAAAGTTCGTTTTCTGGCAAACCACTGACAAGACCTCTGCAGGGAAGATTTAGCCCTTTGGCCACCAGTTGAATAACCCTACTGTACCCCCTAATAGACATATCTACATATACCTATATTCATAAACACCAGTATCTTTACAAAGCTATGTTAACCTATTCATACATACTCGTACATAAATATATAAAGATGAAAGGAAAGGATTTTTCTAACATTTGTTAACATTGGCATTTTGTGGCAACTGCACCAGACATGCAGTGCTAAATCCCAAGGTTAAAACCATCACAGTTATTCATCACGCCCTTTCTAGGACGTAATTTTTTGTTATTTGAAGCCCCACTCTGGCTTTTGCCAGGGGCCGCAAAATAGGCAGGCCATCAATATGGCCAATTGTCTGAATACGGTTTCTGGGACCTCTCCACGGTGATCCTCATCCACATGGTGGCACTTTGTGTCATCGGGTGTTTATCGCTTGTGTGATGTCCTATTGGGGTAGAAAGTCAGTCAGTCAAGGCTAAAACTCTCCTCTCTCCTACCTCTCCCCAAAAAGTGATAAATACAGGTAATAAGGAGGGTTTTAAAGGCTTGAGGAAAATGTGAATAACGATTACCAATTTATTATCATAATCATGCATACTAATGAAGTTTAAAGGGAAACAATTAAGCCAGAAACAGCTTCACCAGTTAATATATTGTTGTTACTGCCTAAACAAAAATAGAATTAATTTGGTAATCTACATTTTTACCAATAATGTTGTAATTATATTTTTTTAACCGTTAATGTTGCAATCTGTGGGTTGACAAATATATTTTTCATTTTGTTCAATAGAGAGGAACTGTTATGGATACATTTGTAAACACCAATGAGGATTCTGAGTTGAGAATTGCAGCCTACCTTGCAATAATGCAGTGCTGGGATGAAAGGTTCTTAACAGAGGTAACTATTAATAAATTTCTGTCTGTGTGACTGTCGATAACTAACCAGGCAACTTGCTGTGTGTTTGTTGGTTTCTATCGATCTGAAGGGGAGCTGTAGTGGCACAGCAGCTAGGTGCTCAAGTGCCGGTGCCAAAGTCTTGGGTTTAGATCTGCATCTTGTCAAATGTTTTCTTCAAAAAGTTATCTTGGTTCCCTGGTGACCACAGCCTAAAATAGCAAGCAGGTAAAGTCCTGAGAAGTAAACGTGACCCACAGCAACGGGGCTTAGCCTCATTTGTAAAAATTATGACAGTAGACTGGAAACATCATTGTAAAATCATTGTTTATTCAAGAAATAATGAAATGTTTACCGACTGTGCTAGGTGTAACAAGAAAAGATCGACTTAAGAACGATGATATCAGGAAGAGAATCGGCACAGAACCAATACTGAACTTTATAGGTAGACAACAAATCAAATGGTTTAGCCATGTAACAAGATTGGCAGCAGACAAGGCACCACAGACAGCAATGTTATACAGATACAGTGGTAACAGACCCAGAGGTCGGCCATGCAGAATATGGATGGAAATATTAGAGACACTGAAAAGTACTATATACGTAGCAAACAGAAGGGCCTGTTCTAGAGATCTATTCCTCCCATGATGCCGCAAGGCATTCTATGAGTAGAAAAAAAAAGATGAAGCAGAAGAAGATTCAAGAAACATTAAGGACATTGTATTTTTTGAAACGAGTTGAACTGCTGAAAATTGGCTTAGAGAGTTTCGAAATAATATATTTCCTTTTAAAACAGTACTCTTCCCTTGTTTCTGAAAACCTTTGAATTAGATGGGTTTGCTTGTAGAAGACACCATCAAATCCCTCATTGTCACAAGCAATAAGTTTAACAATGTACAACCTAAAAGAGTTTTTTTGTTGCTTTCCCGTGCACCTTGAAAACATCAAAATCACCAGGTTGCAGCTCTGAAATACAATCCAATTCCTCTTATTTCGATATCAAGATTATCAAGTCAGAGCTGCTGTTCTGAACTGAGACGTTTAAATCAGAATTGGATGAAGAGTTATCAAGGAACAACTTTCTTTTTTACTGCCACTGCCTTACAATCCGGTATAAACTTGCACGGGCGTAGGACGCTCGTAAGGTTATAAAAGTACTGGCCCAGTTACAATCGATTGAAGCTCATTTTCCTTGCAATGGTCATCTTTTATGGTGTCCACAATGACAGTCTTGAACTTTTCATGAATAAAAGTGTAAAATCAGGTATAAAAAACACACAACAGAATAGACACACTGCTTCTCTAACATACATTTCATATGAAGTGACTAATTAGGTGGTGTTTCCTTAGAAGTTAGACTATATGAGCCTGAAAAATGAGGAATCACCAGTCTGCATTCATATAAGCAAGATTTGTAAAACAGATGTGCACACAAAACTCATTTTCTGGAACAAGCCCAAAGTTCAGAAGTGGTAAACAATTAACATTTTTTACCGGAGTTAACAGTTATTGAATGCTATGAAGAATAACAAAATCACAAGTTAAACTGTATTTTAACCAAAGTTTATGCAAAATGTATGATAAATTGACTGAGGCAATAAAGATGTCCACAAGAAACTATGAAAATAATATTGACAGATATGAAAAGGTTGCACAGGATTAAAATGATAAACTGCTAACTATATGTGACATAAAAGAAACAACAGAATGTTGATTATGATGTTTACTTTTATACTTTTCTTTCTTTGTCTTATTAATTCATAATGGTGTTTTTTTTTCCAGATTAAAAATGCCCTGAAAAAGGAGGAAATCAACCAAGTAGGGTCATTTGTCTGGACCCATCTGACCAACCTCATGGAGTCATCCAGTCTTCACAAGCAGGCACTGAAAGATATACTGAATGATGAATATCTGGAAAAAGAATTCAATATGGACCGCCGCAAATACTCAAGAAATTATGAAACTTCATTCTTTTCTGAAAAGTTTGGGTTAGGAGCTACAGGAGAAAGCAACATAATTTGGTCGTCTAAATCATTCTTGCCAAGGTTGGTAGGAATACTTTATTTAGGTACTTATGATATTGGTAATTGTTTTTTTTCCTATATGGATTCCGGGACCATATTTTGGGAGGAAAAAGAATAGATCCGCTGCCCCCTAACAACAAGCATGTCATAGAATGTGACTGATTTGGGGTGTTTCCTTCTAGGTTAAAGTGCATCTTCCTGAGAGGCGAGGGGACCAACAGTCTGCATACATCATTATCATCATCATCATCATCATCATGTGCCTTGCCAACTGGTGTAGGTGCTCATGCGTCTCCACAAATCACGATCCCTGGTTGCCTGGAACAACTCTCTTGATGATACCCCTCCATGCTGTCATTTCAGCCCATCCAGATATCTCTCTTGGTCTGCCTTTAACCCTTTTTTCTACTGATCTTTCCAGTTGTCACAATATTTTCCAATGTCTCTCTTCTTATTATGTGGCCAAAGAACAGTATTTGTCTCTTTCTTATTGAGATCTACTTTCTTATTAGAGATCTACTTTCATTGGCATATTTTTTTCTGAAATGCAGCTTTCGCTTGACCTATTCTGCTTTTAATCTCTGTGACACATTTTCCATCTGATGATATGATTGTTCCCAGATATTTGAATTTATTAACTTGGTGAAGTCTTTTCCCTTCAATTGAGATATCACAACGTGGAGTTATCTTCTTTTTTGATATAACCATTACTTTCATTTTCTTAATGTTAAATAAAAGTGCATACAAATAAACAAAATCTTGAAAACAGATGTGCACAGGCTAAAGTTCAAAAGTGGATGAACAACGATTAGTTTCCGTTGGAGTATACGGCTGGTGAACTTTAATAAAGAAAGAGGACAATGGAGATAAGGGTATTAATTTATGTCACAGCAGATTTGTAAGAACGAACCTAGGATTCCCAGCTCTAAGCAGCCTTAAACTGGTGTGAGGGTTTTGACATTGCCACTCACTGAGTGCTAACTGGCAACAAAAATATGAATCCTACATTCTGTGTCAGACATGCCAGTGGCATGCACAGCGTTCATCACTTTCTTTCCCTAAGTAAAGTACATTTTTCTTTCTGTTGTGAAAATATTTTTGTGACACTCATTTGCAGTTTTTTTTTTTTAGGTTTTTGTGTTTGTTGTAAATTCTTGTTCTGACTGTCCCCTTGAAATGTATTGCAGTAGTGAAAATAAATACATTGTTCATTCTTTTTCACGTTACACATTGTTTTTTCAATGTTTCTTCAAAACAAAAAAAATTTAAGAATTGAATTTTAAATCATTTGGTCCAGGGTATTCTAAGAATCTGTCTATAGTATTTTAGCTCAGAAACCCCTATTCCTCTCTAATATTTTCATGACTAACATTGGTATGTTGCTACAGGAAAGATACATGCTCTCAAAATTTTTACTTTGATTTATGTTTATGTTTATTAAAGGATCAACATCATAGCACACTTGTAACCCATGAGTGCTCGTTCCACTTCTAACTAACTCAAGCCTGAGTCTGAAGAATCTCAGCACAGTGCACGAACTCTGTTGCACCGGCAAGGATACTGAAATACTTTGCTTAGATTTTCAACTCCAAATTTTGCCCGGGCAATGCCGTTAGACTCTCTTTTTCGATTTCCAACTGCCAAGAGATTTTTTTATGTGCGCATCATATGTATACATGGGCGTCCGGTCCTAATACCCGGAGACCAGGGGAAATTACTACAAGTCCATGTGAAAAAATCCCAGCCTTCACCAGGGTTTGAACCGGGGAACTCCGCCACTTTTGTTTGCTCATGAGTGTTTATCCAGAAACCACACAAACTTTTCCAATTTTAAAACTGTTTCAGTTAGTTAGTCTTAGTCAGTCTTTTCTCTTGGGCCTAGGGTGGATCATAGGGCAGAGGTCATAGCTCTCCATGTCTGGCAGTTTGTTGCCACCTGTTTTAGGTCTTGGATGTTTGTTAGGTCCATGGTTGAGCCTTCCCTGGTGATGGTTCTTTGCTTGGTCTTCCATTTTTTCTTTTCCCTTCCAGTGTCCATAAGAGGGCTTGATATGGAAGTCTTGATTTATCCATTCTGAGTCCATGGATGATGTAGTTCCAGTAGCCTTTTCTTATAAAATTGGATACATTGTCTTGGCTTGGTCTCTTGTTTTATTTGTGTAATGAGTCTGAAATTTGTTCAATGGAGATTTAGTATTCTTCTAAGACACTTGTTCTCAAAACTGTATAATTTTTTTTTTTTTTTAAATCTAGAGCTACCATGGTTTTCCAGCTCTCGCATCCATAAGTTAACATTGAAATCACACACAAGTAAAACTGTTTTACCTTCAGATAAATATGTGAATAAGCTTCAGCCCTATTTCCTTACAGGTCAGCCATGGTTAACTTGACTGTTGACATACTGGGACATTCAGTCAACCTCTTTGAGATTGGAGGTCGAATACAAGGTCTAGAAACACTGATTCAAAACTATTTTGGAGCTGATGGTGTATTCAAAGGGGGAGAGAAGCAGAAGAATAATGTCCCTTCCCGCTGCGTGAAACAGGAGAAAATGGACAGCATGAAGAAGAAGGTACAACAAACTGTTATTGAATTTATAATGTAATGGACAAAAACTGTTGTTATGTTATATTATCATTGTTGTTAAGTACTATGTTGATGGCATAATCTGTCTGAGCAAAAGCAAGGGTGATCATGTTCCTTCTATCTCTGAAGATTTAAAATCAACCACTTAGTGTCTGTTTATGATTCTGTCAAGCCATCTAGCATGTTCCCTCTCACTTGTTCAATATCTTTAACTTCCTCAATCTTCCTGGTTACTCAGCCTTCTCCATCTCTCTCTCTCTTCATCATCATCAGTTCTCATTGTGCCTAGTGGCACATGAGGCTTCAGAGAGGACTTTCCATGCTTTCCTGTCCTGTGCAATCTTCAGTGCAGTTCTCCATGTCAAAGATGCCTCACTCAGGTCACTTTCCATCGTTCTTCTCCATGTTGTTTTTGGGCGCCCCTGTTTTCTCTTTCCCTCTGGTGTCCATGTGAGAGCTGTTTTGGCAGGTATATCAAGATTCATTCTCATAACGTGGCCAAGCCATTTCCATCTTCTCTTGGTTATCATATTGTCTAAAGTTTCTTGGTTTGTGACTTGAAGTAGTTTAATGTTTGAGATTGTATCTGGCCAGAAAATTTTGATAATTCTACGTAGACATGTGTGGTGGAAGGTAGACAGCTTGTGTGCATCCTTTCTGGTCATTCTCCAGCATTCCGCTCCATAGAGAAGAACTCCCCCCAAACTGCTTAGGAAATGAATATTGTTTTGTTCTGATGAGGGTAGTCAAATGTATTTGTATTTATGGATTAACATTTTGCACTATTTTGATATTTGTATTCTTACTTAAAATTCTTAGTATTCTATATAGAGACCAAACATGTTTCTTTACCATTATACATGTATATGTTACTTTATACATGGCTTCGTTAATGTAGTAGTCTTCAGCACTTCCTCTTTTACCACTTCGGGTGTGGAGGGAGATGAATGATTCTGCTTCTTGCTTCTCTGACTGTCTCAGTCATAGACATGACACATCATGCTGTGGTAGAGTTTGATGTCCCAGTCATAGACATGACACATCATGCTGTGGTAGAGTTTGATGTCCCAGTCATAGACATGACACATCATGCTGTGGTAGAGTTTGATGTCCCAGTCATAGACATGACACATCATGCTGTGGTAGAGTTTGATGTCCCAGTCATAGACATGACACATCATTCTGTGGTAGAGTTTGATGTCCCAGTCATAGACATGACACATCATGCTGTGGTAGAGTTTGATGTCCCAGTCATAGACATGACACATCATGCTGTGGTAGAGTTTGATGTCCCAGTCATAGACATGACACATCATGCTGTGGTAGAGTTTGATGTCCCAGTCATAGACATGACACATCATGCTGTGGTAGAGTTTGATGTTATCTTTCCATCTTGTTCTTGGTCTAAATTGTACTCTGTGTTTTCCCTTTCTTTTAGTACATGCTTTATATGGTATGGCATCGCAATGCCTTCTTTCTAAGTGGGAAAACCATCTGATTTGCTGTATCTGTATGTAGTTTATAATTGGTTCTGTGCTGGCTTTTTCTCATTCCCTTATTTTATATCTTCTGGTCGCTCCTGCAGCCCTTCTCAGACATGTCATTTTGTGGATTACTAATTTTTCATTAGGGCACTTACACAATGGGTATAGGATCCCCAGCAGAGCAAAGTTAAATTTGTCGGACCAGCCAGACACTAGACATTCATGTATAACTAGGGCTCCTAAAGCATAATAAAGAATAACAACAATGAAAAAAAAAAATAGTAACACTGCAGCCTACCATGCATGTTGCAAGAAACAACAACGCTGGATTAATGTATGGCTACTTCTTCATTTAGAAAACTAGTAACAAACTATCAAACCTTCCAGTCAAAATGACAGATAGACTTCTTTACTGTTTTTAGTTGATGCAGATTTTTGCTTCTGACAATAGTAGATTGTTGTATTTTCCTCCATATGTAGACTGAAAAGATATAGTTCCATCACCTAGCTACTGAGCTGAGTGCAAGGCTTGACCCTGTGAGCTGTGGATTGCATCTGGAATGATTTTCGACTGTTGCTAGAGAAATTGTCTTGCCTTATGTGATTAATTGGGTGTGCATCCTCTGATCTGTTGTTACTGCTGCTTCTATCAAAGATGAAGTGCATTTCTAGTGTCAGACTGTTTGCATTGGCACTTCTGACTGCTGCCTTATATATTTAATGTTCATGTATCCTGCTGGATTTGTCAAGACTGCAGTCTCTGTCAATATTTTTCACAAGGGACAGTGATGGACATTCTGTGTGGTTTTTGTTGGCACAGGAAAGAAGCAACTATGGGGTGACCCATTTTCAGTGAAGTTGGAACTGCCATTACCTGATTACTATTTCAGAAATAAATTAACTAATGAATAATGCCATTTATTTAATCATTCAGTAACTTAAAGCAAGGGTAAATACAACATACATGTGTATCCTGGGAAGCAGAGAGACTAGGGTATGGCCTCTAATTCAAGCCCACTTTATTTCACAATGTTGCCTGTTAAGATTTTATGCAAACTGGATAAAGAATGGCATGCTCCCAATAAAAAATTGAATGGTAATTGCAAATTAAAAAAAAAAAATATTAGGCCAGACAGTAATATCTTTTTTTTTACCTTTTCTTCTCCACTGGAACATGAATTCTTAGCCAACTTGTGCTGAGTCACCATATAATTTTCCGGTACTTTTCACATCATTCTCTCCTCTTTGTTTAAAAAAAAACACTCTACCTTTATTTAACAGGCCTAATTAAACTTCTAAATTAGAAAAGCTACCTAAAAGATTTATTTATAGCACACATCATTTTAGAATACAGACATATGAATCCTGAATGGGACTAATAATTTGTTAATTGTGTAGATATCATCCTTGTGTAATCTAAAATATGAGACTCAGTAACTCTTGGTGATATCCATAAGATTTAAAGTGCTCCTTTACAAACTAAACCATTCCTGTATTAGCTGAACAGTTGTAAACTTAAGCTAATGGTTTAACTAAATGTTACATTTTTCAACAGTTTGCAGTCGACAAGGATGAACTAACTGCTTCACTATATCTGAGAATGTTTGGGAATGAAATAGCCTTCCATCATTTCAATGAAGATGAACTAAGGTCACTAAAAAATAAATTCAGCGGCAAGGACATTTTGGATTCATTTACCAAAGGTCAGGACATTTCCTTCACCCAAAGTGCCATGTTCATGGATTCAAGTGTGTCTGTGCCAACAGTAGCAGGTATTGCATTGACCCTGAGCATTAATGGAACAGCTACTGTGGAGCTGATTGCCAGCAGCAAAATGGACTTTAGAAAGTTTACTATGAAAAAGATGGAAGCAAATTTTGACATTAGACCCAGGTAAGTGTCTGCATTATATGCCATTTATATGGATGCTAAGACATAGTAAGCATAGAAGATGTATTAAAGAAGTTTTGAGTAAAATAGCTCACTGAAAAGCAGTATTTCACACAATGAATATCCTTTGCAGTCTGATTCTCATTTGAGGTGAGAGGAGAATTATCCAGAATTATAATGAGCCACTCCTGGTGTATTGAAGTGAATCTCAGAAAAATCAGCAGATTAATAAAAAATTAATGCAAACTGTGAAGATGTATTTTTAAAGAAAAATGACTTGAGAACTTTGTTTATAATGTTATGTTTTCTTTAATTAATATATTTTGATTCATTTACATTAATAAGTTTGATTTTTTAATTTACATATCTTTTAATTAATTTACAGTTCACTTTATTTGTTTTTTCTGTTTTATTTCTTTATAAATATTTACAATGTTGTGGTCTTTTTTTTTTCTCTCTAACCTATTTTTTGTTTTGTGTTCATTTACCATGCATTTTTTTTTAAAATACTTTTTTTTTAAATTAAAACATTTTGAGTCATTTACAGTGTTATGTTTACTTTTTGTTTCTAAATTTACAGTGGAGCAGTGCAACTGTCTTGCATGATGAGCCTCAATGCAGGCATCACAAGAGCTGGCCTCAAAATGGTAACAACCCTACACTCCAGCACATCAGCCTCTGGCAGCATGGATCTTACCAATGGCCAAGTGCTTAGTGTGGACTTGGACACACCCAAAAGAAACATGGAAATTATTGATGTCAAGTAGGCCTTCTTTTTTCTGTTTTTCATCTCCCAAGTTATTATAGATCCTGTATCAACTCATATAGATTTTGTAGTAACAGATGATGGCAGAAAGAACTATAAATCAAAAAGAGAAAAGAAATGGCTAAAACTATCACAGCTAGAGAGATAAGTAACACATTAAAAATGACAATTGTTAAATGTTATGCAATGTATACTCAGCCCTGTTGTATGGTGCATAAATTTGGATTGTGAACACATCATCTTATGATTCAAATAAGATCATTTTCAGACTTAAACTCTTTCAGTCTCACAAGGAAGTAGCTAATATCTGAGGGAACTACAGATGTTAATACTTAACTCATGGGCATACTACACCCTGAGTGGCCAAATATATAACCCTTGCAACAACAAACAATATTTTGTCAAATTTTTCCAAAGCTGCTGACTAAACATAAGATGTAAAATCATTCATAATATTTTAATGATACACATGAATAATACCCAGTCAGGCATAGTGCCTTATTTAGGACAGGAAGAGTTTAGCCTGGAAAATAGCCAAAAATTTCAAGGAGTCATTTAAAAGAGAGTGTGTTTTTCCCCTTTGCACCTTCTTTAACCTTTCTCAGTCACATTTCAGTGGATATACTACCACTAACATGACTGTCGTATGGCAGTTTTGTCTCGCACCTTTACTTACGGAATATTTTCACAAATCCCTCAGGTGCTCTGAGACAGGAGTGTTTTGAATGGTGGCTCTCGTTCGTCTAGAGGCCTAACCCTCGGTTCAAACTTTCCATTCAACCTGTCTCAGGAACGAGGTGACTCGAGCTCTGACTCCACAGGGTTATTATGAACACTTGGGTACCTCTCGGCCAGACGTCCTCATCACTATTTTACCCCCAGACTGTTATACAACGTAACACAGTCAAACAAGTAAACAACAGTGAATATGACAAGACAGGACTACCTTTCTGACTAAGACAATGAATTCCAATAAGACGAAACTTTTCTAAGAACAAGAAGACTGATGAACTAAACTTCAATGTAATAAATTCACCATAACAAGGTAGACGAAAAGTAGCGTGAAGAATCACAACGAATGTTCAAATGTTTGAAAATCTAACACTAGAGAAAGAGTTTTTCTACATAGACACATCCATTTCCAGAATCATTATTGGCGGGAGGCGTTAGACAGATTTTGAAGGCACAACTGGAGTCAAGCCGCTACAAAGTGCTACTCAGACTTATCTGGTAGGATCCTGCAGCTCCTCAGGATGCCCGAAGGTGGAAATCTGTCAAGTCCCACTTCTCAGCAGAACTCCATACACTTGATGATCTCTCTGAGAAAAATCAAGGACAATCATTCCCCAGAGACTGGTGGATATATGGTTCACGGACAGTAGAGTATACTGGGTAATGGCTGTTCAACTCAAGTCAGCTGCTTCCCCGGTGTTAGTTGGTGGAAGATCACATCAGGACCACGGACGCTAGCTGGATCTTCAGAAATCCTGAAAAACACAAGGCAACACTCATGAGCGTACCGTATCTAACGCACCCAGTCAATCAATGTCCTTACCACCTCCCTATGCTCAGATATACTTGAGGTTAGTCCAAACCATGAAGGTTGGCTACCTCTATCTTGGAATCCGTTCAGTTTCCCAGAGTGAGCACCAGAGTCGTACGTACATTTCCATTAACTCGAATAGTTTCTGAATTCAGTCCTGTAAAGAAAGCCAGACAGATCTCCATTATTTCCCCTCCCTTTTAATATACCTTTTTCACTAATTGGAAAGATAAGGTATAGGAGATGAAGTCGAAACTAAGATTGAAGGAAATATGCTCCGAAAGTAGTACGATAGTCTAAGCTTGTTGTGGTTACGAAGCTCCTAGCAACAGCGGATATGACGTCATGCCTGACCCAAAGCTCCTTGTCATTCACAACGGTTCAGCGACTCACCAAGTTCAGAGACCGAATAACAGCAAACAACTAATCATACAAAGTTAACAATACCATAAGTACACTCCGGATATGTGGATTGATTGATCTGAAGAGGTTTAGAAGGCCGGTTCGAAGAATTCTCCGAGAAATTCCAGCCAAAAGTGCATTCCAATCCGGAGTTCTATTCGCCGTCCTCCATTGCAAAGATCGTAGACAAACAGATTCGCATTATCAATCTGCTGACCTTACTTACCCACACTACAGACACTCTGAGCACAAATATTTAATTAAAAACCCTTATGAAAACTCACCCATGATAAATGGAAAGAGAATAAAGAATCTTGTCTTTTTAACGGTCAAGTGGCAACACAAAAGGAAAGCGTCTGCCTCAAAGACCGGACCATAGAGAAGTGACGCATAAAAATACAGTCCCCAACTACAGCAGTTGGTGTAATAATCCTGCTCACGTATGCGGTGAAGTGGTCAGACAATTTATTTTAAATAGGCGTAGAAAATGTGTCCTAACGTGTAAATCGACACTAAAGCCTAAAAGAGTCTATATCAAAGTGAATTATTGGGATTTTTCTTATCTGGACTCCCCCAAAACAAACGAACTATATAACTACGGTCGGCCTAACCTATATCATAGTTACGATGACGATTTTGGGGGTGTTCAGACTGTGGACCTGTCCAAGACGGTAGATGTGTGTATTCTGTCATGCGACACTGACTAACCAGAGGAATGTTGTATTTGGTTAAGGAAAACTTAATCAAGTACAAAGAATAGGTGGATGCATTTCCACAGTCAAAAGAAATTCTTTGTACAGAACTATCAAACAATGATATCACTTATAGGTAGTGCCACTCACTCAGGCCACAAGTGCTCAGATTCCCTCCTCAGTATATCCCTCAATGTGTAGGGGTCGATGGCACACACGTTCTCAGTTGGTTTATTCTTCTTCTTTGGCTTTTCCATAGTACTCCTGTAAAATGGATCGCTGTGTAGGAAGTCAGGGGCACATCTTCTATGCCACAACTTGTGATTAAAAACAGAGTTGACTGCAGTTAATGCTAATATCAAGAAAATAATCCATAAACTCTAACTAAGAATCTTAGAACAGAAACACACACACAGGAACAATGACGTTTCAGCAGCAGTCTTTTTCATAAAAACTACAACAATAATACACAGAAATAAATAGTCGGAGAATTCATGAGGCCACTGAATTACAGTACTATGATAAACAAACTGAACTGTCCTATCCAAATAAACATTCCTCTGGTTAGTAGTTCCAGTTCCAGTTTGTGCAAAACAAAAATTCCAAACTTTGGTGACCTTTAACTATTTGAGTCCCAGGGGGTTTTGCATCAGAAGCCCAAAGGGGGGGGGGGGGGGGGGGGTAATATGATTTTGACTTTTAACAAATGCAGCACTTTAAAACAAACCACACAACTGCAGCTGATGTCCAACATACACATATCATACATAAAATTAAACATAAATGGATAAGGATTAATATTAGCATACTGCTACAACAAACAATTATACTGTTAGTTAGTTTTTAGTGGAGAAAAAAGTGACTTAGTTTGAGAGGTGAGTAAATTATGAACAAGTTTTTTCCACTTACCCAGAAGCTGATCCCAAAATTCTTGATATAGTATATCCAAAATGCATCACAAAGGAAGGTACACCACTTATAAGTATGCACAGCCAATATTAAAGCAAAATGTGCAATAGTTGTTGTTCCATAGCAATTTTAATAACACTACCATAACACGTCAAAATATTTTCTCCAGTGGCACAAACAGTGACTTTTCTCAAAACAATTGAAATTCCTCACATAGAAAAAACTGTAAAGGCACTGTAAACATGTCAACCTGTTCATAAATATATATCTATAGTTTTAGATGACATTTGGACTAGCTGGTGTCGCGTTACGAGGTGCTTCTCTTGTATTGCCAAGGCAGAATTAGTCAGTTTTGTCCTCTTAGCAGGAGGTAAATTACGCACACATCCTCATCAAAACTTGACTCCTCAATGGTTTGGGGAAATTTCACATCGCTACTATCATTATCCAACTCCACATTACTTTAATCGATCCACTGTTTTATCAAATTTGATGATTCTAAAGCAGTAAATCGCTTTGATGGGCGTGAAGACGATGACTGATCGGACATATTGTTTTCATACAATTGTTTGGTAACGTAGTAGACCACACAAATATCGATTTAAAGCGTTAAAAACTCACCAGACCCAAACGGATGCACTCCACGTGTGTTCACTACACACTTGAGAACCGGAAAAGAAGTTTAAACTGAGCGGTTCGCGTGTTATTACCGATAAGTGGTAAATTAAAAACCGTCACACGTCATGCGCTGTTTGGACCACCAAGTAGTAACAAATTAGCGCGTGATGCGTTCCTTGGGTCTCAAAGAGTTAACCAGCTCCTATCTGAGCAACGGTTATTTGGTCGGCCAGGTTTCTTTGTGGTTTATCCTCTGTTTAATCTTCCTTTGTGGTGTGTGTTCGCACCTGTTTTGTGTTTTTGCCTTCAATCTGCCGCTTACCTTACTCATCGTCTCCTTTCCTTTGTGGTCTTATATCTTCTTGGTTTTTTGTGTGGATTCTTTCTTGTTTGGTGTGGTTTTTGTACTCTGGTTAGTAAGGCCTCCTACTCTCGTTCATGATTTGAATGATTGTTGTGATTTTTGTTGACAAAGGTTGCTGCTGAAACAAAAATGTTCCTGTGTATGTGTGTTTTTGCCCTTCCCACCTTCTTTAACCTTTCTTAGTCACAGTTCAGTGGTTATACTATCACTAGCATGATGAACAAATTGTGAGGTACTGATTGATACTCATAGTTGTAGAAGAAGGAAGTAGAGATATAAGGACTTCTTTCTTCTGTACCAGTGAGTGTGTGTGCTAGACAGTACACTACACATTGTTTGTCATACTAATGTCATTAATTCAATGGCCTCAAGGGTTCCCAGGCAGTCTATTTCTATGTATTATGTGCTAACACTACTATACCAAAAACAAATAAATTTAAATCAGCATACTTTTTTTTTAAACGACTAGCTTTATCTTATTTGACATTTCAGGTCAGAATTTTTCTTGATTCACAACAAGGCAGAAGCCAAGCAGCAAGTGGCAAAAAATCAGGTCACCAAGAGGTCTTGTTCTCCTGAATCTGTGCTGAAGGTTCTGGGCTATGAGTTGTGTGGTGCAGTGTCATTCATCAATGCTACTAGCGATGATAGCGCACCATATTTTCCCCTAACAGGACCTGTTTCAATAAGTGCTACTATTCACAAAAAAGATGCTCCAAAAGGATTTAGGCTTCTTGGAAAGCTTATTCACGTAAGTTTATAGTTAGTAACTGTTTTTGTTAGTGGTCTGGAAGATCAGTAGAAAATGGGGTGGCTGACACAGTGAGACAGCTGTATAAAATGTAACAGTTGACACAGTGATGCCAGAGAAGAAATTGAATGTGTGCATTCATGCACAGCCAGAATTAATAGGAACACTGAAGGAAGGATTTAAACCAGTCGAAAAATTCATTAAAAGCAAAAACTGAAATGGTTTGGTCATCTGATGAACATTCCCTGGTAAATCTGTTCCTGAAATCCATGTTAAGTATAATTAATATAGAGCAAGCACAAGACAGTGCGAAAGATAGTGATTTATGTATGTGCTGATAAAAGCTATGTAGCCGCAATGTTCACTTTTCATTTGTGTCTGTCTTATTGTGAAGCTCACTGTTCTACTTTTTGTTTGGTTTTATATCTCTCCATGCAAAAGATGGAACAGCTGCATCAGGACAACCTTGAGTTGATTCTGAGTCAAAATTTGGGTGGGGGTGGGATACACTCTCTAACAACCCCCCCCCCCCTCCCCCACCCCGTAGTCATAGGAGATGACTAATTAGGGGTGTTTCCTACAAAGTTGGAATGCATCTACCTGAGAGGCAAGGAATTAAAAATGTGCATACAAATAAGTCAGATCTGTAAAATAAACGTAGCCTGCATGCGAAACTCAGATTCTGGAACATTACCAGGGTCTAGAAGTGGATGAACAAAGAGAACTTTCCACTAGAGTTTACAGCTGGTGAATATGAAGGAGAAGAAACTCTCCCCTAACATTTCACCGAGGTAACTAGAGGAAGAAAAAGAAAAGAAGTTATTTATTTATGTATTTAGCAGTGTTTGAGCATTATGGCTTGCTAACCAGATAGTGTTTATGGCATGATGATTTCATTCACAAACTGAGGGAAAGTTAAGATGTTTATGTAGTTTATAATGAAATACCCCTATTGCTTAACTGAAGCACCAGTGTGCTCTGTGAAGAGAGACCTAGGAAAACCTGAGAATATACTAGGCTGCTTGGGTGCGATACTTTAAAATGAAGTATGTATAGATGTGTGTTTATAGACAATATACATATTCACATGTAAATACATGAAAGTCACCGTGGCGTAGGGGCTAGATGCTCACATGCGGATCGGAAGGTTGTGGGTGTGCTCCCTGGTGGAGCCAGACTTTAAAAAAAAATGACCTTGGCTCCCAGGTCGACCCAGCCTTGAGTGGGTACCGGGTGCAGTCCCTGGAAGTAAAGGCTGTCGGCATGATGCTGACCACATCACCCATCTTGTGCTGATTGGTCTATAAAAAATATAGTTCTAGCCCTATATGCCCTAAATGCCTAAGGCATGGAAAAGGGACCTTTATTTTACTTACATGTTTATACATAGTAAATAGTTGGTATTATGTTTGACAGAAAGCTAGCGACAAACATGGTTACTTGAGGTAGAAGATATAGACAAGTGCTTGCTTCTTTACTCTCTATTCAAATGTCATGATCAGCATCATAAGGCATTGATTATGAGACAAGAGGAGAAGTATTAGCTTCCCCTTTTTACAGTCTGAATACTCAGAAAATGTTGATGCTCCTTATAAACTGAGGAGTGTTGTCAGCAATTATAGGGAGCTTCGTTGTCTGTAAACTATAAATAATTTATGACAAGTAATGTGTTTAGAATATATTTTATAATTTATTTTGTTTTCTCTGACTCTAGAACAAGGCAACATCAATAGCCCAGCTGTCATTTGACACCCCAGGATCCTTGGTGGAAAGGGCTATAAACATTGGCTACTTCCTTGACACTCAGGTCAGGTCTGCGGAAGTTGAACTGAGCTCTCCATGGAAAAAAGTCCTGGTAAAAGGCAAGTGTTCTATTAAACTCTTTACAAAATACTTTTGCATAAAGATTTACTATGCAAATATGAAAGTAAATACACTCAGTAAGCATTAGAGCTTTTTCAGAAATTAAAAGAAAAATGAAAAGAAAACACACACACACACACACACACACACAAAAGATTGATTGTATATCATAGAACAAAACAACTGTCATGTATTTCCTGGATTATTCATCTCTGTACAGTAATACCTCAGATTTGAACATTTAAAAATTCCAAGAAATTGGAACCTGAATGAAATTTTCAAGTAAATGTTGCCTTGGAATCTGAACACTAGCCTGGGAAATGGAATGCCTGACACGTACCAACCATTGCACTGCAACACAATGCCACCTAACAGGTTGTTGAGAGGGGGTACCCTGATAGAGCCAGTGTTAACGGGTGTTTTAACTTATTCAGTGTTAACATTATCAAACATTTAAGAAAAATTAACTACCAACATCAAAGCATTTTGGAAAACTGGCTCTAAACAAAAACTAGTGACCTTGATTACATTGTAAAACAGAATAAGATGGTTTAGTCACTTCATTAGAAAGGAACCTGCAAATCTATCCATGTGTAAAGGTCCCAAAGTGCAAAGGCAACCAAAAAATAGGTGGATCAACTATAACGTCTCACAAAGACATGGACTTATATTAGCCTGCATATTACTTTTTCTTCTTTGGTTCGCTTGAAATAGATTAACTATATCTGCAATGTTGTCTCTAGTATGAACTTCACTGTCTTTTGTAATTCACTCAGCGACCCGTAAAGTTTGACTTGCACTGATGTTTCTCTTGGCCAAAAGTTATGTCTTAATATGTTGTATTTAGGACAGTCTTGGAGGACATGATCTGTTGTCTCAGGCCCCAATCCACATGTGCTCATGGCTGATTCGCCAATTCTAAATTTTGTGTACATGTGGCTGCGAAGTTGACTCTGTCCTTAGTTAGTTAGTTAGTTAGTTGGGTTATCCTCATTGCACTCCGGACATGTCCATAGGTGCTCAGATCCTCCCCTCAGTATGAACCCCAACGTCCGATGGCTAATAGTACCAGTTCTATGTTGATTAACAAGTCTTCTGGCGTAGCTGGTGTGCGTCTCGTTTTTTGCTGTGCCGATCTTAATTCCCAAGTCTGCCATTCTGGCGAGTGATGTGGATTCACTGCCACCAAAGTCCTCTATTCTTCCCATTTCTCTGAGGGCATTGATAATATCAACATGATCCATAGGCTGACCGTCGGTAGTGATAGCGGATCCAGCCAACCTGTCAGCTCTTTCATTTCCATCGACGCCTGCGTGTCCCGGAACAAAAATAAAGGTGACTCCACGGACAGTGGACTTCTGTAATGATTCAAGCCATTGTCTTCGCACTGAACCTGCCTGAACCCTCCGGATCATACTCATTGAATCACTGAGTATACACACGCGGGTGTATTTTTGTGTTTCAAGCCAGGCAAGCGCTTGTGTCACTGCCATCACCTCCATCGTCATGCTGCTGGTTGTCATGGAGAAGGCGCCGTTGGCTTCTTTGACTGTTCTGCCCGCTGAGCGTGCTGTAAATGCCCATGCTCTTCTTCTTTGGCGTATAACGGATCCGTCTGTATAGATTATTGCATCTGCTTCGTCTGAATTTTCACCGATGAGAGCGTTGACCTCTGCATTAACAGCAACAGGATTCTCTTCTCTACATCGCCTGTTGAGTGTGACTCTGTCCTGTTCTAAGGCGCAGAATAATAACTTTCTCTGGTCTGTCCATAAAATGGTAATCGTCTTGTGCCAGTTTTGGTGGCTTTCTGATTGATTTGATTATTCCTGCATAATACAGTTGGTGTTAAGATATAAACTGCTGTTGCCTATGACACCTTGCAGTAAGATCTGAACCAGGGAACAAAACAGTTCTTGTGCCATTTAAAAACGTGGACAGATAGGACAAGACACTTACAGTTTCGTTAACTAACGTAAAATAGTAAAGGACCAATTTCATACAAGTGACGTGTCCGGCATTTCTTCTTCTTCCGTGTTCATCTAAAGATGTAATTGTGTTGTGCCCGTTTTCAGCATGGCTGCAATATTTGCACTTTATGGTCAACACATCTGACTTCTGCAGGAATTTGTTGAACGGGTTAGCCTTTCCGGGTATCCGGCATGTAGTGCTAGACTCATATTTTTGTAGACTAATCGTCAGTCAATGGGTGATTAGTAATTTGTAAGGATTATCATCACAGCACTCTGGACAGATCCATAGGTGCTCCGATCTCCTCCTCAAAAGCTTCAAAAGTGTACAACAATTGAGGACGCCTGTTCTGTGGTGGTTAATGAAATGTCTTGTTCTCTTAGTGAAATGTTCATTTCTTGCAGCTCCAGGCTGCACCCCCCCCCCCCCCCTGTCCTTTAGTCTAGACAGGGATACAGAGTCATGTCCTTTGGCATGCTTCTTGGTATGCTAAGTGCAGCACATGGCATTGATGGGTGATTTTTGTCAATATCACACTAGCAGCCTTTACTTTACCTGGTACTCATTTTAGGCTGAGTTGATCTGAGAGCCAAGTTTTTTTTTTTAATCTAGCTAGATGTGGATCGAGCTGAACACTTTCAAGCTGGTAAACACATTTTCAACTTCTACACCACTGTGGCTCCCACAATTTCATGAGATTCATCAAATTACCTTTCAAATTTTGTTTGTACCAGGATCATACACTGTTGAACCAAAAACAAGGAAGCTGTTAGCAACTGTCCTAGACGATGGAAGAGAATATACTTTGCAGATTCAGCTAGACGAAGATAAGCAAAAGAAGAAGGTCAGTTCATAAATATGTCCACTTCTTCTTCGTATAGCCAATGCCATGTTGCACTTGTAATCATATTTGTAAGCAGCTTTCAGTCTATTGTATTGTCAGTCATTTCTGTTTAAGATATTTTTTCATGCCAAGATCCTAGAACATTCAACATCTTGTCTCTTTGTCTCCTTCTGTCTCTTTAGCCCTCCAACCTTTCCATTATCAAGTCATATTCAGTTGCCCTTTAATAATGCTCCATTTGGGAGCAAATGAACAATGTGGAAGCATAAATACATATTTACAGTGTGGATAGAATGGTGCTGTTTGAAGGAACAGAGGATTTTGCTGACAGCCAACACCCAGAGAAAGGGCAAGACTGATAAATAATCAAACTGCTACTGGCATTGTTGTATCTGAAGCTCTTTTTTGGCTGCTAAGGATGAGTATGGAGTGATTATGGAAATTTACAAAGTGCTGTGATTAATTTCTTAATTCAGCTCAGCTCAAGTCACTATGTTGTGACAGATTGTAGATTGTTGCTTTTAGATATGGGGTCATCAGTTTGTTTGTTATGCCATTTATCCATAATAGTATTTTCATCTTTTATCTATAAAACCATTTCTCTGTAGCTTCCACATAATTGTTTACTAAGCAGCTGATTGTTCGCAATTTACTTCCATACACCTGGATTGACTACACAACAAAGTTAGTTGCATATCCTTTACAGGACATTGAAGAACCAACCCCAGCATTTTTTGGCTGTTGTGGTTTTTCTTGGCAAATTTATGTCCAACAGTTTGCCATTGCTTTCTGATCGGTCGTCTTCTTGATACGACTGTAGAAACCAACGCAAGGTGCAAGGCCAGCAGCTGGGATCAAACCTGGCACCTCAGCATTATAAAGCGCGTTCGCAACATCTAAGCCACAATTGCTGACACAACAAGCATGTCTTAAAAGTTGACTAATTAGGGATGTTTCCTTCACAGTCAGAGTTAATCTGCCTGGGGCAAGGAACCAACAGCCGGCATACAGTTAAGATGAATCTAAAAAACATTCTGGAACAAAACCAGCGTTCACAAGTAGAGGAACAACCAGATTTCTACTGGAGTTTCTGCCAGTGAATGCGAAGAAGAAGAAGAATATTCTTCACCCTGGGAAATCTTGCTAATGTTTGAGCATTTTTACAGACACATCCTTTTTGTGTGTGTGTGTGTGTGTGTATAATACTCAAAGAAGGTTGCATTTTTATATCTGTGAGAGCAGAGCTCATCCAGGATTGCCCTAGCCATTTTACTGTAGTGGTACCCTTTATATAGCACAGTTAAAGTTGGGACCAGTTCTGAAACATTTTCAGCAGCTCACCACTCTTATTTAAAGCTGAGATGATCTCCTTCCCTTTAAGGTTCTCTTAACTCACAGTGGCAATGCTGAGGTCTTCCTTTCACTTTAGAAATATAATATAAATTTTTGTTAGGACTATTTTCTTGTCTGTTGAGTTTTAAAGTCAGTTTGTGCTGTAGGACTGGACTGGACTTTTTACCCCACCAGGACATCACACAAGCGATAAACACCCGATGACACAAAGTGCCACCATGCGGATGAGGATCACCGTGGAGAGGTCCCAGAAACCGCGTTCAGACATTTGGCCATAATGATGACCTGCCTATATTGCGGCCCCTGGCAAAAGCCAGAGTGGGGCTTCAAATAACAAAAAATAACGTCCTAAGAAGGACGAAAAGTACTATATTTGTGCTGTATTTAGTACTCTGTTGATAAAGACTTTGGTCAAAACTTTCAGTTGTGTGTGCGTGTGTCTTTTCCATTCCCTCCTTTGAGCTTTTCTAGTCAATTTTTTTTAAATACTTAGCAATGAAGACAACACATATAAACTATAAATGTTACAATTTCTACTTAATATACATTACAGATTAGGGGTCTTGGTGGTGAAGAGGTCAAGCTTTTTGCCGGGCACTGTGAAGGTCATGGGTTCATTTCACTAGTGTTGTTCAGTTCATGAGTTGGCAATTTTACAGAGATCCCTAGAGATTATTGCCAGACCTATAGAGTTCTTGCCTTGAGTGATGCTCTTGGCAGGCGGCTCATCTTTTTGCTTGACATGATATGAGAAAAAAAAAAAAATACTAAACTCGGACTCTTCAATGTACCCTGGGGTATCATTATAATTGGGTGCGTTGTTTGAGTGTAGTTTTGATAGTCCACCCTTTTGGTGTGTATTGGTCTGCCTGACCGCCCTGGGTAGTGCATGGATGCCACCGGTTATTGTGCTGGTTCTGTTGTTTTTTGCTGGTTGTCAGTTACGCTGTCAGTTCTTGTACCAAGGCTGCCTCCCGGTTCACCTCACCGAAGCATTGTTTTGCAGAGAAAGACTGAGCTATATGGGATCAAATCCCATGTCGATGCTCTCATCTGTAACTTTTTAACATTACAGACCCCCTGTTGACACACAAGCAGATAACCCGAAGTGCTAAAGTGAATCTTATCAGAACTATTTTTTGGCCAACACTATGCTATCAATGCAAAACGTGGACACTTACATCCTCCAATGAATGTAAAATTGTGACAACAGAGATGAAATGCCTTAGAAGAGCTGCAGGAGTTTCAAGGAAAGACAGAATACCCAAACATGAAATTAGACGAATGCTAGAAATAAAGCCAGTCTTACAGGTCATCAAAGAACAACAAATGAAGTGGTTTGGACACCTAACAAGAATGCCATGGTACTATCCGCCACAGCGAGCCACACTAAAGCGTTACAACGGGTATAGAGCGAGTGGAAGACCTCGGAAAATATGGAGTGATGGCATTAAGAACAGCCTTACAGAAATGAACATCAGTCTTAATAGTGCTCTTGACAGAGCTCATCAACGAACATTACATCTCCCCCCAACACTTCCATGAGGTACAAGGAAGAAGAGAAGAAGAAGAAGAAGATTACAGATCACAAGTAAACATGCAGAAATATTTTTGTTTGAAAATGAACTTTTAAAAAAAATTGTTTGTACATATCTCTTTAGACTGTCTACACTCCAACACTGGAAATTTCCAGACCACGAGATTCTAAACTGTTGTCAAAGGCACCTGAGAAGTTGAGCATCGGAGGAACCGTAACTGTAGAAGATGATTACAGTGACATTTCGGGTGTTGTCAGCATCAAGTCCGGTCTTGAACCAGACCCTATTGAATTGAAAGGTTTGGTTGGTGTACTAATGAAACATTATTTTTATGTAGGAAGACATGAATTCATAATGTTAGTGAATTGTTTTTATTAGTTTATATGTTTCATATTTAAGAAAAAAAAGTTTTCTAAAAAGATATTTACTATTATTATTTTGGGCTAGACAATCCCTAATGAAATGGCTTTAAATGACTTAGAAACTGGAAGCAGCAGAAATGGGGTTTGTGGGAAGAAAGAATGTTAGCAACTATAACAACAAAGAAAATACAAAAAATACATTTGTACTGGCGTGTAACAAGATCTACCTAACTTCCCAAAATGCTACTGCACAGCTGAGAAGAAATGAAGTGGAGAAGAGGCAGACCAAGATAAATCTGTGGCCAAACAGACAGGTTTAAAACATGCAAGCATCAAGTTTATTGCTTCTGATCAACAAAGGTGGAAGGAACTGATCAGACAGTCACCAGCAACTGGTGACCCAACAACATGTGGTGTTAGGGAACTATGGTGATGATAATACTGTTTTAAAAACAGTGTAAGCAGCGATCTATAATAGCCACTGAGGCATTGAAATCTAAAGGCATTGCAAGATTACTCGTTAGAGACATAAGGTTAGAGAATTTAACAAATATGGGGTATAACAATTAATGAAGTACTGTAAGAATATTATTTTTATTTTGGGAAAATATTGGGAAAGAGATGCAGGTAAATAAATAAAATGATCTACTGTGAAGAATAACAAAGCAAGGCAAACTTCATCAAAATAATGGATGGCAGAAAAGATTTTAGATTCATGATCTGAAGAGGAGGAAGAATTGATCCTGCTCTGGGGTAGAAGGTGCTAGGTCTTCATATTGAGACAGAGACTATGTGACCAATGAAAGAAGATGGTTCTCTCTTGGCCAAGGAAAAAAGTCACTGTGAGAAGGTAACCCACAGTATGCACTGGGCATCACAGCCTGCTTTCCCAAGTGCAAGTAGGCATCAAGTTGGCACACAGCTCGAAAAGGCAGGATGATGCTACAAGCATTTAATAGATATAATAAAGTTGGCTTGCAGGGCACAGATCAACAAGAGGAGAACGACACTTGTGAGACATGACTCCAATTTACTCTCAGACTGTGATGAAGATAAAGAAACAAAACATTTGGAGATACTGTGACTTTGTTGATTCCAAGGCTCCTACTAGGCTTATTCAGTAGTGGAGTTATTAGTTTAGATTTAAATTTGTGTTTCAGAATCACAAAGGTCTACAGAGCAGTTATGCTTCATGAGTGTTATTTTTAGCAGTACAGCATTCACCATCACCATTATCATTCTTTTGTGGTGTTTATACATCACATGAGGCTCACAATCTATTCCTCCATTCTATTATGTTCTGTACAATCCTTTTGATATCATTGATATATCAAACTAAGCTTCTTTGGCCATTGTCGTCAATGATTGTTCTAGGTTTTCTGTTGGACTTCCTCATTTTCTCAAACCATTGCATTGGTTTCCCACTTAAGTGCCTGTTTAGGGAGTGACTGGTTTAGTGACTAGATGCTTCTGTCATACCAAAGGTATGGGTTCAAATCCACATTGAACTGGATTTTAAAAAACAACAAATAAAAACCTTGGGAGTCAACCCAGTCTAAAATGATAGGTATCACATAAAGACTCAGGATGTAAAAGTGGCTGTATGATGCTGACCACATCATCTACAGAGTACTGGTTGGTCTATCAAATATAAGTCTAGCCCTATATGTTCAATATGCCTAATGGTGTGAAAAGTTCCTTAAGTGCCTGTTTGGTGATTCTCTGCCTCTCCTTTGGATGTGCCCAACATATTTTCTTTCTTTCTTTTCTCTACTACTGGAATGCCTTGTGGCATCTGGGCATGAAGAGATCTCTGGAACAGGCCCTTCTGTTCACTTCATTTAAAGTACTTTTCATGTATCTGATATCTCTGGAGTCCATCTTCTGCGTGCATGACCTCTGGTTCTGTTACTGCTGTATTTGCACAACATTGCTCTCTGTGGGACCCTGTCTGATGCCAATCTTGTTAAATGGCCAAACCATTTTATTTGGCTAACTTTAAACTTTAGTAATGGTTTTGTGCTTCTCCTGATATCATTATTTCTAAGTCAGTGTTTCCTAGATACACCCAATATGTAAACATTTCCTTTCTGTCGTGACTATTTTCTTTCTGTTTTCTGAAAACAGTATCCATGTTTGACAATGATAGCATAACATTGGTAAGAATATTGTACCATTACTTTATATATGAAACCAACATTTTTTGAAATCTTTCTTATCAGTTTAAATGTATGCTTATTTTAATGACACAAATAATGAATGGTTCTCTTTCCCTTTTATTACTTCAGCAAACTATGTCAATAAAGAGAAGCAAAACACAATATCAGGATCCTTAACTCTAAACCAAAAAAGGGTGTATTCAGCTACATTCCAAGTTGTGAAGGACATTGCAAAAGGCAAACTTTTATCTGGAAAAATTGAGCCAACCATTCTTATCTCAATTCCTTCAAAGCGGCTGTTCCTGCTGTCAGGTGTGGTTGACTTTAAGGAGGAAAAGCTCTTCAAGACAGATATTAAAATTACAATGGATGAGACTTTGAAACAGCCCATCATTTTGGATAGTAAGTTCATGATAAATATGTTCTTATTTGTTAGATATTTGGTCTTTATTGCTCTCATGCTATTAAATGTTATTTATTTAAAGTAATAAGTTTTTTCCGGGTCCATCTCCCAAATGCCCAGCCTGGCCGCCCGATTACCCGAAGGATATTATGTCGGTAATCCAGACTGAATGGGGAAACAGCCCGGCAGATTTTTTTAGTTGGCTTTGCCGTTTGGGTTTCACCCGTGACTTGGTTGTGACCGATCCCAGTCCTCTTGGCCAGACCAAGTGCAGCAAAGCTACACTTTGATCTTAGCCAGAAGGCCAGATTAACACTGTCAGTAACAATAAGACAGAGTAGTGTCACACAAAGCACAAACTCCATGGCTTCAGGTGATAGTTTCCAGGGATCTCCATATAAATTGAATTTGTGGACTGAAAAATGAAGCCTGTGAAATAAATCCATCACCTTCAGAGTGCAATGTAAATGGCTTAACCCTGTCACTGCAAGAATAACAATTTCCCTTTGTTAACAGAACTCCTGTATCTTGGTTAAAAAGAAAGAAAGCAGTTATTACTTTGCTCCCTTTATATTGAGTGATACTTCACTTAATATTTTAAAAAATCACTATTGCGATAAATAATGACTCTAAAACAGCAAAAGAATACACTGAAAATACAATGGACACTACATCCCAATTACAACAATCAGTCATAGATATTATCTTTTTTTTAAAGCTATTACTACTTCTTTTACTATTATTTCTACTTCTACTGTTATTTCTACTTCTACTGTTATTTCTACTGTTACTTCTACTGTTACTTCTATTTCTACTGTTACTTCTACTGTTACTTCTACATCTACTCTTACTTCTACTTCTACTGTTACTTCTACTTCAACTGTTACTTCTAATTCTACTGTTAATTCTAATTCTACTCTTACTTCTACTCCTACTCTTACTTCTACTTCAACTTCTACTTCTACTCTTATATCTACTTCTACTTCTACTCTTACTTCTACTTCTACTTCTACTGTTACTTCTACTTCTATTTTTACTTCTACTTCTACTGTTACTTCTACTTCTACTGTTACTTCTACTTCTAGTGTTACTTCTACTTCTACTGTTACTTCTGCTCCTATTGTTACTTCTACTTCTACTCTTACTTCTACTGTTACTTCTACTCTTACTTCTACTGTTACTTCTACTTCTACTGTTACTTCTACTTCTACTTTTGCTGTTACTTCTACTTCTACTGTTACTTCTACTCCTACTGTTACTTCTACTTCTACTGTTACTTCTACTTCTACTTCTACTGTTACTTCTACTTCTACTGTTACTTCTACTTCTACTTCTGCTGTTACTTCTACTTCTACTGTTACTTCTACTCCTACTGTTGCTACTGGTATTTTGGCCATACTAATCATTATAGTGGCCTGGAGAGAATGGTGATGGAGGGCACAGTTTTTGCAAAATAAGGAAGAGGCCAACCTCCACAGATGTGGATGCAAGATACTAAAGAAAGCACTCATGAAAGCCAAAGGGCTGTAGAACTGGCTAGAGATAGACACTTTGGGACTTGCTGTGAGGAGAGCAACGTTCTGCGGACCTGCTAAATTATGATAATAATGATTAATACGTCTGTTTCAAAACATTTACATTGTATACTTATTTTCATTTCCAGCAAAAATAACGAAGCAGAAAAAGAAGACTAACAATCGCTTCAGCACGGACACAACCCTTGCTTCACAGTTTGGAACATTCAAAGTCAAAGGATCCTTTGAAACATCCTCTAGCCCAAACAGAAAAGACCCACTCTTTAATAGCAAAGTTGCAGTTGAATATAATCTCCCAGTTTTGGCAAATAAGGCCTTGCAAAAGAACAAGCTCAACTTCAATGCAAAAGTGCAGGATAAAAGTTCCAACAAGCTAAAGAAATATGAAGTTGCTATGTAAGTTTTTTTGTGTTTTGCTCTTATTATGGTTAAATTTCTTAAAGTTAACTCCCAAGCAAGGAATGAGGCTAGAGTAGGTCTTCTGTGAATCCTGCTCAACAGTTAACATGTTCACACAAGTTCCAGTATTTTTATGGAAATCACACATGCTGTGAGAATCAATCATGCTGTAAATATTTTAATGGCAATCATACATGCTTGAAGTATTTTTTTAATGAGAATCACACATGCTTTAACTCTTTGAGGCCTGAACAATGCTGTGTGTTAACGAAGGAGTTCCAATTTGTCCAAACAACACTGCCTGCGTCGATTGTGTGTCCTGTATATATTGATTTGCAGACGGCTCCGTATTCATTTCTAATGTTTGGACCTGGAAGCCAAGGTCATTTTTGAAAAAAATGTCCACCTCTGGCAGGACCCGAACCCATAGCCTTCTGATATGCAGGTGAGAATCTAGCCACTGCACCACCGGAGCCCCTTATTGTAGAGTAAAATATGTAGAATTAGTTTTTATTCTTTCACTGCAGAATTTCAGTACCCACACTATGTGTTGTATTTATAAATTCTGAACTGTTTATTTTCTATAAGAAATACTTTTGTTAATGGTTATTCCATTGTGTTTGCTTTATGTAGAAACATGGACAGCAAAAACTACCAAGACGCTAGCTTCATTTCCAATTTTGAAGTCAGCAGAGAGGAATCCTTCACAAAAGCCCTTGTGGCATTGAAAACAGGACCAAAAGCCAAGTTTACCAACGACAAGACCCATGAGCTAAGACTGGAACTATCCATCAACCACAAGCTTGATAAAGATTCTGCTAATATTGGATATGGTCTGCAGGTTCTTTACCCTGTCCAGGTTGGTTAAACATTGAAAATAAAATTGTTTATTGTCTTTATTACAATATCTTACAATTTGAAACAGCAAGTTAAAAATGATATTGCCAATATTATGTAAACTCAACCCTACTTTATTGCCAGCGCTATTTATATTTCTTTGTCTGATTATGCCCAAATGTTTATGTCTTCAGCTCAACTGCAGTTATCGCCCATTTACGACATTACTGTTTATAAGGTATTTTATCTAGAGTATTCAACAAGACTTGAATTTATGTATATCTAATGTAAGAGGAAATGTCAGATTATTATTAAAAGAAAGGATATTTAGTTGGCACATTTGTGTCTTTCTAGATAATAGTGTTATATTATGTTATAAAGAAGCATGAGAATCACAACCCAGGGCAAGTGTGACCTGCAAGACCCACCTGTGTTAAGCACAAAGCCTGGGCAGTACTGTAGAGACTGTGTTGCACATGCAGCATGATTTCAAAAAGGATATTTGTTTATGTTACAACTCTCATTTGTGTCCACAAACAACCACTTCTTGTCATTTGGTGAGATTTCTTGGCCTTCCATTCATGGTCCATGACCTTTCCTATGAGTTGCTGTATCTTTTAGGAGTGGCACATTGTGTTCTTTTCAATCATCCAAGCATTCTGTGTTCTGCATCGGGAATGGGCGACAAGCAGGTTACCGACACATTTTTAGCAACATGACATCTGTAAAGCTAACGACTGGCACTGTATCAATTCCTCCCCCCCCCTCCCCCGCCGCCCCAAGTTGTGGGTGTTTTTTTTAGTAACCGACTGGATTCTTTAGCTTTATTATTTTGACAATTATGCACAATCTACGCTTTTGACTATTATAGATGGCAAAACTAGAATTCATAAATATCCTACGGATAATAATGTGCACAGATAAAACCTAACACAAACCCTAACCCCATCCCCAGATGCTCCTTTTTACAGCCTAGCCCAAAATGCCAAAATTCTCAATACAGAGGTGCTCGCAGAAGGCAAGCAGCTCACATAGATATGAAAAACTTGTCAGATACTTGGCCCCGCACAGAAACAAACATAAAACAAGAACGTCTAAATAACCACTCAGTCACTCGCCAGCTAGGAAAGAGAGGTGTAAAGTCACCATGTCAGGCCTTGAACGATATTCCACATGGTATCCTTACAACTCTAGAAGATACAGCAGCCCCTGGGAAAGGTCATGGCTCATGAATGGAAGGTCAAGAAATCTCGCCGGATGACGAGAGGTGGTTGTTTGCGGACACAAACTAGTACCTTATTTGTGTAATTAATATGTTACAAATTGCATGGGTGTTCACATGAGCAGCTTGCCTGGTAAGGAGAGTCATGTGCACTGGGTGACTTCAGACCACAAAATTGATAGAAAAAATAGCATATGGAAGACAAGATAAATACCTCGTTGACTTGGCTGTATGATATAAACAGAATAATGTTACAGACCTGAAAAGAGATTTGGGAGATCATGTGAGATGGTAAACTGTAGCTGTGCATACTTATTGGCACTTCACCTCATGATGATAATGTTAAATTTGACAGTAAAAGCTTAAAAGGTAGAATATAATCATGGTCTTTATATGATTACAATTTACTCTTATACAATATTTACAGAACATCGAGTATGAGATCAAAGGAAAGCATGAGCATCACCTCAAGAACAAGTTCTCCTTTGAGACATACAATGCAGTTGTCTTTGGTAAAGGAAAGAGTGTAGAGCTTAGGATCCTGGGAAATAGCAACAGCAAGAAAGATGACAACCTAGATGCTTCTGGGTCACTTGAACTGAATTTTCCAGCATTTGAGATTAATGGTAGGAAATACAATAGCAGAATGTACAAGCTAGGTACATCCATCGCCCAAAATTCTGACAAGGAATACATTCACACTGTTAATCTACAGGTCAACGATGACAAGCATACATTAGTCACAAAATTTAAACGTCAAAAACATAGCCAGTTTGACTTCTACTCTCAGCTTCATGTAACTAGAGATCCTCCTTTGAAGCTGACTCTGATTGCTTCTCGTGACACTGAGAATATAAAAGGATCTGCAGAGTTTTTCATGAATGGGGATGTTTACTATGGTGCTTTGAATTCAGGGATAATTGGAGACAAGTATCAGTCTCTTTCTTGGGACTTTGTTTGGCCAGAGAGACGGATTAAAGGCTCCTTAGAAGCTGGTCAGAAGCAAGAGCCAAATACCATGATGAAATTTGAAATTTTTTGGGATGCGGACAAAGATATTACAAAGAAAATTACAGCCGATCTTAACTATTCTTTTGATAATGGAAAACGGGCTCAGAAAACTGATTTTAGCATTACTATCACCACTCCATTTGAGAATCACAAGATCTACAGCTACAAGAGACTAGCTGAGTTGGCTGTCCGGGAACTGAAGGATGAATTCAAAATTATTTGGCAGAAAGCAGAAAATGAATGGTCCTATTCCTTTTGGCTTTTCCTACCCCCATCCTTAGAAAAGTTTGAAATGAAATCCAGAATAATAACCCCTTTAGACAGTTTGAGAAAATTTGGCTTTGACATTAATCACAAGTTTGATGGGTCTCGTTACTTATCATCCACGGTAAAAGGAGCATACAATGACGATGAGATGACTGTGTCAGTGCTAATAGCCAACACTGGGGACAAGGTGAGAAACAACTTGGACAGCTCATTCACCATCATTTCTACCTTGCCCAAATACAGAAATGTAGTCCTAAAAGTCAGACACAATGATGATGGTAGAGTATACTCCACAGAGCTCTTGTACGAAAGAAATTCAGAACAATACAAAGCCACTTTTTATACCACTTACTTCAGACTTCACTATCACCTGCATGTTGATTCAAAGTTGGAGCTGACCATTCCAACAGAGAAGCCAATTGTTTTCACATGGGTGCATGCCAACACACTGACAAATCTCAACTCAACAGTCACTCTGAACTGGAAACCAGAATATGACACCAAGTTAGATGTAGGTGTCAAATTCAACAAAGCTGAGAAAGATTATGCATTGGATGTTGCTATCTCTGGGCCATGGAAGGAATTTAAAGACTTTGAAATTCAGTACAGACACAACATGATGATGGATATATTAGGCTCTTACTATATGCGCATCAACAAGGACCCCAAACTGACAGTCAGATCCACATACAAATACACAAGTTCGGATTTAAAATGGGATTACGATTATTCGAATGGAAATTACAAGGGAGCTCTCACGGCTCGGTTTGAGCACTATCCTTACACTGTTCTGTTTGAGCAGACATTGGCTGGTGTGGACGACAACAGGTGGGAAGAGAGGAAAATTGTTTTTGATGGATCTGTTGACAAAACCTATTCTGATGGCTGGTCAGCCAATGCTAAGTTAGTGACTCCATGGAATGAAGTTAGAAATGTAGATATTCGTGGAAATCTCCAGAAAACCTCCCAGTCCCAGTGGAAATTTGATTCCGTGGTTATGCTCGGTGTTCGTAAACAGATAACAGTAGACTTCACCGTGGATACAGCTGAGTGGTCAGAGATGAATGCATTGATTAAAACACCATACAAAGAGATGAACAGTTTGAGCTTTGGGTTCTCAAAGGAAACCGTTGACAAACTGTATAGTTCAGGAGCATATATTGAGATACTGCCACTCTTCAAGAAGGTCATTGTGGAACAGTCAGTATCCTTTGAACCTGATTTCACCTCCAGATATTACATTGACCTCCCAGAGACTGATATCAAATTTATTGAGATCAATGTTTACCATGCTGAGCAAAGAAGAGGTTACAACACAGTAGTTAAGGTCAACTATTATCCAGAGAAAGAACTGAGCTTAAATTTCAATGGAAAATTCAATAAAAATAAATTTCCAGAAAACACAAAAGTCTTGCTGGATCTTGTAACTCCATTTGATGTTGTTCCTGCAGTGAGTATCACCGGTGAGTTAGACAAAAACCAAGGAAAATGGGTGGGTCTTTTTGAGATAACATCAGAAACCAAGGGATTTGAGCATCTGAAAATCACAATGGTGCATGCGGCCACTAACTCCTCCTGCTACAATGACTTTCAGGTGGAGTCTTCTTTAGCAGAGACAATCGATATTGGAATGCATTTTGACTGGGGAGACATGGCAGCAGTAAATATCACCCTGAATGCTCCTAGTGTCAGTCGGGCTATGATTGGATTCAAGCAGAATTCAAAGTCCTGGACTGATTTTCAGCATAAAGTATTTGCGGAAATTGTTGGATACAACTTGGATATGGATGTCGGTCTTAAACATGATGAAGATGTCACAAAAGTCTGGCTTTTATATGCATACCCTGGAGCCGATCACAGCTATCTGAAAACATCCATCCATCGCATTGGTAATTCAGCCAATGACTTTGATGTTGGGGGTTTCCTTCAAGTGGGAAAAGACTCTAAGCCTTACAATATCTCTATGCAGTATGCAATGCTGGATACCAAAGTTGCCATTGGTACAACTCTGGAGACACCTTTCACGAAATCTCTCTCGTACTATGTGAAAAATGAAAAAAAGGAGGATGATGAGTACGTCACAGTGTTGTATGGGAAATATGACACAGGATACTTAGTTGACTCCTCTTCAGCTCAAAAAATATCTGACAAAGCAGTTGAATTTAGCACCAGAAATGAGTATCTCTTTGATGGCAAAGGTCATAAAAGTGGCACTAAAGTTTCTGCCTCTTGGTCTGAACATGAACAAGAAGCTGAGGTTGAGGCTTACTATAATGATCACTGGGCTAGAACACAGGTGATTAGAAAAGCAGAAATTCCAAAAGAGTCAGAAAGGACTGAGAAATTTGATATTTTGTTGTTCACACCATACACTGACTACAAAGATATCGGCATGCATGTTACACTTAATATTGAAAACAGCAAGTACCATGGAACATGCAGTTTTGAATACATGGATGAGCATGAAGCTTTGCTGACATATGGTCTGACCATTCCAAATGATAATGAAGCCAACTTGGAAGCAGCCTTACTGATACCGATTGAAAACTACCAAAGAAATACTCTCAACTATCATCATACTACAGATAAAAATCAGTTCATTGCTGATGCAGAAATCATCACTGGGAAGGGTGAGCACCTGACAGGAAAGATAGAGTTCAAGAACAATGAAGATTACATTATAACTCTAACAGGACCAGTTGAGCAGTTCAAATCCCTAGTATTATCTGGAAAATACAATGAAAAACAAAAGAAAGTCAATGGAAAGGCTCAACTGATTTTGGCTCTAAATTCTATGCCCGCTGTCCTGGAATATGACATTGCAATCAACAACCATCCTGTAACAATGAATTTCAAACTGAAAAGTCCATATGAAAATGTACAGAATGCAAACCTGGTCATTGAGCATGAAGGTCAAGAATGGAAAAATTTCAGAAATAAAGCCATCCTGACCTCTGAGAGAATTGGTGAAATCAAAAGTGAAACCACATGGAAGTTTGGTTCAGTTACCAACATGGAAGGTAAAACTGTGCTCACAAGTTCCCTCAAAAACATGGAGAATCTCAAATTTGATTTCAGCACCAGCGACTCTAGTGGCAGCCAGGTATCCTATGTTAAAGTTGGCTGGCGTGAAGACAAAGAGATTGCATTGAACAACAGCTGGAATCTGAAAAAGGCAGGTGAAAACACAAAGTTCACTACCAGCTTGGGAATGTCAACTCCATTCAATGAAGTTAAGACAACAAACATTAAGCTTTCTCATAGTCACACAGATCAGATGTTCAGTGAAGGTGTTGCACTCTCTCATAACGGTCAGACTTACCTAGATGCTGATCTCAGCTACCAGTATTCGGGTAAAAATGAAGCCATTGTTGAAATCAGAAACCCTAGACCAATGACACTTGTAGTTACTGGATCAGCAACAAAAGAGCTACTCGACGGTACCATTAATTTCAAATGGGATAAACGCTCACCTGAAGCCCAAATTGAGATCATTACCAGTCTTGCTGACAGATCTGAGTTCTCGAACATTGACAAGGAGTTTAAGTTCAAGGCCATTCACCCAGTAAGAATCATGGGAATAGATTGTTCCTACAAGAAAGCCAACAATGAAATCATCAGCTCTGGTCTGATTACATGGGATGAACAGAATGGAAACACTTTCTCCTATGATCTGGCTTGGATCAATCGCACATCAGTTTACAGCCAAATGCATGAAGGTCATGTCAAGTTAGGTGTTCCTCAGCGCAGTGTCAAAGTTCAAGGCTCCTACTCTGATTCAGGCTCCAGCATAACTACCAGCAGTGCAGTCTGGTGGGACGCTGACAGAGATGAAAAGAAGAAGGTAAGCATTTGTTTCTTGAGGTGTATGGGTATTCGTTTTTTCTTTATATATATATATTTTTGTTGTTGTTGCAATATTAGACCAATTATTTTATGATGGTCGTTTGTAGGGATGTATTTAATACATTTGTAAACTTTAAGTTAAAAAAAATCATGGTTGCCATGGCAACAGCTGTCATCTTGGGGGGGGGGGGGGGGGGGGGGGGGGGGGGGCATGTACTTGGAATCATAGAATTTCAAAGAACAAAGATAGGTACTGAGAAAAACATCCTCAACTTTAGATCTGTGATGGCCATTTATCAATGTTGTATATGATGATGATGAATGGCAGAGATCAAGTTTTGAGTTCTATAAAGCCAGCACAGAACCCACTGGCCCCTGACGTGAGGTACAGGGTATCTCTCTATATACAGCACAAGAGTCATCACTTTCCGCATGCCTGAGAGAAGTCACCACATTGTGTGTTTATTTTAATTTTATTTTCGTAAATATTTACATTTACATTTTGTTCTTAAATAAAAGTTAAGGACCCTTTTTCTGAGCCTTCATGTGTTTTCGGGCACTCTATTAGACCTGGATTTTATATACCAATCAGCACTTAGTGGGTGATGAGGTTAAGATCACACTAGCTGCCTTTACTTGCAAAGACTTTACCTGGTACCCATTTAAGGCTTCAGTGGCCTGGTGGCCAAGACCATTTTTGATGAAAGTTTGGCTCTCTCAGAACCTGAACCAGGACCTCTGGATACCCAGGTGAGCATCTAGTTGCTATAACATGGCTGTTCCCTTTTAATTCCTAATGGATGCCATAAAAACTGGATGGTGGATTTATGCCTCCAGTTTTTTTTTATGGAGGTCTCCATAGCAAAATAATAAAGTTGTTTACTCTAAAGGTCGTAGGTTGTTTCATGGATTTATCTTTCAGTTTGCAATGGCGGTGTAGTGGGTAATGAACATGCAGACAGATTGGCTGGATTTGTACCACTGGGTGGTAAATTGATACATGACAAGGCAGATGTGGTCAAGGCCCTTTGGGAACAAGCAACGGAATCAGTAGAGAAACAAGATTTTTATGGCCTGGAAAGAATGAGGCACCTGGGTGTAACCAGAGGGTCATTTCAGCTCACTACACTCAGAGGCAAGGCAAGACGGACAAATAACTAGATTGTGAATGGTTCCATCAGTATTGGAACTCTGCGCTGGCTTCTGAAGATAAGGACAGAGCATGCATGGGAATGCTCCCAGTGCTGTGATGTCAATTCATGACTCAGCTCAACGTTTCAGTTTGTGGATGCAATTTTCATTGAGATCCTATTGGATATATCACTGGAGGTACAGAGTTTGTGCTTTGTGCAACTCTCATCAGGCGGCTAACCATTCAGCAAAGAGAGACTGAGCCAAATGGGATCGTCTAGGCCAAGAAGTTGATCCTCTCAACTTTAACTAACTTCAGCTTTCTGTCATATAATGTTGAAGCTTTTTATGGGGGGAGAGTCATTAAGTAAAGGATATTGCATTATTAAGTTTTTTTTTTTTTTACAAGCGGCTGGCACAAAATTGTTCTTTGCCCTATTTCTCGACATAGTCTCCCTGCCTTGTAACACACATACTCCATCGATCCACAATATTGTGGAAGCCCACCAAGTAGAAGCCCACCAAGTAGAAGCCCACCAAATAGAAGCCCACCAAGTAGAAGCCCACCAAGTAGAAGCCCACCAAATAGAAGCCCACCAAGTAGAAGCCCGCCAAGTAGAAGCCCACCAAGTAGAAGCCCACCAAGTAGAAGCCCACCAAATAAAAGCCCACCAAGTAGAAGCCCACCAAATAGAAGCCCACCAAGTAGAAGCCCACCAAGTAGAAGCCCACCAAGTATAAGCCCACCAAGTAGAAGCCCACCAAGTAGAAGCTCACCAAGTAGAAGCCCACCAAGTAGAAGCCCACCAAGTAGAAGCCCACCAAGTAGAAGATTTTGAGTGTGGCCAGTAGCCAAGTTTATTTTATTTTTTTAATGGGAATATAAAATAAAAATGAAAAAATTATTAATATTAGTAAAAAAACTAGTCATATATTTCATTAAAGAACAACAGATGAGATTTAACCATCTGACAAGATTGCCCTAATCTAATACAGAAAGCCATGCTGAAGAAATATAATGAACACCGAGAAAATTAAATAATGACATTAAAAAAAAAACAGCCTGTAAGAAATGAAAATCAGCCTAAACAACATATTAGAAAGAGAGCACTGAGGATCTTCACATCTCCGCCCAGCCTTTCAGTGAGGTGACTCAAGGAATGAACAAACAAATGAACAGAAGAAGAAGTTAATTGTGTATAGTGTTAAAATTGCAGGATCAGTTCCTTAGAATATGAATACCCACCAAACGTTGAACAGCATTATCAAACAGCAGGTGTGTTGGGAAATGAGCAGGCAGATAGACTGCCTGGCTATACACTTAGTGTTGAATTGATGTATGACAAGTTAGATATTGTGAAGGCCCTTTGGGAAGTGGTAGAACAGTGCGGAGGAGCAGATTGATCATTACGGTCTAAGGAGAATGGCGATGTGAGGAGTTACCAGGGGATCTGGCCGATGCTCAAGACTCAGGGCAAGGATGAGATGGATGTACAATCAGACGGTTAATGGTTCCATCGGAATTGGAAATCTTCACTTGCTGAAGATGGGGGACTGAGCACTTATGGAAATGTCCTAAGTGCTGTGATGACGATTCCTAATTCAACATGCAACATTAAATCACCAGGTCCTTTACAGAACATCATTATTGTCACGGCAAACCTGAAAGTCTTTTTCTCTAGCCAGTTCTTCAGCTCTGTGTGCTTTCACAGCCAGTGCATCTTCAGTGTCCTCTATCTACGATTGGGGTGGTCTGCCTCTGCCTAATTTTTCGGAAACTGTACCCTCCACCCCCCAACCCCAACTTGCCATTCTCTCTGGGCCACCATGATGTTTAACATGGCCAAAATACCTCAGCTTTCTTTAACTTTAGGGGTAGGGTTCCCCATTATAATTGTTTCATATGGTCAAACAAGTTTTCTAGTATTTGTTTTTGTTGGGTTTGTGTCAGAATAACCACTCTTTGACACCACTGAGCGTTACTCTTTCAGGCTGTAATCCTAGAGTGAAATAATTTTTTTAAAAGTTCAACTCTCTTTAAGTCACTATGAAGTTAGTTATCAATCAGTCAGATGTCGTCTGCACAGTAAAGTTTAGCTGAAATTGATCTCCAACATACTGTCTCTTCTCTTGGTAGTACACTCTCTCAGACTGCTATACATCCATCAATTGATGTTGTCTTCCCACTTGTATCATTGTCTGCCTGTGTTATGTCTTTTAATCAAATTAGTAATAAAACTATTAAAAGACTTTAACCAAGACAAGATGCAATTGGAAAAAATTAAACATTTACCAATCACACATGCTTAAACTTCATCATACATTTATGGGTACACCAGCCTGTGCTTTAAGTTAGTATCTTAAATGCCAACAGCATGTGCAGTAGCTTTCATTGTATTGCAGGTAAATAAAAGTATAAAATTTACCAATCAGAAATGCCTAAACTTCTTCATACACCAACCTCTGCTTTGAATGAATGTTTCAAGTGCCTAGAGTATGTGCAGTAACTTTGATTGTATTACAGGTAACCATGAGTACCAATGTAGAGACCAGAGAAAATCTCAAACGGGTTGGACTGAACATTAATTTGCCTTACATTAACAAGGTCAGTATGTGTACCATTTCCAGCATGTTGCTTGTATTGTCGGCCTACTGCCCAACATTTCATTCTTCACATAAGCTTGTATTGAACATTTTATAAACTTTTTAAGTACACAGTAACTGAAAAATCAAAACAACAGCAATGAAATGATTTGATTTGATTTGATTCAAGAACTGACATCATTGCACTTGGGGCATACCCACAAGCGCTCCGTCCCCATCTTTAGCAGCCTTTCCTCTGAGCCTTGAGCATCTGCCAGAACCTCTTGTCACTCCACCCTGCATCAATCTCATCAGACTGTGGTGATCCATCCGCTCCTCCGAACTGTACACGCTCTCCCACAAGGCACTAACCACGTCTGCCTTATCATGTATCAGTATTCCACCAAGCTGTGCAGAGCCAGCCAGTCCGTCCACCTGTTCATTTCCCAACACACCGGCAGTTCTCGGTGAAAAAATCCACACAATACTCCTCACCCGTGTCCTCCGCAGCAAAATATGCCACTCTGCACGAAGCATGCCTTCAGAACTGAAATGTCCATAACTAATTAATCCTAAGTGTAACAAAAAGTGACAGGTTCAGAAATGGTGATATCAGAACTGGGACTGAACCAGTGTTAAACTACATCAAGAAGCAATGGATTAATTGGTTCAGACATGTGGAGACTACTACAAGAAAGTGCAGCACAGAAAGACCTGTTGTTTAGACACAACAGTAGCATGGATAGATGGAATGTCTGAGACTGTAAATTCCAGAATTTAAGCAGCACGCATCAAGATGCCTCTACAAAACCGGACACTGAAAGACTGAAAAGGGTCTAGAGAAATAAAAGAAGAAGAGAGAAGGGTGCAATTATGGGTGACTATTTTTATGTTGCCACTAATCACTACCAACTAATGACCGTTTCCACACCATAAATCATCCTAGTCATTACTCTCGCTAAGAGGTATAAATTATCATGCCTTTTCCTAACTATCATCATATATTTTATATTATTTATAAATTCAAGTCCTGATGCAGCTGTTTAGCATAATGCAAAACAGGACAGTGATTTTTCTGATCATATTTTTTACATGAGTTGAAGGAAATGACATTCTCATAAGTACTTTGTCCCCATTTGCAGCAACCAACGAAAAGTTCTGATTATGTTGGTGCCAGTAGCAGTTTGATGTTTTGTTTGTCTTGCCTTTCCTCCAACTGTAGAGTGTCGACCAGATCCTCTATTCCACTCCTCGCTGAACCACTCTAAGCAGACTGTTATATTACTGATGTGTTGGGTCAAAAGGTGAAGATATTGCTGCCTAGCTATTAACTGTATGTAACACAACAAGCCAACCACCCATTCAAGTGTGGGTGCAAAAGAAGAACTGTTGAATATAAATACCTCATAGCCTTTCTTTGAAATATGTTAAAGAACTGGAACCGATGTAACAACAATAAGAAATAAAATAGGTTCTCCTTGCAATAACGGCCGCTTAGTTGGAGTTCAGTCCCCTGGCTGCAGTGCAATTACGGAGTGGACAAGGCACGAATCACAAAACAAAGATATAGCGGCCGTCATTATGGGTAAGTACTCGACGTTACATGTATTACTCTAACCCAAACCCTAACCCTAACCCTAACCCTACCCCTAACCCTACCCCTAACCCTACCCCTAGCCCTAATTATGTCATTAGTTTCGTTCCCTCTTTTCCACTCCGTAATTGCACTGCAGCCAGGGGACTGAACTCCGATGAAGCGGCCGTCGCCGTCCAACTAGCGACCATTATTGCAAGGAGAGCCATAAAATATACGGCTCATTTTTTTCTGTGGCCCTGGTTGCAGATATTTAATGTTCTTTTTAACAGCTTAATATAAAAATTTAAAAAAACTGATTGCTTTTCTTTGAAATTCGTTTAGCAACTTAATCTGGATGGAACCACAAGAGAAAACTATGGATCAACAATTTCAGACAGTCGAGCAGAAATTTCTTATTCATCTGACCCCAGGAAATTGATTGTAGTGACATCTAAAATCAGTAACTCAGAAATCAGTTCACCTACCAACTATAATTATACCATTGACATTGGATTTGAGCATCCAGTCACTGACATTGACCTGAAGGTAAGGTTAACTGTTGTACAGGCAGGTAAATATATTTTTAAAAATCAAATTAAGCCAAGTCTGTAGTGCTTTTCTCATATATTTTGGTAGCTATGGCTGGTCTGATACAAGACATAAGCAATGTTTTCAATGACTTGCACAGCCCTTACTGTAAAGATAAATACACCAAATGGCATGACTTTGTATCCATGCCTAGGCTGACTAACATGGGGGTGCAGCCTTGAGTTGCAATCAAAGAAGAGTTTGATCTTCAACACAAAACAGGCATTATCAGTTGTTTTACGCTTATGAAACCTACGAGGAGATCAGAGCACATGTGGATCAGTCAGGAGTGCTGTGATGATAATCTTCATGAAGGATTAAGTTTAATTCTTTTTCAAGTGGTAATGTTGTCCTCAGTGGTGAAGTAGTCAAGTCGTTTGTCTTATCTCTGAAGGTTGGAGGTTTGTTTCACAGATGCATCTTTCAGTTCACCAGTGTAGTTTTTACTGAGAACCCTCAGGAGTGTCCAAAGACAGGAACTAGTAACATAGAATATTTGAGCCTCACATTTGGAGGAAAACAAAGCTTTGCTTGGAAACATCACCTAGACTGGAAGTCCAATATGTTGATATACTGCACCATGCTATGTGCTAATTGTTTAATTAAACTGTCCATTTTGAGATTGTGCAAGTTTTTATCTAGACATATTAATTTGTATCTTTTTGTTTCACTTTTTATTAATGTATATGTTTTATCTTAGCATTTGTTTATTAGGTATACACTTAATATATTATATTAATCTGAGTTCATACAGCTCTTTGAATGTGTGCGTATGTGTGTGAGTGCTTGCAAGCATGTGTGCACGTGTCTTACCTTGCATTATAACATCCAAAACTTTTAATTATTGTATTTGTATTTATTTTCTCCAGCTGTCATCTCACTTGGCTCATGTAGACAGCGTTTGTTCAGCAGGCAGCCAGTTGGTTTTTTTGACAGTCAACAAAGAAAAGAAAAATCTGGCATTCTGGACAAAGCTGGACAGAGCTCAGAAAAATCTGCAAATAAAGGTAATTTAAATAAAACTATGATTTTCAGTGTTTCTGAAAACATCTATTCTCATAAAGCACCATGCAGCATATTTTTCTTCTTATCCCCATATTCCCTAATGAAGCGTAAATAGTAGTAATTTTCAAAAATATCCTGTTTAACCCTCAGGCTTATAATTGTGATATATAGTGTTAACTGAGTTCTCAGAGTGTATATTTGTTATTTTAAATTTATATATCTGGTGATCCTTGATATGACTAAAATGTAATTTGTATTGTTTCACATTTTGCTTTTATTTGGGATGTGATTATGATAGAAATTGTACTATGAATAATTAGACAATCTTACTAACATTGTATCATTAACATGGTGGGTATAACATAAAGAATAAGCCCTAAACCAGTGTTTTCAGTGGAGTTGGGGGAAGTTATGAAGTTATCCCTATCGGACGGTGGTCAGCATACACCAGTTTTTGACAAATTGGGATTAAAAACAGGATGTCCTTTCTTTTGCGATGTCTTGCATGGCTTTTGCATCACTTTATGATATTTCTTTTTAATTATTTATTTGTGATACAATTTTTACAGGATTTTTCTATACTAAATAATAAGGGAAAAGGTCTAGAACTGTTCATACTGCTCGTTGATGAATCTCTGCCAGATGGTGACATTAGTTTTGATATTATGATTGATATCTAAATGACAAACCTATTGGTGATAATTCAGTTTAGAATATGAAAATTGATCAAAATGTTTCAATCGGATCATCTGTTTCGATCAGCTGTTTTCCAGATTTTCAGTTGTGAAATCTAACATGTCATAACAGTATAATTATATGCTGTAGTAGTCTACTAATAGTAATAATAACCATCAATCATTTATATTTGTGTTATGTATGATATGTGTATGTTTCACAGCAGTATTTTCAAAGAGTGAGCACTAATATTGAAATAACTTCCAGTTGACATCCACACGTTATTGATGTTTATGTTCATGTTGACTGTAGCAAAAGCATTTTTGTTTGTCTGTAAGAGCCTTTATAGTTATATTTTAATAGCACACTTATTTACCTTCAAAATGGCATATAATTCTATAAAATATGTCACAAATTAATGAAACTGTAGTTTAATTTGTATATACATCTCCTCAATAAAAACTGTGAACACAGAGGGACTCCTTACTTGTACAAGAACGGGAATCCCTGTTGACCCATTTGGCCTATAAATAGAGTTGGCCATGGTTTCTGTTATCCTAGATGACATTTTGATTTAGGTAGGAGTTTATCTCCAGTTTCTTGGACTTTTTCTCCCTGTCCTCTTTTCTATCACATTTTTGATTGGGGGGGGGGGGGGGAGGAGGGGTGGATGTCCCTTGCTATAAATGGGTAAGGGGAAAAAAGGGGGAGGGGCCAATAAACACCAAACAGAAAAAAAGTTACAAACCACTACTCTAAACCAAGGCATTCTATTTATTGCCATGGCTTGGAGCTCACTCCCTTTACTCTCCATCCCCTTCACCTCATTCTATGTTTTTCTTCCCAAAGTTTTCTTGTGCATAGCTGGATGCTTTTGTGTGGCTATTTTGTTTTATAGAAAGAGGCAGTTAACCCCCAATTGATCTTGCCGTGGACATTCTCAAGGAGGACTTCTTTGTGTCCACCAACAAAGCTGTGATTTTTGTATCTTCTTTTTTTTTGTGTAACATATTTTTACAGTTATTGATTATGTGGCTGTGTTAGAAACAAAAACTGAATAACTAATGTTAAACATAATTGAACTAGAAAAAAAATTGTACTAATTAATAAAATATCGCAATGCTAGTGGTTTACAAAGTTTACTAAAAGGGCACACTTGTTTTGAATATTTCAAGCCAAATCGGCCTTCAGGTCAACGCAGCCAAAATGAAAATCATCGATCTTACCAACGAGTCGAAAGACATCAAACTAAAGGATATTGTTCTTGAAAAAATCACCAGCTTCACATACTTAGGGAGCAAGATAACCTCTGCGGGAGATACAACATCAGAAATAACGACTCGAATCGCGTTAGCATCAAGTGCCTTTAACAAACTGTCAAACATTTGGAAGTCAAGATCACTCAGCAACAACACGAAACTTAAGGTCTTCAATTCCTGTGTGATCCCAGTGCTAACTTATGGTTGTGAGAGTTGGAAATCATCAGTATCAATCGATAAGAAACTAGTCGCTTTCGAGAATAGATGCCTCCGAAAGCTATTGAATGTTCACTGGTCGGACTTTAGGTCCAATACATCTATAAGACAGGAAACAAAACAAAAATATGTGTCTGATTTTATTAGAAAGCGTTGCTGGAATTACATCGGTCACGTACTCAGAATGGACATACAGAGACTTCCCCACCAAGCCTTCATATGGTCACCAGAGGGTAAAAGAAAACAGGGAAGACCAAAAGAAACTCTCCGTAGAACCATCACAAGGGAGAGCTCAACCATAGGTCTCAGTCGCACTCAAGACCTACATCAAGTGGCAAAGAACCGACAGACGTGGAAAGCTATGACCTCTGCCCTATGCGCCATCTTTGGCACAAGAGGAATAACTAACTAACACTTGTTTAAATTTTTTAACAATTTGTAGTTGTTTTCATTGTTAGTTTGAATACTATTATTGTTACTGCATTTTTGAGATTGACATTCTTCTTTTCTTACATTTAACACTTATTTTGTATTTGACATTCATAAAGGTCGTCACTCCACTGAAGACTGTTGGTGTCGAAGGTCAAATGAACAGCCTTCCTAATCAACATCACATGTTCCTGAAGAGCTATGAAGACAATAAGCAGGCCCTTAAACTTGATGTGATTGTGGATTCTAGAAGACGCAACCTAGACATCGAGTTTAATTATGATCAAGGTATATTTGTATTTTTGTTTTGTATTCTGCTGTCTTCTAAAATCTGTTTCCTGCCTCTACTTCAGTGAGTGCCAGTCAGTACCTCTGGATTTTTTAAAATCAACCTAAACTCAGTCAGCAATTATTTTCTCATGTATGTTGGTTATCTGTTTCATTCATAAACATAACACCATGTGTGATCAGATGTTGTCCATACATACCAACCAATCTTGCATTCAGGCTTAATATGCAATAAAAACTGGGCCAGTTATTTTAATATAATAGTAATTTTTTTTTAAACATATCTTTTCTCTACCTTGAAATGTTTTAGGCACACTGTGCTAGTTCCATATTTTATATATACCAATCAAAACTCAGCGTTTGATGTGGCCAGTATCATGCCAGCTGTCTTTACTTCCCATAATCATGCAAAATCATGGTAAGTGAAGAATTTTGTAAAATGTTGTTGTTGTGAAATTAACACCTGCTGAATTCTTCTTTCTTACTAACTACAAACAAATTAAACATATACTTATCAGATTCAAAATGTACATTCATTTCTCTTTAAAAAAAAATATCTATTTTTATTGGGATTAGAAGTATATTACATTCTCTGTTGCCTTTCTTGTACACCCACCCCTCTGCCATTTTTGTTAAGGGAAATTAATGTGGGCTAAGTCTGTCAAAATTCATGGTCCTGAAAGAGTTAAGCAAGTTCTTGTTAACAGATTTTGCTGTAATTAAGAGTGATTACTTCTGAGTTAGAGTGCATTTGTCTGAGAGGCAAGAAACTAAAAATGCCATTTAAAAAAAAAAAAGATCTGTAAAATGGATTTGCATGCAAAACCCAAGTTCTGGAGAAAGACTCAAGTCCATAAGTGGACAAACAACCAGAACATTTTGTTGGAGTTAACAGCCAGTCAACACTACAGATAAAAAAGGTACTAGTTAGATAAAGAGGTGCACTTGAGTGTATAAAAAAAAAAGGTTGTGTTCAAGACTTAATTTCTCTTCATTCTTTTTCAAACAAAGGTAAATGTAGTTCCATAGCAGTTACTGTATGTGGGATGTAAATTGATGGGCCTTTACACATTCTAAGTCATTACTTTTTAAGGTGGAATGGGGAATTCACATCCACATCAACTTTACTTCCACGACACTCTCAGAAAGTTCAGAAAATTGTCTGGTACTTGTTTGTTTAAGTGTGAGTCAACTCATTTAGAACTGGTTCTTTGCAGACTTGTTCTCTTAGGACCTTATTCCTGATATATCTTTCAGTCACTCCTGCAGCCCTTTGTTGCAAATTACCATGCCTGGCACTGGTAGCATAGATACAAAGCCAGCAAATCAAATGGTTTGCCAACTTAGAATACCTTGTGATACCATACCAAACAAGCCATACAGCAAAAGAGGGGAAACACTGATCACAAGATGAAAATATAACATCAGAGTAACTTTACAACAGCATGTTGTGTCTATGATCGAGGTGGCCACAAGAGAAAGAAGCAGAACCTTATATCTCTTCAACACCCAGACTGGTAAAAGAGAAAGTGAAGAAGAAGAAGAAGAAGAAGAAGAAGCAGCAGCAACAGAAGCAGCAGCGGCAGCAGAACCAGAAGAAGAAGAAGAAGAAGAAGAAGAAGAAGAAGAAGAAGAAGAAGAAGAAGAAGCAGAAGAAGCAGAAAAAGCAGAAGAAAAAAGAAGAAGCAGAAAAAAGAAGAAGCAGAAAAAAAGAAGAAGAAGAAAAAAGAAGAAAAAAGAATAAGAAGAAAAAAGAACAGCTGACCCATTAATTTCATTGAGAATCAAAGACTGAAATGGTTCAGCCACCTAGTGAGAATGAGTCTAATGATGTTGGTAGCGAAAGCATACAGGATGTAAGTTGAAACACCAAAAGGAGAGTAAAAAACTGACTGATGTTCAGCCTTACCAGGACTGCACAAGGAGCGATAAACACCAGGCAACACAAAGTGCCACCATTCAGATGAGAATCACCTGGACTCAAGTCCCAGAAACCCTTGGCTTGACATGCGGAAATCACAATAAAAAAATAATAACGTTCAATCATCATCCCCAAAGGGGGAGCTTTAATTGTGACTAGGTTATGTGTGCCATATAAAATAGCTATTAGCATTGAAGGCCACCGAGTAGACCTGATAATAACTCTTGCAGTGTTGATGCCATCAAAGGAGACAGACCCAAATACTGTCCTGACCGGCAAAGAAGCCGTCGACCGACCAGCCAATGGGCCACTGGTCATGGATGATGACCCAGAAACCATGTTCAACCAGAAGTTGATATTTAGTTCCCCTGATGACAGCCATATAAAATATGATGTTGCATGCTGAGATGTTTAAATTTAAAAAAAAGGAATTAAAGACCTAGAAGAAGAGGGATTACAGGTGTCACTGTCAGAAAATTCTTGTACAGCATCAGAGAAAACCAAGCAATGAACGTGTCTTCACTTGGCTACCTATCATCCGTTAAACTGTGACAGGCAGAAAGCAGGCATTGACAAAAGCAGGGCTTTTTAAAAAAAAAAAAAACTTATTGTTACTGACTAAACAGAAAAAGAAATGCCTTAAAAGAGTGTCAGTACTGCATTCCATAGCATACCCCTAGAATAAAACCCTGGACAAAAGAAAGAAAGTGTAAATCCAAGAGGTGTACTGGTCAGAACAAAATAATCTTGCTGCTGTTTTGGATTTAAGCCAGACAACTGTCTATGTGAGATAAATTACTAGCCTCTATGCCACCTCATCTGTCTTTAAGATTTCTTCAAATTACAGATATGGAATTAATTATTTGTTTTATTTATTTTCTCCAGACGATCCCAGCAAACTAGTGAAATTCACTGGCCATTTTGTAAATGACAGTGCATTACGCATAGATATGATTACCCAAGATGGAAGACAGACAAGCTCAGAAAGCATGATAGCAGTACGGCTGAACACATCTAACATACTGCACACACGTATACTCTGGAAGCCCAAGCTTCTGCATGAGATGCAGGTATGGTTATTCTCACCACCGACACAATTAGCACGTGATCTTTACAATAGCAGTTTTAAACATTTAGTTTTAACTAGTCTATGGAAAGAAAGACAGAGGAAGACAGTGAAAGAAGATTCTTGACAGCCTTTTGTCTTTTGTTATGGCATGGACGGGTGTCAACACACGAACTGATACATGCTGCTGTGGATTGAAGATTGTGGAAAGGCATGATCGCCGACACCAGCCGGAAAGGCAGTTGATGATGATGATGATGATATCATACACATTTTTTTATAACTGGGCATCCAGATTGATCTAACCTAAAGTGGATACCCAGAATTATCCTACAAAGTAAGAAGGTGGGCTTGATGCTGCTGGTCACATGACCCATCATGTCAGTTAGTTTATAAAATGTGGGTCTAGCATACAGACCTGATATACCAGTGACATGAAACAAGTCCCTTACATTTACTAACTTATCCAGTTATATTCAGACTTGTGTGAGCTTTATGCAATTCTTGTGGGAGTCTGTTAGTGTTGGCACATCTGGTAGCTGTTCTGTGCATTTACTTTGCACATGCACGCTTCTAGATATTTTTCTGTTCCAGGGACATGATTTTGAGTGGGGAAAAAGAATAGCTCAACTGACCAATAAAAGGCGTGTCATAAGGTGAAAAATTTTTGGTGTTTCCTTCAAGGTCAGAGTGCATCTTTATAAGACATGAGGAATCAAAAGTCTGCATACAAATAAACCAGTTCTTTAAAATGGATATGCACACAAACTCAAATTCCAGAACAAGTCCAAAGTCCAGAAGTGGATGAACAACCAGAACTTTCTGCTGGAGTTTACAGCTAGTGAAGGCTAAGAAGAAGGAGAAGAAGAGCTGGGACTGATCTGCTTTTCACTAGTTTTCATATGGAACAATGAAGGGTATTTTGTAGGATTTCCATTGGCACAGGAATCAGAGTAATCTGCAGTTTAGATGAAACCTTGACTAACGTACATATCATATTGCATGTCACATTTTCTTTTATATTTATGTTTTTAGACAAACCTCTCTTTGCAATGTTTTTTATTCCTACATTTCTTGTCATTGGCTTTTTTTTTTTGGAATGGAGTGGCACAAAGAAGTGCAGTCCTAGTCCTTTTGAGAAAAATAAAGAAATGCAAAAACATCCCAGTTTTTATACTCATGAACTGTCGCACCTGTGGCGCTTCTCCCTGCAGTATTTCTTACTTGTACACAGGTGCCTGTGGCACCTCAATGAGACTCACGACAACCTCCCACAAACATTATATACGGTGAGTGAATGCCAAACAAGGCCATCATCACACCCCCACAACATAGGACAGGCCTGTTGTGACCCAACAAGGCATGAATGGGAAGGGAAGTAACTCTTTTTACAGATGTAAACATGATAAGTTCCTAAACCTTAAACAGATTTATGTCAAAGTTATGCATCTTGTCAAATTTACTTTTTGGGAAATAAACATGTTTAAGATTTAGTGTTAGATAAATTTTTAGATGATTTACAAAATGGTATGGTGATGCACTATACTCATCTGTTGACCCAACAGTCATGTGTTGTTAGATCCCCTTTAAAGAAGGGACTTATTATTTGTAAATCAATCAGTCTGCTTTGTAGATCTACCAATCTAACATGGACCAAGAAATATTCTGGGCAGCTGACATGATAGTGACCACATAACCAATCAGATTCTAATTTGTACATAATAATATGGGACTTTTCATCTTATATCCAATATCCAAAACACTTCAAAATGTGAAAAGGGACATTTACTCTGTATAATTACATACAGACCAATTTATTTGTTTATAATATAAATTTGTTTTGTTTATTATTGAATTTTTCAGTAGTAAAGGTGAAAACTTGGTGGGAAAACTATTTATTATTATTTAAATTTGTATATATCACTGTCATCATCATCATCATAAACCACTTCTGCCATTAATCGACATGGGGAGGAATAATTTGTGATCCAGTGCACCCTGGCTGCCACTGGCTATTTTCATGCCATGAAGGCGTAGAGTGTCTTTAATGTTGTTGATTCATATATTTCACGGCCGTCCTCTTGCTCTTGTAGCTGATCTTCTGAGATGTAGTGCTTGTGACGGTATATGATCTTGCTGCATTCTAACCACTTGATCTGCTGTTTCTTGATGAATCTGGTACAAGGTGTTGTTCCCACAAAATATCTGATAGTATCATTATTCACTCAATCTCGGATGGTTAGGTTGGCTGCTTTTCTCAGGCATCTCATCTCGCAGGTGGTGATTTTGCGTAAATGGGCTTTAGTGTTCATATTTGGCACTGGTAGCTTAATGTTGGAATGAATATGCTGTTTATAATCTGTCTCTTTGCACTCATAGTTATGCTTGGATGTCTTAATAATGGTGACAGTTGGTATATAAGTGCACTTGCTTTCTGACATCTGGTTTCTAGCATAAATTTATGAAACATACAGATTTTTGTGCATCTGTTTACCAGACATACATTTTTAATTTGTTTCATTCCAGACTTTTGTTGGTACAAAAGTTACTGCATTCTCCTATACAGCAAATGAAGCTTTCTCCAATGCTGTAGATTCAGTTGGCTCTGAGGTCAAAGCTAAGTACCAGCTGATCTCCAGTGAACTGCAGTCAGAAATTTCTCATGTGTTCAAACTTATGGACAAGGAAATGGAAAGCCTCAGGTTTGGTGCAAATTGTTCATTCATATATATTTTAGCAACATTTGTTTTTTTAAATTTTGGTCAGTTAATTGATGTCTATAATTTTCGTTATATAGTCTTGTTATGTTTAATCTTTTCATCAACAACAACAACAAAAGAAAAAGATATTGCATTGCTCATGGAATAAGATCATCCCAAAACAGCATTATGTATGGATGTATTAAAAACAGTAAAAGGGGAATTTACCTGAGATGAAAATAGCAGTTGCAAACTCACAGTGACCACTTTTTCTACAAACAGCCAAAAAAAAAAAAAAAAAAAAAAATTGCTCTTTCTAGAAAATTCTCCTTAACCTGATTTTCTTCTTAATTATTGTATGTGTGTGTGTATGTGTGTTTTTTTCCCTCTTCATACCAGTGGTTTATCAGATGAGAAGGCCATAGGCCTCTGTGAAGGTTGTGGTGTGATAGATTTCCTCCCAGTGGTCCCTACAACCTGATTCTCACTGATATACCAGTTGGCCAGACCTAGAACTTCTCTATTGCATGTGTAGAGCATATCTGAAGCGCTGTTCAGTATATTATGGTGCTTGTCAATATGGGCAATGTTCTGAGGCCCCAATCTTGAATTTCTTGAACATATGGCTGCAGGGTCTGTTATGTCCAATTCGCAGTCTAAAAACAATGGTTTGCTGCTTGCGTGTGAGAAGGTTGATCGGGTGTTCAGGATTGTATCCTGAGTGGGAAGTGTTCCAATTGGTTCTAATAGCTGCACGGATCTGAGTTTCCTTTTGCTCATGAGTGCATCCTGTATCTGATTTATTTGAATTGATTTGATTCAAGAACTGACATCACAGCACTCGGGGCATTCCCATAAGCGCTCCGTTCCCATCTTCAGCAGCCAGCGAAGAGTTCTGATACTAATGGTGCCAATAGCATTCTGATTAAACTTCCGTCTTGCCTTTCCTCTGAGCCTCGAGCATCTACCAGAACATCTTGTAATTCCCCGCTGCATCAATCTCACCAGACTGTGGTGATCCATCTGCTCCTCTGAATTGTACATACTCTCCCACAAGGCACTAGCCACGTCTGCCTTATCATGCATACAGAGTAAGAGAGATAGAGGGAAACGGAGAAACATGTATGGTATGTGGAAAGCCTAACAAGCTGGGCAATAAATAATAATATAAAATAACTAACTTCATCAAAGTATCATTATTACAGAGAGTATTGGAGAGCCATGACTGCTGCTACCTCTTCAGACAATACATCTGGAGCAGACATGTATAGTTATGTATTTTGTATTTTTTTCTGTCAACAGTGTCCAGATGGATACACTGAAAACAGAGTTCCGTCGATTCTATCAACGAAATGATCTTTTCATCAGAGATATGGGAGAGCAAATGAAATCTGCATTTGATGAACTAACGTAAGTAAAAAATAGTGCGATGAGTGATTTAATATATTCACTAATATATATTTGTGAACACACACAGAGAAAAGATATCATCAAAGCAAATTAAGCAAATTTGTGTCGATAAGGTTTTACTGTAATTTAACATGAATTAAGCCATTTGCTGCAACAACCCTTATATTGCACCAAAACTTCTAATTCTTTGAAATTCTTAAAAAAAAATTTTCAATTTCAGAGAACAAATTCAAGGACTTGTCAGAAGCTATGGCTCTTACCGTGCCGCTATTACAAAGGCAACTAATGATTGGTTAGCAATTCTTAGAGCTTATCCAATTGCTCAGAAATATGCCTTGGCCATTGAGCAGCTTACAGCAGGGTTAAAGGTAACTTGTACTCAATGTTTTCTTACACGTAGAAGTATATATTCTTCTTCCTAGCATTCAGTGGCTGTAAACTGTAGCAGAAAGTTCTGGTTGTTTGTGAACTTCTTGACTTTGGTCTTGTTCCAGAACTTGAGTTTGGTATCCAGGGCATTGTTTTCTAGAGGAAAAAGTGGGGGTACACACCACAAAGTGTCTATTTCAGTAGCGCTGGTAAAAAAAAAGGATGATGCTGTGTACCATTGCATACTACCAAAAAATAAAACCTGAAGCTTTCCATTCCATAGAACACATCATGTGTGATTAACTATCTTTAGATTTGAATCAACACATGTCATCTAATGTGTGGCATGAGTGTACTGTAGAAACATGGCTGGTCATTTTAAAATGATTTACGTTTTACACCAGGGACAGATAAACAGCACAGTGAAAATGTCTTGACAGAAATTAACTACATTAACTACTTACATTAGAAGAGGATATGGGCATGTTACGAAAAAGGGAAAACTGAAGTATGTCATACCAAGAGGAGAGTTAAAGGGGATGTGATTTAAGGAAATACCACAAGACATAATGTTGCACAGTTTAGTATTGAGGGTGTCCTTAAAGTCTGGAAACAAAAAACCAAAAATGCACATTTTAAAGAAATTAAATTTATTAACATTTTATTCAGGGAGTCGCCGTGGCATAGCAGCTAGATGCTCGTGAGCAGATCAGAAGGTCTTTTTTTAATAAAAAAATGACCCTGACTCCCAGGTCGACCCAGCCTTGAGTGGGTACCGGGTGCAGTCCTGGGAAGTAAAGGTGGCTGGCATGACGCTGACCACATCACCCATCTTGTGCCAATTGGTCTATAAAAATATAAGTCTAGCCCTATATCCCCTTTAAGCCTAAAGGCGTGGAAAAGGGACCATTACTTTACTTTACATTTTATTCAGACATCATGATTATCATCACATAGCATTGCCTTGCAGCAGAAATAATCTTTTATGTTTTGAGGTTCATTTGTAAACCTGCCCTGAAAACTTCGACTACCCATTATTGTTTTTTCAATCATCATAAAAGGTCTTGCTGACTTGCAGGGGTGATCATGCCTCTCCATGATCTATGGTCTTCAACATCATGTTTCAGTTTGTGTGCCACATCCCTCCCTGCTATGACTAAAGGCTGTCAAGAATCGTCTCACGTTGTTTCCTTCTCCCTCTTTTTCCACAGATCTTTCCTGTGGTCACAGCATGCTCCAGTTTCCTTAAAGTGACCAACAAATTATGACTGTTTCTTTCTGATGTTTGTGATAAGTTGTCTCTGAGCCCTTGTCTCTTTCAAAACATCTCTTTTTAACTGTCCAATAAATTCTAACAATTCTTCTGTAAAACTACATCCCTGAGGTCTGGAGAAATTGTTTGTCTTATATATTACTTGTCCAGGATCCCCAGCGATTTGTTAAGACAGTCTCTTTGTAGCATGCGCAAATTTTTTTATAATCTCCAATTAAAAAGATTTTTTGCATAGAATGTTCTACATTTAATAAAATACTTACTTACTTACTTAGTCGCTCCTCTTCTACCTTGGGGTGTAGAGGTTTGCCAGAGAGATCGCCAGACGTCTCTATCAGCAGTTTTCTTTCTGGCTTTGTTCCATTCCAGTCCTCTGTCAGTGAGGGACTGTCGGATGTTGTCTTCCCAGCGCACCCTAGGTCGTCCCGGAGGTCTGGTTCTCTGGTTCTTAGCCTCCCATGCTTGCCATGGTGGCCGATTTTCTCCCATTCTGCATACATGACCAAACCATCGTGACTGTGACTGATCTACTCGGGTTAGTAAGGGCTGGGTATCAAGATCTTGACGTATTGTCTGATTGCGGACTTTGTCCCTTCTTGTCACTTGGACTACCTTTCTCAGGTATCTCATTTCCGAGGCCTGCAGCTGGCTTCTGTGAGCTGTTGTCATTGCCCATGACTCAAACCCATAGGTCAGGACTGGTACATAGGTAGAGCGGTAAATAGCCATTTTCGTCCTCTTGCTAATTTCTCTTTTGCTAAGAAACCCTCGGTTTAGGGCCTGGAAGAGTCTCCCAGCAGCTGCTTTTCGTGTAGCCAGCTCAGTCTTAATGCCTCCGTTTTGGTCTAGTACAACTCCAAGGTATTTGAAATGGTTAACCTGCTCCAATGCATACTGTCCCATCATGATCTGGTGTTTCTTCTCCTCTCTTGAGATCACCATGGTTTTAGTTTTGGAGATACTAATGGTCATCCCTTTCTTTTCAAGCTCTTCCTTCCAGACAAGTAAGTTGGACTGAAGGTGTGCCTCTGATTTAGCTATCAGGGCCACATCGTCTGCAAAAGCCAGCTCTGATATACAGATTGGTCTTATCTTCCAGTACCCTACAGAGTACTTCTTTGTCTTCTTCTTACAGGTCTTGATGACATCATCCATCATAAGAATGTAGAGGTAAGGTGAGAGAATATCACCTTGTCTAACACCGCTGGCGGTCTTGAATTCTTCTGACTTTTAGTCTGCTGTTCTTACATAATTTCTGCACCTTTTGTAGAAACTCTGTATTGCACTGATCAGGGGTGCTGGGATGTTTTTCCCTGCCAAGCAGTCCCAGAGCTTGTTCCAGGGTACCTTGTCAAATGCCTTTTCCAGATCCAAAAAACATATGTGCATCTCTTATATTCCTGGGCTTTTTCACTCATCTGTCTCAGTGTGAAGATAAGGTCTTGAGTACTTCAGTTTGCTCTGAAGCCGCATTGTTAATAAAATACAGTTTACCTAATAATATATTTCTTCTGTCTCCATTTTGGCTCTGGAAACCTACTGGGGAAGACTGGGGAAGGGGGGGGGGGGGGGGGGGGGGGGGGTAGATCCACTGCCACCGAACAAGCATGTCATAAATGGCGAATAATCAAGGTTCTGCTGAAACTGGATGTGTCGGGCCAAAAGGTGCAGATATCGCAGAACAGTTATCCATCACAACACAATACAGTACTCTTTTTCCAGCGAATGAATAGGAAGATTTTTCTATACTAGAGAATTTGCACATTAATATGCTCAATCCAATCTTGTTTTTCCATCTTCCTTTTTTAAATGTTCTCTTGTATTCTTCTACCTTTTATCTCTTTTTGAAACATAGACCTATTAACTCACACAAAGCTATCCTTTTTTTTTTTTTTTTGGGTCTTAAATTAAATTTTTCTTTTATAAATCTCTTGGATTTTGCTAAACGTCAACTTATTATTGCTAATCTCTATTTCTAATTATTTCTTCTCTTTTATTATTAGTGTAACATGTTCAGGCCCAGCCATTTCTTATTTTGAAAATTAGAAGCTTAGCAAAAGGTATTGTTGTTGTTATCGATCCAGCAGCGCATGAGCTTTCGCTCATTGGCCCAATACCATGTAGTGGAATTTACATGTTTTCACAAGCTGTTCTTTTCCTCCGTACAAGGTGTTCCACCTGTCTGGTCTTGGAGGTAGTCGCATTCTTCTAGTCTCGTTAGGTTTTTAGCAAATGGTAAAAACAATAATTATCTGATATAGAAAGAGTGAATTCATTATTAAGCATTACATTTTGAACGTTTCAGAACTTGCGGCAGGTTCTGGAAGAGGCACTAGATGATGTTGCCACAGAACTGAATCAGTTCTCAGCTGTATCTTACAGACAGTACCTGGAAATTTCAAGAGCCATTGACCGAAAATTGAGTAGTAAGTTGAACTAGTGGAAAATATGGATCACTGTGTAGTAAGCTGTATTTGTACATTTAATGAGGAACTGTATTAAGTTGTATTTACACATTGTATGGAGAAGTGGGCTATCCTCCGACTAACGGTCGGCAAAGATGGCGGCCGCAAAATATCCAGTCGAGCCACAGTCTCGTGTCATGTGTTGTAAACAGTAAAAAATTGAAGTGGAAACTAATAAGGAACGAAAACTAATAAGGAGCGACAAAAATGTTAAATCAAATCGACTACTTACCAATAATTGTATGCCTTTATATCTGGAAATTATGGCACAGACATTCTAAATAGTGCTAAAAAATCTGCTGTTTGTGGCTGTTACGCCATTGAAACTCAGCTAAGTACGATCGGAACAAGGCGCGGCTCGTACCGCATTGGTAACACACCTTTCTTTTTAGTAGCATCCATAGACCGGCTATCCTCCCAATAACGGGCACAAAAGATGTCGACCAAAATCAGGGCCTCACTCACGTGTCAATTTCGAACTTCCAGCGACTTAATTTGTGGTTTTCCGGCGACTACTGCCACTGCCGAGAGTAGCCCCCATGCCGCTCACGTGGCGTGGATTGGGGCTAAACTAGATGGCTAGGACTCGCAAGCAAAGCTGCAGGAGATGCGGAAGTGACTGCTCTTAGGTCCCAGCCATCTAGTTTAGCCATATCAGTGTGCGCGTAGCGGCGCAGGGAGACCCCTCGGCGGCAAGTTTAACTCGGCCGTTTGTTCCGTTTCTCAAAATTGTCAACGGACACTAATCCTAGTTTTGCCGCGATGTGTTCGTGACCGCAAGTGTGCAATAGACACGTGACTGTGGCTTGACTGGATATTTTGCGGCCGCCATTTTTGTCGACCGTTAGTCTGAGGATAGCCGAGAAGTGTAGTAAGTTGTATTTGTACATTGTATGGGGAACTGTTGTAAGTTGTATTTATCATTGTTAATTTGATCATCCCCTTTGAGGGATGCAATTTTTTTGTTATTTTGAAGCCCCACCCTGGCTGTTGCCAGGGGCCACAAAATAACCTAGTGGTTGAACGCAGTTTCCTGGACCTCTCCATGGGTGATCCTCATCTGCATGGTGGCACTTTGTGTCACTGGGTGTTTAACGCTCTGTGTGATGTCCTGGTGGGGCTAAGCTTATTACCAAGATCCTATTTCTATTTAGTATGGGAACTGAAGCAAGTTGTATTTACACATTTTATAGAGATGTGTAGTAAGTTGTATTTGTACATTGTATGGAGAACTGTATTAAGTTCTATTTGTGCATTGAATGGAGAATTGTAGTAAGTTAAATTTGTATATAGTATGGGAAACTGAGGTAAGCTGTATTTGTACATAAGATGGAGTACTGAGTTGTAATTTTTATTTGTACAAAATATGGGAAACTGAGCAGTTAGTTTTATTTTTACATTATTTTTATTTTTTCAGTGTCTGTTTTGTAATTGTTTGCCTGCTTCATCTGAGAATATACTCATCTTCTTCTTCTGTGTTCATCCGAAGATGTAATTGCGTTGTGTCTGTTTACAGCATTGCTGTGATATTTGCACCTTTCGGCCAACACATCCAACTTCTGCGGGCATTTGTTGACCGGGTTAGCCTTCCCGGTTATATACTCATTATATCACCAACTTCATTCTATTATAACGGTAATACAATAAGTTATGCAGAAATTTATCTGATTTTATTATCTTTTTTCAATTCATTCCATTTAATACTCACCAATTTCTTGGGGGAATTTTGTTGAAACGTGTTTGGCTTTCATCTCATGTATCTAATGGTTTTCCATCATGCATATTTCAGAATTAAATTAACATTATTAATATGCCAGTACTAGAGTATCACAAAGACTTAAATCCTGTTTTTATGTTACTGTAGGTTATACTAGGTCTCTTCAAGAACTACCCATGTATCGCAAAATGATGGAACAGAAATCCCGTATGGAGCAGCTGGGTGTGAAAACATGGCCAGAATGGACACAACTCTACAACACCTTATACTTGAAGGGACAGGAAATGCTGCAGGATCAGTATCACGATATCATGTCTCGGCCAGAATTCCAACATATGCATGCCGTAGCTAGTGAGATTCACCAACAGGTAGGAGTTGGAAATTTTCCTGGTATGAATTATCAAGCTCCCTTTTTTTAGGGGAACAAATAATAAATCCACTGCCCCTTAACTCTTTGAGCCTCAGATCGGTGTTACTTTAACTCACTGTATCATAAGAAGTTGTTATTTTAACTAACAGTTGTTTAGCTCTGAAGGAATTAAAATAGTAACATCATGAGTCGGATGAGGTAAATTGATAACTGAGTGATGTTCAACCCTACCAGGACAGAACAACGAGTGATTAACACCTGCTGACACAATGTGTTGCCACTCAGATTAGAATCCTCCAGAGACAAGTCCCAGAAACCCTGTTTAACCATTAGGTTAAATTTGGGCTCCACGACAGCCAGGGTGGGGTTTTAAAATTTAAAAAAAACTGCCTCCCATAATGGGAGAGGATTTAATAAGGTGTAAATTAACAACTGATGGGGCACCTGTAGGTTAAAAAAAAAAGTATATCATACAAAAAGAAATCAATAGACGTTGCTTGGTACTGAAATAATTATCTATTTTTAAAGAGTTAACTCTTTCAATACTAAGCAGATATTATTTTAATCCTTTCTCTTATACGATATTGTAGCTTCGGATATATATTTATGGTCTGAGGATTTACAGTAACATGAGAAACAGGTGAAATTAAAGTGAAAAATGAGACAGGCTGGGTGAGTGTATCAAATTGATTGGTCATACAGATTTCAGAAAAATTATATAATCTTCGTGTTCTTCTTCTTTATGCTCACCAGCTGTAAATTCTGACAGGAAGTTGTGGTTTTTTGTCCACTTCTGGTCTTTGTCTTTAGTTTTCTTTCAGAATTTAAAGGTCTTTGTCTTTAGTTTTCTTCCAGAATTTTAATTTGCATGCAAATCCATTTTACAGATCTGGCTTATTTGTAAGCAAACTGTTGGTTCCTCACCTCCCAGGCAGATGTTCTCCGACTTTGAAGGAAACATTCCTAATTAATTGACTTTTACAACATGCTTGTTGAGGGGCCCTGCAAGCTATGCAGGAAATTATGTTAGCTGAAAGCAACCAGTGCATGATTAGTTGCTTGGAACTGTATAACTTGCGTGTCGTCAAAGATTAATAATTATTGATTTGCTGAAATTGGATATGTTGAGCTGAAAGGCACAGATATTGCAGCCCAGTTGTAAACCACCACACAGTGGGCCAACCCTTCATTTGTTGATGAATGTAGAAGAAGAAAAGTTAGAATGTAACCCTTTCTGACTTAGGATAGCTGCTACATGATCTTCTATCATGATTATTGTTTGTTTTTTTCACTCCAATGTCCAAACAATAATTATTTAAAACCTTGGATGTCCAGAACTGTCTCTGTTGCCCAAGACTGTAAGTACTTAAACTCTATTCCGCTGCAGTAAACCTATGACAATTGAAAACACAAGTTGGAAGTTAATGGCTATAGACAACTACAGGAAAGGATTAAACAGTAGATCATGAGAACAGGGGTTAGAATATCATATGTTAATATATCTTATGACAGACTAATGCTATCTCAGATCACTTTCAGACTCTGCAAAGATAGATTTCACATTATAATTACTATTATTTTGTGTTAATGCACCCTTTAAAATATATCAAACTTAACAATCTTCTAAACTTCTACAATCTTATATAATTAATACATAAGCTATGCAATATTGAATAACCAGACATAATAAATAGGCATAAATATCCATTACTGAAATAGAATCAACTCTATATATCCCTATTTTAAGCCAGATGGTTGGGGCATGATATTGTTGTTTACATTACTACTACCTAACCTACAGAAGATTATTAATTACTAACTAACTAAACCGAAAATTATTAATTAATACTTTCCTCAAACTTTGCTGAGGCAACTGAAGAAAAATGAAAAATAAGAAGGAAGAGATTTGATTGGATTTGATTTGTTTCAAGAGCCGACATCACAGCACTAGAGGCATTCCCATAAGCTCTCTGACCCCATCTTCAGCAGCCAGCTAAGAGTTCTGATACTAATAGTGCCAGTAGCATTCTGATTAAACATCCATCTTGCCTTTCTGTGGAGCTTTGAGCATCTGCCAGAACCTCTTGTCACTCCCCGCTGCATCAATCTCACCAGACTGTGGTGATCCATCTGCTCCTCCGAACTGTACACACTCTCCCACAAGGCACTAACCATGTCTGCCTTATTATGTATCAGTATTCCACCAAGTTGTGCAGAGCTAGCCAGTCTGTCTGCATGTTAATTTCCCAACACACTGGCATTCCTGGTGAAAAATTCAGACAATACTTCCTACCCATGTTCTCCCCAGTGAAGCATACCACTCTGCACAAAGCATGCTTTCTGAGTCAGTTGCAATTACAATGTGTGTGTGTGTCATGTTCTCTAGCCAGAGGAAAGCTGCAGTGACTGCCTCCACCTCCAAGAAGGAAGAGGAGGAGAAGAAGGTCAGGAAAGGAAAAGAAAAGACTATTCACTACATATATTTCAGCAGCAGCACTACATCACACTGAATGATGGACTGTGATAAAAAAGTAAAAAATGTAAACAACCTTTTCCCACTCCTTTAGGCGAATAGGGCATATAGGGCTAGACCTATATTTTATAGACCAACGGCACAAGATGGGTGATGTGCATCACGCTGGCCGCCTCTACTTCCCGGGATCTAGCTGCTCTGCCACAGCGACTCCCATGGACTGTGATAACCAAACAAAAACATCCTGTTGCACACCTTTTGAGGAGACAAATTCTGAATGAAAGGATCTATGTCTACTTGTGGATTTAAAATGTGTTTTTTAAAGTGGGACCAATACAGTTAAGTGACTTAATTTCTAATGTTACAACAACATTTCTGTGTAGATTACACACTGGAACATGGAGCAGACCATGGATGCAGGAGTTAAACGCATAATTGACCTGAGCAAGAATCTCATACTGATGGAACTTATGAAACTGAGAAGTTACCTGGTTGATTTTGAAAAATCACGAGTCATTGTGTTTGACCCTGAAAGAGGAGAGCTCCAGTGTGAGGTGAGTTCATTATGCATTACAAAAAACTCAAAGACTGTTCCATTTTTTTCTCCTGTTTAAGAGAATTTCAGTGTTTGATCATTTATGTGTAAGAGAACTTTTGTGTGCTTTTATTTTTTGTATGAGAATTTCAGTGTCTCATTATTTCTATGCATGAATGTTTGCTGTTTTCTATACCTGAATTTCAGTGTTTCCTTATTTCTGTGCAAGAGAATTATATTGTCTAATTACATCTGTGTAAAAGATTTTCAATGTCTCCTTTTTAAGAAACGTATGAAAACTCGGAAACTCAACTGTATTGTTAAGTTGCTTCTGTTTAATTTATATTATATTAAAACATACTAACTATGTTATTGTCATTTTTATTGCCTGTTTGGCATAAGGATATCTACATTGAAGTAAAACTGATGAAAATACTGCACACTGTTATAGTAAATAGGGAATATGTAGCTACTGTGATGAGAGATGGATAACTGAAGACAAGTTAATTATTGTATGCATAAATATTGATTTAGAAAAACGATTTATGGCTCACGAAACATAGACTTCTAGTTCAAGATGGTGGATAGGTGGGCCACATGCTAAAGCCTTGGAGTGTTATTTGCTTCAGCTTTTTATTTTTATGCAAGCACTTTAAGTACCTGGTTTCATTCCAGCTACAAAGTTTATGTTGAAAAACTGTGAGATGTGTTTTTTTTTTTTTTTTACATTGACTGTGTTTAAAGTGGTTTCTGTCATGAACAGCACATTCAAAAAATGGCTGGTGGCTGGTTGCCAAAGAACTAGTATTGCCTTCTACATTAATGCATGTGCAACTGCTGTTTTGTTACAGCTGCTGCTTCTGTCAATGAGGAACTGCAGTTTTAGTGGTGAACTAGTGGCTGTCTTATGTGTTTAATATGGTATAATGCTGTTAGCTTCACCAGAACTGCAGTATGTCCTCTCAACTTTTCACATGAAACATTTTGTGTGATTTTTCACTGACACAGGACGAGAATAATAATAAGGTGATCTGTTAGCTGTAAAGAAGTAGGAAATGTGACATAATGATGAAAAATGACAACTGTGTGTTTTTTCTTTAGGATAGTTGTGAACAAATTAGGACTGTAAAACAAATATTTTAAATACTTTTAAGCTTCATCATACATTGATTTAACTCTGTAGTAATGCACCTGATAATATACACTGAAATATTCCAGGCAATAAATGTGTTGTATTGGTTGTGTCCGCATTATTTAAACTGACCATGGGAAAACATTATTTTGAATTATTTTTAAACTTAAAAAAAATGTGTTTCAGATTCATCTACCCATTCCACTGAAATCCTTGACTGAGGCACCAGAAATTAAGGTTGACAAATATTTCAACAGCATGCAAAAATGGGTGCAGATTAATGTGCCATCATTCAACTACAGCATCTGGGATACATATTACGATTATGTTCCTTCTTTAGAGCTTCCTCCATTTGAAGGTGAGAGTTTGGTATTTATATCCCACCACTTGATTAATGTTGTCCTTTTACAGTGTTATATGTTACTGTGAGATATATTGTCCCTGTTAACTGTTTATGGAATGATTTGAATACATTTCTTAAGCCCTTCTATTCTTTCATGGTTTGTAAATTGTAAATAGTCACAACAGAAATGACATGTTTACGTATTATGCCAGGTGTAATGAGGGAAGATTGACTTAGGATGTTGACATCCGGAGGAGAGTCGGCAGAAAACTAATACTGAACTTTATTGGTAGATAACTAATCAAACACATTGGCCATGTATCAATACTGGCAATAGACAGGGCACTGTCAATAGAGAGCACTTTTATACAGTTGCAGTATACAGCTGCAGTATACAGCTGCAGTATACAGCTGCAGTAAACAGCTGCAGTAAACAGCTGCAGTAGTAACAGAAGATGAGCTGTGGAAATATCGGGGACACTGAAAAGTACTTTAAATTAGGTGAACAGAAGAGCCCATCCTAGAGATCTCTTCCTGTCTTGGTGCTGGAGGCATTCCAGGAGCAGAGACAAGAAGAAGAAGAAGAAGAAGAAGAAGAAGAAGAAGAAGAAAAAGAAGAGTAAAAATTAGTTCCAATCCACAGCATGCAAAGAATTTAACAAGCAAAATATTAGTTAGTTAGTTAGTTAGTTAGTTAGTTGGGTTATCCTCATTGCACTCCGGACATGTCCATAGGTGCTCAGATCCTCCCCTCAGTATGAACCCCAACGTCCGATGGCTAATAGTACCAGTTCTATGTTGATTAACAAGTCTTCTGGCGTAGCTGGTGTGCGTCTCGTTTTTTGCTGTGCCGATCTTAATTCCCAAGTCTGCCATTCTGGCGAGTGATGTGGATTCACTGCCACCAAAGTCCTCTATTCTTCCCATTTCTCTGAGGGCATTGATAATATCAGCATGATCCATAGGCTGACCGTCGGTAGTGATAGCGGATCCAGCCAACCTGTCAGCTCTTTCATTTCCATCGACGCCTGCGTGTCCCGGAACAAAAATAAAGGTGACTCCACGAACAGTGGACTTCTGTAATGATTCAAGCCATTGTCTTCGCACTGAACCTGCCTGAACCCTCCGGATCATACTCATTGAATCACTGAGTATACACACGCGGGTGTATATTTTTGTGTTTCAAGCCAGGCAAGCGCTTGTGTCACTGCCATCACCTCCATCGTCATGCTGCTGGTTGTCATGGAGAAGGCGCCGTTGGCTTCTTTGACTGTTCTGCCAGCTGAGCGTGCTGTAAATGCCCATGCGCTTCTTCTTTGGCGTATAACGGATCCGTCTGTATAGATTATTGCATCTGCTTCGTCTGAATTTTCACCGATGAGAGCGTTGACCTCTGCATTAACAGCAACAGGATTCTCTTCTCTACATCGCCTGTTGAGTGTGACAATACAGGAAAATGTACAAATAAACGCCTGAGGCACAGGTATCCATTCTGCACCAGGTATGATGTCGGTTAGGCTGCATATTTGCCTAATGACATCTTCTGCCCGACCTAGCCACGATTTCCCCCTCTTCAGTCTGTCGCCCTTTTCACTAAAAAGCGCTTGATGCAGTGGGTGTTTCTTATCAGCGCATATTTTGAGATATGCCCGAGCCCTCCACATCCTGATCTTTTGGTTCATTGTTGGAAAGTCAAGTAGATACCTCATTGCTCCACAGGATGTGTCTCTAGTACATCCCAAAATAATGCGCATGGCTTCATTTTGCACCTTTTCGAGTCGTTCAATCTGGGTAGCACTGACAGTGAGGATGGCCAGAGCGTATTCTATGGGGGAAAGGACCAGACCGTAGAATAGAAGTATTAGTAGTCTTTGCTCAATATTGGAAGCAGCCATAATCCTTATTGCAGATAGACCTTTGCGTGCTTTTGTTATCACATGGTCAACGTGTTCCCTGAATGACAAGCTGCGATCGAACCTCACCCCGAGAAACGTCATAACGTTGGTTCTGATCAATGCATTATCACGCATTTTCACTTCTGGTAAGTCCGACTTGACAGTGTGATTGTTCAAAGAGAACCATGACACTGATGCCTTCGAAGGATTGACATAGGCATTGGAACCATCACACCAGGCGGCAATTCAAGCAAAATATCTTACTGGTTAAGCTCTTTTAATACCAACCAGTTGTTCTTTAACTCCTTATATGCCCAGAACTAAGCTTAAAAAGCAATAAATACTTAAGGAGTATGACAGAGATGCTATGGGACAGAAGTAGTTAAACTATGACCCAGATACAAATGGTTTATATAAAAACTGTTTGTGAGAGTAGACAATAAGAACTTTATATTATCTTTGGTAACAGCAAAAATCATATTGTTAATTGTTTGGCACTCAGAGAGTTAAATAAGGAGTCATTAAATTTTCTCTCTCTCTCTCTCTCTCTCTCTCTCTCTCTCTCTCTCTCTCTCTCTCTCTCTCTCTCTCTCTCTCTCTCTCTCTCTCTCTCTCTCTCTCTCTCTCTCTCTCTCTCTCTCTCTTTTAATATATATATATATATATATATATATATATATATATACACACACACACACACACACATCTCTCTCTCTCTCTCTTTCTCTCTCTCTCTACATTGAAGTAAAACTGATGAAAATACTGCCCATTGAAGTACTTGAATGCATTCCAATGTTTGTAACTAATATTTAATTGGTTTTGATAATGTTTATATTATGCAACCCGTAAGACTTACATCATTTTTGGAATAGGCTTATTATTATACTCTTTAAAACGTTCAAGTAATGTCAGTATAAATTAGAGCACATTCCAGCATTTGTAATTAAGACTTAGATATTGTAAATTTTTTTTTACTTCTCTTTTTTGGTCTTTTGTTTCTTTTCTATATTTCTCAAATTTTTAATTGTGCATTCCTCTTTTTTTATTATTATTATTATTATTATTATTATTATTATTATTATTATTAACTATGAAAAGAGGTACGAATGAAACATTGTATGAAAGGAGCAGAGTGGAAGGGCAGAATGTTAGTCGGGCCTGCGTGCCCAATTCTTAACCCTTTGAAAATAAAGTTTGTTCGTTCGTTCAGTTCTCTCTCTCTCTCTCTCTCTCTCTCTCTCTCTCTCTCTCTCTCTCTCTCTCTCTCTCTCTCTCTCTCTCTCTCTCTCTCTCTCTCTCTCTCTCTCTCTTGGAAATAGCTACCCACAAAATACAAAATGGTAACTTCTTCTTCTTCATCTTCTTCTTCTTCACTTCCTCTTTTACCGCTGTGGGTGTCGAGGGAGATATAAGGTTCTGTCTCTAGCTCTTCTAACCGACCATAGACACATCGTGCTGTTGTAGAGTTTCTCTCATGTTATCCTTCCATCTTGTTCTTGGTCTACCTTGTGCTCTATGTCCTTCTTCTCTTTCCATGTATGCTTTGTATGGTATGGTGTCACAAGGCATTCTCTCTAAGTGGGCAAACCATTTCACTTGCTGTCTTCATATGTAATTTAGAGTTGGTTCTGTGCCGACTTTTTCTCTTATGATCTCATCTCTTATGGTCACTCCCACAGCCCTTCTCAGACATCTCATTTCCATGGTTACTAATTTTCTTTTATGGTTTGTTGTGAGTGACCATGTCTGGCACTGGTAGCACAGAGTTGGAATAAATATGCTTTGAATAAGATGTCTCTTTGTGCTGATTGGGATTGTCTTTTGCTGTAAGAGGAGGGGGGGGGGGGGGGCTAGCTGTCCCAATACTTGGTTTACTTTACTGCATCTAATGTTAATTTCTTTATCCAATTTCCCATCTTCGGTAAATGTAGTTCACAGATATTTAAACTCAGATGCCTGTTTAATGCCTTTGCACTCTAATGGTAACTTCAACATGTATTATTCTGCTGTGTTTATTTTATAAAACAATATTTCATCCTCAGCATCAGCATATCTTATCGGTGGCCAGCACTACATTACCTTTGATGAAACTCATTTTGACTTCTCGAGCACATGCAGTCACGTCTTGACACGAGAGCTGATCAGTGACAATTTCTCTGTAGTTGTTAACTACGAATACAGATCCCAGGGTGATGGTGTCAAGAGCTTATGCTTCTCTATAGAGAATTCTCTGACATTTGAAATTTTTACAAATTATAAGGTAAGCCAAAGATTTTGTTTTTTTTAATTAACAGACTATTAGTATATAGTTTTCCAACTTAGGTAGTACTATAATAAATATGTTTTGTGTACAGTATTGCATTCAAATTAATCTTGTAGTGTTTTAGATATATTATGTTCAACTCTTTCAGTACCAGATGAATGTTTTCTAGGGGATATCAGTGAAGAAATACCTGTGATTAAAATGCATCATTGCATTTCTTTCAGAAAAGTAATATAACAACAGTAGTTACCATTGAATAGTCAGATTTCTTGAGAGTGTTCTAACCATTACAAACACACACACAAAAATAATAGAACATATTAAGATGTGATGGTATTCAGAAGACAGAGTGATTCACACATCATGCGTTGTCTGGGACTCTGAGAGTTAAAGGTTTAAATTTAAGAAGATCAACTTATTGCCATAATGTAATCCCATTTGGTGCTGTTTTTCTTCATAGAATGGCCAGCTGCTTGATGAGAGCATCACAAAAAGCATTAACTTCTTTAGTACCTAGAAACTCACAATATGTTTATTTTTTGTTTTGTTTACTTTTCCCACCCCTTTCTTCTGTTGTGTTAATCCCTTATTTTCCATTTGTTACCAAAAAACATCATATACTCAAAGCTGTATTTTTCAGCTCTATGAGACTAAAGAATTGTTGCTCTAGGATACACACAGAAAAAAGTTAACAGAGATATTAAACCTGAGACTGGAGAAGTTAACTCAATTATTCCAGCAATGATCCCACAGGGTTTCTGTAAAAATACACTCATGAAACAAGACACAATCCATAAAACGGACCCATGACCTTTTGAGCCAGAGACAAACAGCTTAAGCACTTAGCAACTAAGATATCCTATTATTTACATTAATAACACATTTATAAGTTATGAGCTAAGAACTGACATCGTAACACTTGGAACATTTTCATATGTGCTCTGTACCAATCTTCAGCATCAAGTGCAGTTTCAGTTAAGATATTACCAGTTAACAGTCTGATTGTATGTCCACCTACTGAGTAGAGGATCAACCAGATTTCCTCCCTCATCAGTCTTTGCTGAACCATTTTCTTCAGAACATGATGATCTATTTGTGCCTCTGCACTTTTACAGAGGAATTGGTTGTGGTGTAGCGGCTAAATGCTCACCTGCAGATCGGAAAGTCTTAGGTTCTGGTCCTGAAAGAACCGGGCTTTCTTCAAAAATGACCTTGGCTCCCAGGTCAACCCAGCCTAGAGTGGGTACAGGGTGCAGTCCCGGAAATTAAAGGCGGTTGTCGTGATGCTGACCACATCACCCGTCTTGTGCCGATTAGTCTATAAAAAATATAGGTCTAGACCTTTATGCCCTATACGCCTAAAGGCGTGGAAAAAGGCACCTTTACTTTTTTTACTTTTACAGAATTACATTGATTTAAACTGATTTGTTTCTGTTCTAGTACATTATGCACACTGTAGAACATTTAAACTGATCTTGTGTTTTATTTACATTATGTGCAGTATTAAATTAATCTTGTTTTTTTATAACTGCCAAGCTGGAAGTCAACAACCGTGAGACGGAAATGCCATTTATCAGCGACAGAGTCAAGATTGTCAGAGAAGGGGACTTCATCCATGTGGAGTATGCTGGTGGCCTTGAAGCCTTGTGCAATCCCCAACTTCAGCTCTATAAGATAACAGTCAAAGACTGGCATCACGGCCATGTGGCTGGACTACTTGGCACCTATGACAAAGAAGCATCTAATGACAAACTGACCAGTCAGATGACACAAGATTTCGAGGTCAACCGCAGATCTTGTGCTAGCAAAAATGTGGCCCTCAGCCCTGATCCTGCTCTTGACCTGGACAATATGTGTACGCAAATATTTGATGACTCATCATCCAAGTTCAGACCTTGTTTTAAGCAGGTGAGTTTTGTGACATTTTTTGCTTGTAATTTTCTTTCTTTCTTCTTCTTTCTTTTGCCCTACTTATGCTGTAAAGCAGTGATTCCCAAACTGTGTACCGTCACACCCTGGGGAGCTGTGACCTCTTCACAAGGGCACCGCAAAATATTGTAAGAGCTTCATAATTAATTTAAACAAGACACGAACAGTCATACTTTTACTTAGGTTAGGGAGCCGCGGAAAAATTTTAATTTTAAAAAAGGCGCCGCAACCAAGAAAAGTTTGGGAAACACTGGTGTAGAGCTGTAGTTCTGAGAAATGTCTTTAGATACACTGCATGTAAGGACATTGTTTCAAAAATTGTCCAAATTTAGACACTTAATTTATAACAGTGTATTTTGTCAACAACTTCTGAACATTCTGAAAGTATTGCAATGGAGAACTTTTAACTCTTTGAGTCCCAGGGAACGCATCAGACGTTCATAGGTTCTTACCTAGAAGCCCAATAAACACATGATGTGTCGATTTTCCCTGAGACTCAAAGAGTTAACTGCCATAATGGCTGACTAAGATCCATGACTTTATTTGTCATCCTCACATCATTATCTTATCCTACATAGGGCTTGCAGTCTAATCCTCCATTCTGTTCTATGCTGCAATTGAATTGGATAATATTATATGCAAATAGTTGATGAGTCATCATCAATCCTGTGCAATCCATTTAAAATCAAGGATGGAATCCAATTCAACACTTTTGGCATCCTTCATCAGTATTTGATTTAAGGTTCCTCTTGAACATTCTTATTTCCTCAGTCTATTTGTTTTCCATTTCAGTACCTCTTTAGTGATTCTCTGCTCACTTCTTCTCAGGATGTGCCTAATATAATGCCATTTTTGTGAGTGTTTGTGTCTTGTAGCTGTTAATGCCAGCAGCTGTCCAGATATTTCTCTTGTTTCTTTATCTTTTTTGGTGACTTTATTGTTGCTTTAATATTTTCTTTGATCTTTACTGAGTTTTTTGCATAGTCTGTGTTTATCTTTATGTTTATCTGCCAATGAGTGGATGTGCATTTGGATGCATAAACTAGTATGATGATCCAAACCCAAGAAGTACTCTTGTTCTCTTTGTCTTTCAAAATATTCTGATGTCAGTAAACAGTCACAGAAGTAGCTAAACATAGACGGACCAGAAAGCTCAAAGAAGGAAAAGAAAAAGATGTGCACAAATACAGCTGAATGTTTAAGTGAAAGTCTCTTTCAGTGGACAAAATAACAGACTAATTAAACAGCTAAAAAGGTTGTGACCTGTTTAGATGACCATGAATTACTACATCAGCAGGGATAATAGAATGCAGTGGTTGAGGCATTTGTAGTTTGCCAGACAACAGAGAGACAACAACTGCATACATAAAGAGTTTAATTAGAGTAGACCATGAGACAGAACAAGAAGACAGTGGAGAGAGAATATAAAGCAGACTTTCAGACACTTGGAGTCTTCTTCTTATTCACTTCCTCTTTTACCGTTGTGGGTGTCGAGGAAGATATAAGGTTCTGTTTCTAGCTCTTCTGGCTGCCTCGACCATAGGCTCATCGTGCTGTTGTAGAGTTTCTCTGATGTTATATCCTTCTATCGTGTTCTTGGTCTACCTCGTGCTCTACGTCCTTCTTCTCTTTCCATGTATGCTTTGTATGGTATGGTGTCACAAGGCATTCTCTCTAAGTGGGCAAACCATTTCACTTGCTGTCTTCGTATGTAATCCAGAATTGGTTTTGTGCCGACTTTTTCTCTTATGATCTCATTCCTGATCTTATCTCTTATGGTCACTCCTACAGCCCTTCTCAGACATCTCATTTCCATGGTTACTAATTTTATTTTATGGTTTGTTGTGAGTGACCATGTCTGGCACTGGTAGCACAGAGTTGGAATAAATATGCTTTGAATTAGATGTCTATTTGTGCTGATTGGGATTGTCTTATGCTGTAAGAGGGGGGCTAGCTGTCCCAATACTTGGTTTGCTTTACTGCATCTAATGTTAATTTCTTTATCCAATTTCCCATCTTCGGTAAATGTAGTTCCCAGATATTTAAACTCAGATGCCTGTTCAATGCCTTTGCACTCTATTGCCATGTTTAGATCTGTCTTCTTTTTTCCTATTGACATTACTTCTGTCTTTTCAGTGTTGATTCTCATATTATTTGTTTTACATTCTTCATTCATGGATGTTAGATGTTGTTGCAATTTCATGGCTGTATCTGCTATCAAGGCCTGGTCATCTGCAATGAGTAATTCGTTGATCTTACTAACATTTTCATTCATGGGCTTGGCATTCTTGCATATACTGTCGATGTAGGTGATAAACAGCAGTGGTGATAAGACACACCCCTGTCTTACTCCAGATGTTACTGTGAATGGATGAGATGTTCCCTGATTTATTCTAACTACACTTCTACAATCCCTGTATAAATTTTTGCACACTTCGATGTGGTGTTCACTTACTCCATATCTTGCCATTACTTTCCATAATAATTGTCTGTCGACTCTGTCAAATGCCTTCTCCTGGTCTACGAATGCCACAAATAAGTTCTTATTGTATTCAATGTTCTTTTCTATTAACTGTTTAAGTGTGAAGATTGCATCTGTGCAGCTTCTATTTCTCCTAAATCCCATCTGTTCTTCTGCCAGCTGTGGTTCTTTCACTGGTCTCAGTCTTGTTTCTATTATCTTGGCATACATTTTGCCAACATGGCTTAAAAGAGAGATGCCTCGGTATTGACCGCTTTCTCGTTTGCTTCCTTTGTTCTTCCACAATGATATAACTATTGCATGTTGCCAATCAATAGGGGCAGTTTGTTGTACCCATGCTGCATTAAATATTCTGTGAAGCCATCTGATGCTGCTTTCACCTGCTGTTTGAATTATTTATGTTGGTAATCTATCAGCTCCTGGTGCTTTATATTTGGGAGACTGCTTAATGGCTTTTTCTATTTCATCCATTAGTATGTGTGGTTCTAACACTGTTGCTCTGTGCTCTTCAGTTGTTCTTTCCTGATGATCTCCTAGAGGATTAAAGAGCTCATTGAAGTATTCCCTCCATCTTTCTCCTATTTCGGGTGGATCTACCAATGGCCTTCCTGTCTTATCATTAATTATTTCAGTGGGGTTGTAGCTCTCATCTCTTTTCCGCATATTTTTAACTACTTTGAACAATTTTCTGCTGGCTGTTTTCTCATTTTCTGCTAATTACTCACCAAAACGTTCCCAGGATGCTTGTTTTGCTTTCTTAACACTCCTGTTGGTTTCTCTCCTTTGCAGTCTATAGTTTACATAATCTTCTTCTTTCTTTGATTTTATCCACTGTTTATATAAGTCCTTTTTCTTTTTAATTGCTTCTTTTACTTCTTCGCACCACCAAGGTGAATATTTGTTATTTCCCCGTCTGTTTCCACTCTTCCGTTTTCCACATAATTCTTCTGCAATACTAAGCATAGTGTTTTTATATTTATTCCATTCTTCCTCAATATTGCCAAATACATGTGGAAGTTGTTTGAATGCTGTCTCTACTTTCTGTTGTAACTGTTCTTTTACTCCTTCCTGTTTCAGATTTGCTATCTTGATGAGATCCTTGTTTTTGGTTAATTTCATTCTGTGTTTCTTTAATGTAAGATGTTTTTCTGTTAACACAACTATTTTATGGTCAGTGTCACATAGACCATTAGGGATTGCTCTTGAATCATACACTTGGAGTCACCAACTAGAAAGAGAAAGCAAGTCAGAGAAATGAATGGAGACAAGTGACATCTGCAGCAATGAACTTCAAGGGCTCAGAATGTTGAAGAAGAAGAAGAAGAAAAACAGAGTCAACATGGAAATATGGATCTTACTAGTCATAGTCTGTTTTTGTGTTATCTTCTTCTTATCTTCAATCCCCATTCTGTCAGAAAACTTATATCAGAAGGCTGGTAGCCTTTATGAAAGCTATCATGCAGTCTATATATTCTCGTGTACCATACAGTTTTGTCTTCATTGTGGTTGGAACAGGCCAGATTGCGTCTCTGTTGTCAGCATACAGTTGACAGTGTTGGAGCACATGCTCAGCTTTTTAGGGGCCAGGTTGCAGGGGCACGTCTCCATGTTTCGTTTAGTTACTTCTTGATATCAGTTCCACCTTATCTATTTCATTGTCACCAATTCACCTAGAGGACTTAACATCCAACACAGTTTTATCTCAGATTTTTAAGTTATGATCCTTCTTGTTCACAGCTTTTGGGGCTATTATTTATTTCCTGTGGCCATACTCATGTCATATTTTCCACTGGTCAGACAGAAATGTGATTCTTCTTCTTCTTCTTTTGTCATCTCACTGATACCAGGTTGTAGCCCAGTGTCAGAATTTTCTGTATATTTCTTGCATTTCTTGGGTGGCTTGGGTGATAGATTTGATATCTTTTTTTAAGATTTCTGCTACATCATTTATCCTTGATTTTCTTGGTCTTCCTTTCGCCTTCCTCCTAGGTGTTCTGCTATAAAAAGTTTCATATGCAGTTTGGTCAGGCTGGATTTTCACTAGATGGCTGAACCATTTCATTCTTTGTCTGTCAATATAACCCATATATGGTCTTATTCTGACTTTCTTTCTAATGCTGGTATTCGTAACCCTGTCTATTCTTGTGTTGTTAGTGACCTTGGGGGAGATGGCGCATTTCTCAGGTAGTTATTTTCTATTCTAGTGCCCTATTTATTTACATGTTTCTATTGGAAATATGCCAGTTAAGTGATTTTGTGTATTATTGTTGGTACTTATGGTATTGTAGAGTTATGTAATGTGCTGATAAAGGCTCTCTGGCTGTAAAGTTCACTTATCATTTGTGTTTGTGATATTGAAAAGCTGACAGGTTCAACTTTTTGTTTAATTGTAGTCACACCTGTTTATGACATTCACATACAGTGTGACCTCTTCATTCTTTCAGGTCGACCCAGCAGACTTTGTGCGGATGTGTCAGATCTACATGAAAAAGATGACTGACAATGAAGCCATTCACTTGGTCACTGAGCAGTACAGATATGTATGCCAAGGTCATGGTGTCTACATTGGACCTCTCAAGGATTATAGTGAGTGGCTGTTGTAAAAGTAATGTATCACAGTTGTAACACTAATAAACATAGCTGCAAAATCTCCCAAGGGGAGATAAATCTCAGATTATGTTTTATATCATTTGGTGGATAAATATGGCTTGAAGAGAATTACAGACATTCATCAAGTTTTTAATAATGAAACACTGAATATAGTTAAAAAGTTAGTTTATCAGAAAGACCAATGGCTGGCAAAGAAAGACAAAATTAGTGCTAAGACTAATATTTCTCTAATCTGTGCATCAACTCCAAGAAGTGGTTTGTATGTTTATCATAATGCTCGTAGATAAACTGAAAAATTAGAGGCAGTATCTTTTCAACCAGTACTTTTACTTTAATTGAAAAAATGTGCAAGCTTTGTGACATTTTCAAGTTAAACAAAATGAGATCTGTAAATCGAAAATGCTGATTTGATGTCCTTAACAAAACAAGAGTTTTAACATGAATATTATCATTACAGAAATGAACTTATAATAAATAATTTGTCTTCTTCTTCTCTTTCACCTTTTACCTCAGTGAGGTGTCGGGGGGAGATGTTACGTTTGTTGATGAGCACTGTCAAGAGCACAGTTAACTCTTTGAGTCCCAGGGGGTTTAGCATCACAGGCCCAGCGGGTAGTAATGAAAGTAATAAAATCGGCGCATCATGCGTTCATTGGGCTTCTAGGTAGGAACCTATGAATGTATGATTTGTTCCTTGGAACTCAAAGAGTTAAGACCGATGTTCATTCCTGTAAGGCTGTTCTTAATGCCATCACTCCATCTTAATAAATAACTGATTTTTTAATTTCACTTTTTTTTATAACAGTTCCATGTAATGGTGAGAACTCCTTTATTGTGGAAGGCAGTGATCCAATCTACCAATCGGCCGATGTTCTGTTTGTGGTAGAAGACAGTGTTTGTAACCAGTGGGCAGCATCATCCCTTAGTTCAGTTGTGTCAGAGATTAACAATGCCTTGACAAATGAAGGTAAGTACTCTTAGTAAGATGTATCTCATATAATGTTTTTTTTTTAAATATTAGGAATGAAATGGGTTGATATTTAGTAAGTTAGTTAGTTGGGTTATCATCATTGCACTCTGTACATGTCCATAGGTGCTCAGATCCTCCCCTCAGTATGAACCCCAATGTCCGATGGCTAATAGTACCAGTTCTATGTTGATTAACAAATCAGCCTTGATTCCATGATAGATACCATAAATCTGGGAATAATGTGGCTTTTCTGCCTACCTGCGGGAGTGAACCCGGACCACAATGAGTTCACCTGGTCACCGTACAGTCCGGTTTAGCCAACTACGCTAGAGAGCCGGGCAAACATTATAAGTAAATATAATCACGTTCATCCTGTCTACACACAAAACAGCTGCTGCCTGTACTAAAGCTGTTGTATAGGATAGTGGCTACTGTATAAAGATTTCATGTCATCAAAGACCCATCTTAATTGCTCTGTGTAGGTTTGCCTTTCTACATCCTTACAGAATGAAAAATAGTTTTGTTTACATTCTGCAACACATTTGGCATTTATGTTTTTCTGACAGGCTTTAGAGACAACAAGTTTGGACTGCAGGGATACGGAGGTGTAGTTTCCAAAGATGTGTCAGTTCGGACAATTAATGGGCATCATTTTGGAGAGGCATCACTATTTTTGAAAGCAGCAGAGACACTCAGGTAATTACAGAGGAATAACTTAGATTCCCATTTCTTGTTGTACCTGAACTGGTATTCTCAAATGAGGCCCTGTACAGGAAATGTTTTAACAAATCATTCGGTAAAAATCTACAATTGTATAAAACACACAATGTTTTTAGACCCTATATTTTTTTTAAAAATAAGTGTGGTGTCTCAAACTTGGGGAAAATGGGTAAATATAGATAAATATATATACACACACACACACACGCGCACACACACACACAAACACACACACACACACACATATATATATATATATATATATATATATATATATATATATATATATATATATATATATATATATATATATATGTGTGTGTGTGTGGGGGGGGGGGGGGGGGAGTTAACAGGACATTTTTTGTACCAGTACCACCTGAACTTTCTACACCACTGTGTGTATGTATTAATTTTGTGCCAACTGCAGAGAAGGTCAGTCTGTGAGTGAGTTAGTGTAGTTTACACTCTGTAGATTTACAGAGATAGGTTATTTACATTATTTATGCCCACATATTGATATACCTGGCACAATTCCTTTGCTCTCATTACTGACGGTTTCTCTACTGTCCCGTTTCCTTCAGTGGGGCATAAGACCTCCATCAACCCAAACCAAATCCTATTCCTTATTCACTGCTCCATCTGTTATGTTCATCATCATCATCATCATCACTGTCATCATAGTCCTTTTGTACCACTATATGCCAAATAAGACTAGAAGTCTTTTCCTACAGTCTGTTATGTTATGTGCAGTCAACTCAATGTCATGGATGGAATCTAGTCTAGCACCTTTGGCCTCTCTTGCTTGTTTCTTCTCAATAATTTCCAGTATACAGCCATATTCTTTGTCTTATAAGTGCTGTTGCCAGTGGTACCATTCATCATCATCATCATCATAAGCCACTTCTGTCGTTAAGTGTCATGGGGAAGAATAATTTGTGATCCAGTGCACGCTGGCCGCCACTGGCTATTGTCATGCCGTGAAGCATAGAGTGTTTTTAATGCTGTTGATCCATGTTTTCCGTGGCCATCCTTTTGCTCTTGTAGCTGATCTTCTGAAATGTAGTGCTTGTGATGGTATTTGATCTTGCTGCATTCTAACAAGATGGCTAAACCACTTGATCTGCTGTTTCTCGATTAATCTAGTACAAGGTGTCGTTCCCACAATGTGCCTGATAACATCATTATTAACTCGATCTCGGATGGTTAGGTTGGCGGCTTTTCTCATGCATCTCATCTCACAGGTGGTGATTTTGCATATATGGGCTTTAGGTAGTGTATTTGGCACTGGTAGCTTAATGAGTGGTACCATTATATTCCTCAATTGTAATTTGTTCTTTCAAGGATGTTAACACATTTTTAAAAAAATATATTTTCCTTAGACTTGCAGACAACACTGATCCTGGAGATCTTGCCAGTGCTGTCAGGTCAGCCATGGCCTACCCATTCAGACCTGGAGTTGCAAAGGTAAACTTTCCCTAGTGACATCCATTGAACATGATTACTGTTACTACGAGTGCTTTCTTTCTAGAAAAAACACTTCCAGTATGCACCACAAAGGCTGTACAAAAGGAGCAGTACTTATCACAACATTTTTATTACACTAGCACTAAAAAAATGATGCCCAAAAAAGGTGCTGGTACTGTGTACTGTTACATTACCATTTTGTGGTGCCCCAATAACTGTGCTATGTGGCTGTATGTTGAACAAGGTTTCGAGACTTGTACCTGTTTGATTCTCATCCTTGAGATGGTAATCCTACAGACTGCAGTACTGGAGGGAAAGAATTTTTGTTATTTAAATGTTGAAAAAAAAAAAAATCCTGGTTAGTACTATTATTATTTAGTATTAATAATTAGTATCCTATTTACTTAAACTCAGATATACCAATATAATATACATCTGTTATAAATCGCTGGTATAATCTACAGGTCCTCATAATTATCTCACAGTAAATTAGTAAAGCAGCCTTTTAACATACACAGCATATCAGGTATATTTTGCTATACTTAAATTTTTTTGACCAATCACTACTGAATGGATTAAATGGTCAAAATCTTCTTGTTCTTCTTCTTTTGCATTCAGATGTAAATGTCTTGTACCAGTTTACAATGTGATGGCAATATTTGCACCTTTAGGTCAACATATTTGACTTCTGCTGGCATTTTCTACCCAGGTTAGCCTTCTCGGTTAGTTTCGTGGGACAGTGCAGTCTAATTTTTATGTGGTCATCTGTGGTGACCCCCATAAGGTCAGTTCAGAGCAGCCACTTAGTGCTGGTCAATACCATGCCTGTCGCTTTTACTTCCCAGTACATTTTCCCAACCCATTTCAGGTTAAGCTAACTTTTGCCCTATGTCAATTATACGAATCCACTTTGAAGTGGTTTCAAACACAAGATGTTCTGGTCAGCAGATGCACTTCTTGCCTCTGCTACCACTACTCCTAGGAGTGCCTGCTCATCTTGTATTTTGTTTACTGAAAAAGTTCAAGCTTAAAACTAATTATATAATTGTAAACCCATTAAAAGCTTCTGCAACATTCACACAGGTCCCCGTGTAATTGCCCCATGCTCATATTGTATTTTGTTTACGTTAAAAAAAAATTCCAGCCTAAAAACTAAGATACAAATGTAAACACATTATAAACTGATGAAATATTCACACAGGTCCTCGTAATTGCCCCATGCTCATCTTGTGAAGTTAGCTTCCTGGAAAGAAATCTGGCAAGCGTTCTAACAACTAAAGGGTTTACAGTGCATGTCTTGCAACAACAAGGATACAGCTATGAAGAAGCAAACAGCCCAAGAACATATAAGATTTATGGTGAGTTTTTTCTTTTGAATTATCTTTCAATTGCCTTATTTATTAACTCTTAATGAACATACATTTTAGAGTGGAGAGTGAATTATTGTTGCTAATAACTGACAGCGAATTTGAGCAAGAGTGTCATCTACACAATAAATCAAGGTAAGGTGAGGTAATTACCTGACTGACTTTTTGTCACTATAAAATGTTTGCTGGCTGTGAACCAATTCTTAGACAATGTAATGAAGTAGACAAAGTCGGGGCTAGTTATGTAACAACAATAAAAGATTGGGGCCTTGTAATATTCCCATAGTTAAAAGTGCACACGTTGCAGGCAACCTTTATCTATTAGCTTGATGACATAATTTTTATTTGTATTTATTCTTGCCCAGTCTCAAATGATATACTAATGCTCTAAGACAAACTGTAAGATTATTATTTAAACAACTTGTCTTTTTAAAGTGTATTTATGACATCTTTGAATGATGACAGTCTGCTTTAATAAAACATGTTTATTGTGTTTGATATTCTATTGCTTCCATTGATATTCCATATTTTAAGTCGGTGTCTGTGGCTTAGGCATTGCAAGCACGCTTAGTAATGCCAGGGTGCCAGGCTCGATCCCAGCTGCAGGCTGTTTGGAAACAGACTGTCTTGCATTGGTTTCGACAGTGGTGCTGAGAGCTTACCATTCAGAAAGCAGTGGCAATAACTGGTGAATGTAAAATTCGCCTATAAAACCGCAAAAGCCAAAAAATGCTGGTGTTGGTTCTGCAAGTCTTGTAAAGGAAATGCAACTAACTTTTATTCCATTGGGAGGGAGAGTGGAGAGAGAGAAAACAGCAGATAGTACATAGTTTTATATTCTTTCAGGTGTGGACAACTCCAAAATCTTTAGCACTCCTATCCTCTCAGACGTTAAAGTAAATGATGTCAAAGGTGCAAAAACCACAGATTATTGTAATTCACTGGCCGAATCTACAAATGGATCACAGTTTGACATTATACATTTGAGTGAGAAGAATCGCTTCCAGCGTGAGTTCATTCAGGTAGGTTAAATCTGTATTATACTAACTCAATCAATACCACACAACATACTGTACACTTTAGGTCATCTCATTTTCTAGCAGTGCCAAACATGGACACTTACATCCTCTAATGAACTTAAGTTGTGACAACAGAGATAGATTCCTTAGAAGATCTGCAGGAGTTTCAAAGAGAGACAGAATATAAAAATCACGAAATCAGACGAATGCTAGGAATAAAGCCAGACTTACACGTCATGAAAGAATAACAAATGAAGTGGCTTGGACATCTAACAAGAATTCTCTGGTACTATCTATCACAGCAAGCCACAGTGGACTGTTACAACAGGTATAGAGCGAGCAAAAGACCTCAGAAAAGATGGAGTGATGGCATTAAGAACAGCCTTACAGAAATGAACATCAATCTTAATAGTGCTCTTGACAGAGCTCATCAATGAACGTTACATCTCCCCCCATCACTTCGCTGAGGTAGAAGGTGGAAGAGAGAAGAAGAAGAAATTTCCTAGCATATTAGTCTAAACTACTTCAGTCAAAAAGAATAATAATTATTGGCATCCTAAAATATCTGAACATCAAGGAAAATTGGTTTGTAAACAACATTTTATCTTGGAAACTAAAATATTTTGGCTATATCAAATCCCACTGGCATTGTGGATTCAAAGTAACATTATAAGATGGCATGGTTCCGGGTAAGTGAGGCTGGGGTTGACTAGCATGAAGATTGGAGATTGGAGACATTTCAGGCAGGAAAGTGTGTGTGGCAGAAGAACTGGCAAGGGACCAAATTTATTTCAGGTGGGGTGTGATGAGAGCAGTGTTCTGTAGTTAAGTAGGTAAGTTGTACCCCACCAGGATATCACACAAGCTATAAACACCCAGTGACACAAAATGCCACCATGCGAATGAGGATCACCCATGGAGAGGTTTTGGAAACCCCATTTAGCCGTTAGGTCATATTTATGGCCCGGCTATATTTAGGGCCCCCATCACAAGCCGAGGTGGCGCTTCAAAATAACAAAAAATTGCATCCCACAAGGGGATGACTTGTACTTAATAATGTTGTGTGAAAGATATGATAAATGATAATGAGGACTTCAGTCTCAAAAGTAAACTAAACACAAAGTAATCAATAGCTTGAAAACTCATTAGCACAACTTGTCTTTGCCCTCCATTGTGCTCTCAAGCCCTTGTTCTTTCTCTATTTAGTTACTTCTTGATGCCAGCTCAAGTTCAGTAACTTTTTTCTTTAAACATCATTACTTCAGTCTAAGTATGTTGCTCCATGAACAATCCCAGATTACCGCTATAACTTCTGGTCAGTAAAATTATTTTCACTTTGTAATAGTCAAATATGGATTACTTTAACCTTTTTGTCCAAGAAAAAAAATAAACCAAGAACCTGGAAACCCCCCAAAAAATGTTTTTAAAAACAACCTTTCTATTCAAGCACTAAAATTTTTTTATTTTATTTATTTAAATACATTTTAGAAATAAATAAAGAGGAAGTGCAGTCCCTTAGGCCTAAAAATAAGTAATCCTTACAGTGACTCACACCATGACCTCCTGACTCTTGTTACTAAATGTTAAGGGAGAATCATGATGTTATCTTGGACAAAAAAGCTGCCCCCCTCCCCCTTCCCAATGATCCTCCTAAACACTGCACAGGAGCAAATAGAACTAATCCCATTAACTAGACTTCACAGGGACTAGCCAAAGAAAGAATCCCAGTTATGCGGCTTCTCTGAAATCAATCATGGATTGGGAATGCCCTGTTTGTGCCATCTGAGGGCCATAATAGTTTAAATACACATTAAAAAAAAAAAAATAGCAACCGACTCTGTATTGCACAACATGATGAAGGCAATGGACAACCTCCAGGCATTTTTCTGGTAATGTTATAGCCTTTTATTTTGCACTCAAAAATGCCCCACCCCATAGAAATAAAAAACAAAATGATGAACATACTACTCCTCATCTTTCTATTTATTTGTTTCTTGACCTTGGGGATGAGAATGGTGTTAGTGAGACTATTGCAATGGTTTTTTTTCTTTTCTGGGTTGCACTCATATATCATCACCTGGGGTCACAGTGCTCAGGAAGTTGAAGTTGCCATTTTTTGCAGTCTAGCATGTTTGACATGCATTCTAGAGTTGCTTCTGCTCCTTTGTTACCAGCTGTGACTTGAACTTTGTAGACTGTGATTATATCTTCCTGGAGTTTACAGAACCAATATTTATTTTAAACTTACTGAACCATAGCCTGTCTCTAACTTGTCCATAAGTTTCTGGATGATAATACTCTGTGGCCATAGTTTCACACTTGGTCAATGACCTCATTATTTCTGCTTAAGTTTTTCTGGACTGTGGTGCTGTCTCTCTCTCCACCAATGTGGAACTATCTTTGAAGTGACTGTGTCATTCCTTAATTTGTATGATGAAAAGAAGAGAATAATCAAATCAATCAGAATGCCACCAAAACTGGCACAAGACAATTACCATTTTATGGACAGACCAGAGCAAGTTATTATTCTATGCCTTAGAACAGGACACAATCGACTTAACAGCCACATGTACACAAAATTTTAAATAGGTGAATCAGCCATGTGCACATGTGG